CACCCTCTCACACCCCCACACAGCCCCAGCCCACCCCCATCCAGGCCTGGAGGATATCACAGCCAGGAGGCAGGCAAAGATCACATGGCCATGGCTGAGAAATGCATTAGGAAATAGCCCCAGGAAACTGCCTGGCAAAGCATTTGGGAACAGTGTACCCTGGGAGCCAGCCAGGTTCTGGGAGCAGCTGAGCCATCTACTCATTCCGATGACAGATCTCTCTAAAAGGAATGGTGTTAAAATGGGTTTCTGCTTTTGAGCCATCAGTGTAAGAAATCAGGGATTTGTGTAATTACAGTCCCAGGAAGTTGTATGAAATTAGTCCTGGACACACAGAAAAATCAGTGTCGCTGTACCTGGCTGAGCCCCCAGTGACTCCTCTCTGCCAGGGGAGCACTGAGCTCTGTCCACTGTTGTAGAATGTGACCCAGTAGAGCCTGGCCAACTGTGTTTGTCTTTGTCTCTTCTGAGACACGGATGCTGAAAAGTCCGTTATCTTCATCTCCGCACCTAGCACAGCCACTGGGAGGAAGTCAGATCTCAACAAATGATTGCTGGAAGAATAAGTGTAGGAACAAACGAATACAGGCCAGCCCTATTCTTTGTCTCTATCTGATATCTACATGTACATGCATGCATACAAATATGTGTTTGTATGTGTGTGTTTATATTTTAATGGTAACATCAGAGTCTCAAATACAGTTGAAGTTCTGACCCAACCACACTTTTTGCTCTGTTGAGGTAGGAAGATGTCACTAGATCCATTAACAACTAAAAATTTAACATCCAAGGGAAGGGTCAAGGCCCAAAACACTGACCAGTTTCTCAGATAACCAAGGATTGAAATGGTGTCACCAAGGTTAGAAGTCTTCCACATGCTTGGGTTGTGCTGACCCAGGAAACGTTCTGACCCTCCAGGCACAGCTTTGTTCCCAGGCCCACCAAGGAAACCCTAGTGACTAACAGACGTCAGGTGCTGTGGCCAGGTTGCCTTCACATGCTGTTAATTCCTTTAGTTTCCTGTGGAACATGTTCCAAATGGAGTTTTCAACACCCAGGAGACCTCTTGTTGGCTGGCAAGGGTCCAAGGAGTTTGCATGTTTATTGCATTCCTTTCCTTAAATGCCCTGCCTTTGGAGCCTCACTCCTGTGTTGCTGCCCAGGTGTTTCACAAACCTGCCATGTGCTAATTCCAAGTCATTCCCACCCTGCCCCTGTACACACACCTCTCAGCCCTGACCCCTGGTGTTCTCTTTCATGTGATAAACCACTCTAACTATTTCCCATGTTTATAACCACAAAGTTCTTAAGAAATGTCTGTTGTCTCTCAAGAGTCACTCAACACTAGAGGGTAGGTAGCATAATAGTCTGAGGACATTCTCACGGTGTGCTGGCTCCAGAAATCTACACCTGGAGGAAAGAGAAATCCTGAAGTGTGTCTTAGCCAAGTAGAAAGCAGATAACATATCTTGCAGGCAAATATAGAATTACCTCAGTTTGGATTTTTTATAAGCTAGAGTTAAATTTGGCTAAATATGAGAGAAAATCCCAACACATAGGATTTTATTTTCTCAAAGAGGTGGGAAATGAAAATAATAATAAAAAAAAGAGGTGGGAAAGTAAGCAAATAGACCTGGTATGGTCAGTTCTGTGAAGCTCTTTCTGGCTTCTGCTTTTGAGGTGACCCCGATCCTTAGGTCTAATATGGCTGCAGAGCTCCAGCCATAATACTTATGTTTCAGGCAGCAGACTTTGCAGAATTGCACATAGTACTTTCATATATATCTCATTGAGTAGATTTTGGTCATATATCCACATCCAGCTACAATGGAGATCAGGAAATACAGACTTTATCCTGGGAATCCAGAATGTAAGACCATTTACAAGACAACTAGACTGATCTCTTGAGAGATGGCTGTTCTCGATTTTAAAATACTAAAGAAATATATAGGTAAGCCTTAATTGACTATAGAAGATGTCTTGAGGACAGTAGGGAAAATTAGAATATGGACTGAATGTTAGACAATGTTAGAGAATCATGGCTAATTTTCTTTGGTATAATCATAGAATTATGTTTTTGTAGGATCATGTTCTTATTTTTAGAAAATGCAGGCTCTGAGACAACTATACTTGAACAACAATAAATTAATTCTCTTTTTTTCTCAATTAGTTAAAATAAGAGGGAAAAAAATAGATAAAAAACGCAGGCTCTGAAGTGAGGTGCAAGCTAAGAGTGAGGTAGCCTGACATCTACCACTTCCCTCAAAATGCTTTATCAAAATACAGTACAGCTCTGGCTGGTGTGGCTCAGTGGATTGAGTGCCAGACTGGGAACCAAAAGGTCGCTGGTTTGATCCCCAGTCATGGCACATGCCTGGGTTGCAGGCAGGTCCCCAGCTGGGGATGTGCAAGAGGCAACTAATGGATGTATCTCTCTCTCTCTCTTTCTCCCTCCCTTCCCCTCTCTCTAAAAGTAAATAAATAAAATCTTCTTTAAAATATAGTATATGAATAGGTAAAAAAATTAATAAAGAAAACATGGGAAAGATAATAAGGATTACTGATAGATAGGTGTAGTGGGTGGAGGAGGTATAGATATTTACTATAGCATTCTTTCTACCCATTTTACACATTAATAAACTGAGGCACACAAACTATACATGATCTCCCATTGCTAATAAGTACATAATGTGCCTGGAACATAGTATGCATCTTTGTAAAAGTTGCTGTTAAGGTATCTTTTAACCCACCAAACTACTGGTTTTCTAGGTGAGAAAACGGGGCCTCAGCGGGGTTTGGTAACTCTCCCAAGGCCAATTCCAAGTCTGCACTCTGTCCACGGTGAGTCTGGGATCACCAACATATCCTTGGCTGAGATGGTCATTCTCCTGTTATTATCTCTCTACCCCACAGCCCCCTGCTGGTACACCTGGCTCAAAGGAGTGAGGGACTTACCCATCACCACCACATAAAACTTGCAGATTTTGCCTTCTCTAATCAAATGAGACCCTGGCTGGCCTTCCTGAGTGGCAAGCCACCTGGACCTGGAGAGCAGTCCTCTCCCAGATGGAGCCCAGGCTCCCATCTGCACTGAGCAGAACCAAATGAACCCCCAGTGTCCTGCACACTCAATTTTTCTGCCAGAATGGACACTGAGATTTCATATATATGTATATATTTTACTGACTTTAGAGAGGAAGAAGGAGAGAGAAAAAGAAACACATTGATCGGTTACATACCGGGGATCAAACCCACAACCTAAGTAGGTGCCTTAACCCGGGAATTGAACCTGCAACCTTTTGGTGTATGGGGCAATGCTCAAACCGAGCCACTTGGCCAGGGCAGCAATAACTTTGTTTTTTCCTCATGCTTCGTATCTGCGTCTTCTTTCCCAGCCAGAGAAAACTCTCTGCTTTTAAAGGGGCCCATGTGATTAGATTAGACCCCCCCAAATAATATCTTCAAGAGGATTCATATCTTAAACCTCTTTAATACAGCCCAGTCCCAGGACTGCTGTTTCCTCATATTCATAGGTTCCCATTTTGATGGTTGTATTGTGGTTGCGTAGCAGAAGGTACTTGTTGGCACGAAATCCATACTGAAACATTCAGGATGAGGAGGCATCAAATCAGCAATTCACTCTCATATGATTCAGTATTTAAAAAGTTGTTTGTACTATTCTTGAAACATTTCTATATTGTGTATGCAGATAGATTAAAAAGATAGGTAGCTATGGATATGTATGTTCGTATATACAAAGAAAAATAACTGGAAAAACCTAGAGAGACACAAAAATTAACTGTGATTACTTCTGGGAAGTGGAATTGTTTGAAGGGGGAAAAGTAGACAGCTCTTACTGGGGGGCTACATTCGAATTTATTTAAGTAGGTATTATTTTCATAATAAATCTTTTTTAAAAATGTTTTTTAAAAAATCAGGAGGCACTGGCTGGTGTGGCTCAGTGAACTGAGTACTGGCCTGTGAACCAAAGGGTAGCTGGTTAGATTACAAGTCAGGGCACATACCTGGGTTGCGGGCCAGGTCCCCAGTAGGGGACACTTGAGAGGCAACCACAAACTGATGTTTCTCTCCCTCTCTTTCTACCTCCCTTCCCCTATCTAAAAAAAAAAAAAAAAAAAAAAAAATTCAGGAGACTGGCTGCTGGTTTCTTGGCAAAGAGTGAAAGGGTAGAGGGAGGGCCAGGCTGAAGCCAACATGAAAAGATAAGGCAACAGGACACGTTATCACTATTGCAGCCACATGTCTCTCCAGAGCTACCAAGAAATCAGTTAAAATACACTCTGTACTAAGGGGATGGGAACAAAGGTGATTTTCTGTTGGCTGTGAAGGTGTGCCAGCCATCAACAGCACTTCCCAGACAAGATTTGCAACTTCTCTTTCACCATGTGCTTTTCCGTATTAAAAAGATTAGTGTTTCTCTATTTCTTTAGTTAATGACTGTAACTCTTTAGCCTCTTGTTGAATATTTTCTAGCACCTTGTGTACCAGTCTCTCTGGTGGCACCCCAAGTCACATGACCTGACTTGAAAGCAGGAAAACAGCAAGTACATTTCTTGTGATGGGTTGGATTGTGCCTCCCCAAAATTGATATGTTGAAATCCTAACTCCCCAATACTTCAAAATGTGGCCTTAGTTAGAGACAGGGTCTTTACAGAGGCAGTCAATTAAAATGAGGTCACTGGAGTGGGCCCTCATCCAATATGACCGGTGTCCTTATAAGAGGTCAGGACACAGGCACCGAGAGGGAAGTTGATGTGAAGACACAGGGAGAGGACAGTCATGTAAGAAGACCATGTTTAAGTCTTCTTACAACTCCCTCTATGTTTGAAATGTTTTCAAAATAAAGTTAAAACTTAAAATAAATAAAAATAGATAGAATGTAAAAGAGTCAAGCTCCTGGGAAACCCACTGCACAACCCTGGCAGGAGAGGCCTGGAAGGACCTATAGAGTCGGAAGCCAGTGGACCTTTCAGAAAGGGCTGGGATTTACCCAGATTATAAATGGCTTTATTTTTTCCATGATTTTTTCCCCCCCAAATAACTAATGTCCTTGCAATGTTGAAGAATCCTGGTATTTGAGTCTGGAAAAACTCCCAAATGCAGTTCATGGTCTGGAAAGTGATTGAAGAAAGCCTCGTGTTGATTGTGGTGACCCTCACAAGTGACTTTTGCAGTCCAGACTGGCCTCAGAGAAAGGGCTCTTGTAGTTTGTGGGATGTGGCTTGAGACAGAGTCCTTCCTCTCCTGATCAGCCACAAAGGCTTGCCTGATTCAGTGGGAAGGTTCCAGATCAGGCTTCCTGCCGACAACGTCCTCACCTCCGATGATCTGCACCAATGGCATCTGTGACTCTGGTAAAACCTTGCTCCCTGGACAAGAGAAAACAAAACAACTTCAGCAAATGATGAAGGATGGGCCCTGTTCTTACCAGAAGCCCACGTTCATCTGGGCTCTATCTGCTCCATAACTGTACCTCCCTCTCTCTCTCAATCCCAAACACACACCTCACGCCCCCTATACCATCTTCACCCAGCAATCCAGAGGTATGAATGCCTAGGTCTTCAGATCAGGAAGGCAGTCAATTTTAAGTATTGATAGCTCCATGAATCAAGCCAATGTTGTGAATTAAGGAGAACTCCTCAGGCCTATACACACCAATTCCTTGGAAGTTAATCTTGAATTCCTCGACACTGTTCTTGTCAGGGAACAGCAGAGTAGTCATTTTGCTCTACGTTCAGAGTATACCCCTCAAATCCTTTTTGCATGAAGAGTAAATACAGATCAATAGGCTCCCCTTGATTTGAGTCATTCTGAATTGGTACATTAACTTCTGTTTTGAGCCACATGTGGCTCCACTCACTTCAAAAGGATCTCCAGCTCCCGCTTCACTCTGCCCACCACAGGCGGCCCCCAGTAGGTGAGGGCCGTGTACAGCTGCACCAGGCAGGCCCCAGCCCGGATCTTCTCCAGCGCATCCTGCCCACTGCTGATACCGCCAACCCCGATGATGGGAACTCTGCCTGCAGAGAAGCACAGGGCAATGCCATAAAGGAGGGCAGATGTGAGAACCAGAGGCTCAGTTTGGCTTCAGCCCTAGGCCCACCTGCTAAATGCAGTAGTTCAGGGGACACCAATTCTGATCACAGCCCCAGACCCCAAGACACATACAAATCTGAAGAGATGGACACTGAATGCTTGCCTTGGGTGAGTGCATACATCTCCCGGATGGTTTGCGTCGATAAGTCCCGGAGGGGCTTCCCACTCAGCCCTCCTGTTTCAGAGCGCAGAGCACCCTGAAGGCCAGTAGGGCGACTCACAGTGGTGTTTGTGACAATCAGTCCATCAATGCCCAACTGCAGTGTGAGAGAGAGAAAGCGATCCAGTCATGGCACATTTGGACTCAGAGAAGCTTCCCTGGGAAGTCTGAGACAGCAGCCGGGCCAGGTACCCACACCTACAGCCCCCAGAATCAAGAACTATCCCAGACCTCATTATGCTTCTTGAACAAGTATCAGGATGAGCCTCAACATGACAATAGCTGCCATTGTATAGTAACCACCCATAAAGTTCACTAGAACGTGGTTATAATCCTTATAACTACCCACTCTAGAGTATCCTGTCCAAAGTCTCCAGGTAGTAAGTCGTAGAATCAGGATTTGAGCCCAGGACTGTTGGGCTCAGTCTGTTTCCACTACCCTCCTATGACAGAGACCTGGTGTCAGACTGAAGACAGAGAATACAGGCATACCTCGAAGATACTGCGGGTTCAGTCCCAGACCACCACAAAAGAGCGAGTGTCCAGTTTGTGAAAAAACACAACACCCATGAAGCACAACAAAGCGAGGTATGCCTGCTCTCCAGTATGACCAAGGCTGGCCAAAGATGCAAGCACAAGCCTGAAAGCCCTTGCTGGATGAAGAAGAGGAAAGAGGGAAGAGGCGTAAGAAAAAGGCATTCAAATATTTATTCAAGCATTCACTTTTTAGTATATGATGAGCTAAGTCATAACAGATATCAAACCAGACCTCCGAATCACAGAAAGGAAACCAGAGGCTGCAACTGGCTAGCCCAGCTGGCTGAATGGTCCCTGCCAGCACTAAGGGGCAGATGGACGTCGCCGGCCCCACACTCACCTCTCTCACCACACTGGCAATATCCTCCTTGTCCTGGGCTGTGAGGTCGGGCGCGATCTTCACCAGCAGGGCCGGCTTGTGCGGTCCCTTCAGGGTATCCCTCTCCTGTATTACCTACAGCAGCATGTAACCAGAGATGGGGACCCCTGAGACCACAGCCTGAGGGTGCAGCTGTGACGGCAGCTGCAGACCAGCGTTTCTTTGCATCTGCTATCAAACTAAAGCATGAGCAATTTCCCCTTTTTGGGAAACACAGGTTCACCCCATCAAGGTGAATCCAATTCCATTCTCTTGAACCAAGACATCCCCAAGATTGAGTCCTTAATGTGCCCATTGGCATTGGCTAATATATTATGGCTTATTTAGACTTTTGTTCCCAAAAGATAATAAGGCTGTGTAATTAAAAGTCATTCAGTTCATTCATCCATTCACCGTACTAGGTGCTAGGGACAGTGTGGTAAATGGGCGATACAGTCCCTCTTATTGTTTAACATAAGGGACAGGTAATCGAGAAGTTAATTACTATTGAGCACAATTGGTGTTATGATAAGGGATTAATGGTACAGTGAGGGTTCCTAACAGGTTCAGGTGTTAGGGACAGTTCCTAGACAGTGACATTGAAGCTTGGCCCTGGAGAATGAACAGGACGTACTGGAGCTGGGCCTGGAGATGTAATTTCCCACCTTGGTCAGCAGGTGGCGCAGCTCAGCCTTTCCCTGAAGGCTCCGCAGCCCTGGGGTGTTGGGACTGGACACATTCACTACCAGGTAGTCAGCCAAGGGGCCCAGGACTCGAACCCCCTCAGCATAGTCCGAGGCAGCGTCCACCGACGTCTTATTCTTCCCCAGGTTTATTCCCAGTGGCAGCCCACCTGCAAATATCGCTGGTCAAGATTTTGTCCCCACACATCATCTCCTTGACATGAACAACCCATGAACAGCCTTTAGGCCTTCCACCTCCGATGAGAACTTCTGGCACCAGCGGACAAATACTGTGAAATACTGCATCGTGCTGCTGCCTGATGACCAGGAACAGCTCACCATCTTGGTCTACAGAGCAGTGTTTGGTCAATCACTAGGATGTTTTACTGCACTATGCCCGTGTTGTATTTTAAAATTTAATGGAAAATGGAGAAATTCAGAATGCAAACACTAGTGATAAAAAAAAAAAAGGGCAAGGTTTATATGAGGGGAGACCCCCCAAAAAAACAGAATTTATTTATAAAAAACTGTGTATTTATTCTTACATGTTTAAACTTCAGTCACCTTTAAAGTACTCTCCATTTGATGCAATATACCTATCAAGGTATTTTTTTCACTGCTCAAAACAGTTTTTGAACTCGTTGATTTTGATGCCTTTAGTGCTTCTGCTGTTTTTTGTTTCAGCCTCTTCCATACAGGCAAAACATTTCCCTCTGAGGACTATTTTTATCCAGAAAAGAAAAAAAAGTTGCTCGAGCCAAGATTGGGTGAATAGGGAAGGTGGGGCATGGGGTAGGGGGGAGTCATGCCATTTTTGGTCAAAAACTGCTGAACATTCAGCAGGATATGTGCAGGTGCACTCGTAAATCACCCGTCATGAAATGGGCAAACATGTTGAGTCTTCAAAAAAGTTCACTGAAGCCAAATGCAGCCTCTCACAACAATGCCAGCTGGTGCACTGATTCAGATGGGTTCCTAGAACACTCACCTAGCGGGGGAAGCCTGTCCTACACGGGACCTGGCCTCCAGAAGATAATCCCAGGTTATTTTGGGGCGGGGACCCCTCATAAATGTAATAAAAATGAGGACAGAAATCAATAGGCCTGTCAGAAGTTTACTCTCAAGGGCTGCTCGCTGGACTTGGGTAAAATGACTGGGTGTGCAGTTGTGAAGAAAAACCAAAATTAAAGACTATGTATAAAATACTGGAAAATATTTTCAATTATCATGCCTAAAATGTAGAGGTATAATTGTTTTATAATTTCAGTTTTCTGAGAAGGGCTTTCCCCTTACAACTAAGGTGACTGCACATTTCAGTGTCCCAAGACAGCCCCGGTTACTCCTTTAGCCTGGGCATATTATTGTACTAAAGTGTCTCAATTTGCGTAGTAAGTAACACAGCCACCTTATTTAAAAATCCACTGGATTATCACTTGACTTGCATTTTGACCTTGCAGAAAAATATATTTCAATAACAGGCTTTATATGAAAGGCGTTTTCTACTAAAATACCATCTTATCTGTAAAGGTCAATGGTATGTTGATTGTACCAACTGCTTTTCTATCCGATGATTGGGAAAAGACCTGAAACATCGAGTTAGCTCAGAAAACTTGTGTTAGGTCAAAGGGGATCAAAGAACAACAGCTAATCCTCCTAACTGCCTTCTTATACACTAAATGCAGTCACCCTTTTGTCATCAGCTTGAAAGTAAATGAGATTTATGTAGCTAATTTTGTGTGTGTTGGGAAGTGGACATGGTTAGAAACCATTAGACAAAGGTTAAATAACATCGTTTCCAAGTTTTCCAAGTGTAGCACCCATCAAGCTAAGGGCATTTGTAAGCGCTCATTCTTTTCCACACAAGTAAACTGGTTTGAATGAGAGTATGGCTTTCACATAGCCTAATGGATCTTTCAATACTAATCACTTGCCCACATTGACAAGATCTTGGAGTTAGGCTCCACAGCCTTTGTCAGCTCATGTTCCTTGCTATGGTGCTAGCAATAAGCTGTCACTAAGGCTTCTAGCTCCTGGTAAATACTACGTGCAGAGCTCAGCTATAGGATTTTGCTTCACTCCAATGAATATTAGCACCAGAGTAGGGGTGAGGGGATGGGCAAGGGAGAACGGGAGAAAGCTGGTATAAAGAGCACTGTGAATAACTAAAAGGAAAGGGAGGCAAGAAGGCAGGAAAGTATCACAAACCATAAAAGTCATTATGACCCTCAAAATTCCTCAAATGGCGACATCTGTAGTATAGCAGGGTCTGGTCTGCCAAAACCAGTGATTTCCAAACACTTCCTGCTCCCCTAATCAGAGATGAAAACCTCAGCCCTTTCAGCCTCGCTTCCTGAACTGACTCCGGTAACTAGATTCATCTCACCTTACCACGAAGATATCTAATGAGACTAAAACCTCTTGGAAGGATTTACAATGAGGAGAAAGGCTGTGGCCCCAAATAATCCTGGAGAGCACCTTCCAGGTATGGTGGGGACAACACAGCAGTACGACCATTGAGTGCATCCAGAGGGACCACAGAGCGGAGAGCCCCAGGGAATGAACAGCATCTCCGAAGGTGGACTTGCCTTCAAAAATCATGGTTTCTTCCTTGGCTGGTGTGGCTCAGTGGATTGAGTGCCAGCCTGCGAACCAAAGGATCATTGGTTTGATTCCCAGTCTAGGGCACATGTCTGGGTTGCAGGCCAGGTCCTCAGTGAGGGGCATGTAAGAGGCAACCACACATTGATGTTTCTCTCCCTCTCTATCTCCCTCCCTTCCCCTCTCTTAAAAAATATATAAATAAAATATTTTTTAAAAAAATCATGGTGTTTCTGAACTTCCAAATACCAAGAGTAGTTATCCCTGAGTGGGGAAGAATGGGAACAATTTCAATTTTCTTCTGTATGCTTCTATGTGGTTACTAAGGCTTCTATAATTAACGTGCAGTATTTACATAATGGGCAAAAGGACACAGAGCAGGACAAGGAAGACGGTGCTCGAGCCCTGCCCACATCTGAGCTACCTGTGTGATCACAGGGGAGCCCCTCTGCTTTGCTCACTGCCAAGCTGGCCCAGTTCAGATATAACATAGTTACATAACGAGGCAGAAACTAAGTGCATCTTTGCTAAATTGTGAAATTCTGTTAAAATCTTGGAAACTGTGGTGGAGCCAGGAAAATTCCTCTAGGAAAGGGGCCCTGAGTTCTGTAGTGGTTTGTTGTTTTTTTTTTCTATTGCTCAATCATGTTGATGTCACAAGGAATATTCCTGATGTTTCTCCTACATGCATCCTTCCAACAAACAAAGAAAGCCTCTTGAACGCAGCCCCACTTTACCTTCTGTGAGCCTGGCCTGCGTCTGCTGTCTGGCCCGTAGCCTGTGTTCCACCACTGACAGCCCGTGACTGTTAAATCCGTATCTGTAACACAGAAGCAGATGGGGAATGGACATGGTTAGGGCCCCTGGCCAGAAGACAAAGACTTTGGAGACATAGCTCCATGGCCCTATGTATGACTTTACAAAACAGGGAAGGAAAAACATAAGTCAGTTCTTAAGACTTCCAAGGTTTAAACACCCCTGGACTTCATAGAGAACTTGTCAAAACACTATTGAACACAAAGGGAAAGATAAAAATTTGCATACAAGCCACCCAGCCAGCAAGCATTGAATACAGCCAGGATTTGGCTACATAGCTGCCCTGGACTGTCTGGGCCCAGCCCCCACGCCCCCTTACCTATGCACCCCCTCCACCCAGTGGAGCTGGCCCCACTCAGACAACCCCATCTTCCCACCGCCTGCCTGTGCTCCATGGACAGCTGCACTCTGCCCACCCTGCCACTCCGTTTTCCCCCTTAAAATCACCCCCTCTTCCTGGCCCAGATCACATGCTCCCTCTCCTCCTTGAATAAAGCTCCCAGCCACAGATGATTCCTCACCTGTTGGCATTCACTGAGGGCTTTGTACTGGTCTTTCTCCTGGCTTGGGGTGTATATATATGCTTAAGTTCCCCTACTGAGTTATAATCTTGAGGACAAGGGACACGTCTTACCTGTCCATCACCCTGCCACTACACATTCCACAAAGGCAGTGACCTCCTCTCTTGTGCAAGTCTGTCTCCCCGGCCCCACTGTGGGAGTTGATCTAACGGGCAGCTTCCCTCCCTTCTTTCCCTGATACTGAGTAAAAATGGCAATGACTCTTTTCCCAGACCACTTGCAACTGAAGCATGAACGTGTGACTGGGCGTGGTCACTGAGACACAAGGTGATTATCTACTGGGGAGTTCCTAGGAACCGCTCCCCCCACCCAATATCTAGGCTTCCTTTTCCCTTTCTGCTTGTGGATGTTCACGTGGGAGGACGTAACGCTTACAGCTGGGGTAGCCATCTTACAAACAAGGGAAGGTCCCAAGAAGTTGGAGCAGAGTCTGGACATTGCCCAGCCGCTCGGCCATCCCCCGGAACTGCCCGCTACACCTGTCATGACAGGAAAGTAACAACAAGCGCCTATTGTTTGAGCTGCTCTGTTCCTTGCAGCCAAAAACACCTAACAGACACAGTGGCACATGCACTGGTTGACTAAATGAATAAAGTCATCCATTCATTCAGCAGGAGTTTACTGAGCACCCACTACACGCCTCACAGAGCACGAAGGCGGGACACACAGCGCCCCCGAGCACAGGTCCTCCCCCCTGAGCTGCTCCTTGTCTCCAGGACTCCACCAAGCCTGGCTGTCCTGGCACCTGCGGTGACTGACACTCTGAAGATACCGCCCCCGCCTGCAGTGCCGCAGGAAGATCAATAACCTGATCCCTAATGCTGGAAAATTCCCCTGAAATAAGCACAGTAAAGTGGGAAGTGGCAGCCTAATCAGCTTCCTACAGCTCAGTCTTCCAGAAGGCCATTCGTGGCCCCAAAAGTGCCTCTCCAAATCGTCCTAAGGAGGCTCTTCCAAACAAAAAGTAGAACCTTTTTCATTTTCTGGGTTTGCTGTAGTGAAAATTGCCTAGGGATTATGAAGAGAAGGACTACACACATTCTAGAAGGATCTCTCACTAAAAGCATGTATATGTTGATTATTAAATTTTCCAGTTCACTAAAGGCTAGCAGGCTGTGCTGTCCAACCCAAGAGCCATAGCTACATGTGCTACTGAGCACTTGAAATATGAAGAAAAACACACACTGGATTTGGAAGATTTGGTACAAGGCAAAGTAGGTAAATAGCTAATTGATCATTTTTATGTTTATGAGATGTTAAAATCATATTTAGATTTAGTATTTAATTAATATAATAATAAACATTACAAAAAACTAAATAGAATATATTACTGAAATTCATTTTACCTATTTCTTCTTACTATTTTATCATAGCTACTAGAAGATTTTAAATTACATACATATGGAGCTTGCATTATATTTCCACTAGCCAGTGCTGGGCAAGGGCAATGGAGTAACAATGTAGAAAAGCACGAACTCTTTTTAAACCAAATGAGCCTAAATCCATACCCAGGCTCTCCTGCTTACAATTTTGTGGTTGTAGCGAAGTTGGGTTGTTCTGAGCCTCAGTGTAAATGTATACATGTTAAACTGAAATCTTAAAACCTGCTCCTGTGTCTTGCACATAGTCGATGCTCCACATGGCTCCTGAACATTCCAAATGACAGAATAATGTCCACATCATACGGCAGGAAAAAACATCCCGAGTGCCCTCCTGGAAGAAGTCATCCCTGTTACCTCTGAACCACTCACCTACCTGTTAATGACAGCTTGGTCCTCAGGGAGGCGGAAGACTCTGGGCCTGGGGTTTCCTTCCTGAGGTTTCGGGGTCACACTGCCTATCTCAACAAAACCAAAGCCCATCTTGTAAAGTCCATCCACAGCCTCCCCATGCTTGTCAAATCCTGCAGCAATTCCTACCGGATTTCGGAACTTACAGCCCAGGACTCGCACTTCCTAGAGAGAAGTAGACAAAGTCACAGGTACACAAGCCTATAAGAGTGTTTCTCAAGATGTGGTCCCCGGTGCACCTATGGCAGAATGCAACGTGAGCTTGTTAAACATCCCATCTCCAGACTAAGGAGTCAGAATCTTTGGGGATGGTGAGGCAGAATGGAGCTCTGAGCGAATCTCTTTTTTAAAAGAGTTTTCTTATTTCTTTTTAGAGAGGAAAAGGTAGGGAAAAAAAGAGGGAGAGAAACATTGATCGGTTGCCTTTCATAGGCCCCCAACCAGGGACCTGGCCCACAACCTAGGCATGTGTCCTGACCGGGAACTGAACCAGCGACCTTTCAGTCAACAGGCCGATGCCCAACCCATTGAGTCATGGCTATAGATTTGCCCACTGAGCAAATCTATATTTAACAGTGCTCTCCAAGTGATTCTGATGCTTTTGGGAGTTCAAGAACCATTAGGCTTTATCATCCATCACCAAACCGAGGAGAAAAACAATGTTTCCACCATGGGTTGAGCAGGATTTGAGATAAGCACGTCTTGGTCAGTTATGGTTAATAGCCACCCTTTCCTATCCTTGGAGGGAGAGATTGGCTCGCTGGTGTCAGCCTCAAGCTAGTACTATTCTGAAATAGCGTCAAGCAGCAAAATCTTTGAATCAACTTAGAAAGTCAGCCCCAGCTGTGCTGCTCCTCAGTCTGGCTGATCCCAAGCCCCAGCGATGCCCCAAAGACCCCTGTGAGGCACTAGAGGGAGGAAAGCGCTCGGCTGGGCAGAAATGATTGCTGGGCTCCAGAGCCAGGCTGCAGTTGGAGACAGGTTCTTCCCTGCCAGACACAAGATAATTCCAGATTGTTCTCTAGAATGAGAGGGACTGCAGCCTAATTACCGTCAGCTCTCACCTCACTCTCAGTAATTCAGGATTCTTGCCCTGATAGGGCCAACAAATCCAGTAGCAGGACAAATACTTTAAAAGGCATGAAAGAGCCCTGGCTGGTGTGTGGCTCAGTTGGTCAGAGCACCAGCCCATACACTGAAAGGTGACGGTTTCAATTCTCAGTCAGGGCACATACCCAGGTTATGGGTTCAGTTCCTAGCTGGGCACTTACAAGGAAAGGGCCAATGTTTCTCTTTCATATCAATGTTAATGTTTCTTTCTCTCTCTCTTTCTCTCTCTCTCTCTCTCTCCCCTCCCCCCCTTCCTCTCTCAATGAAAAAAATATCTGCAGGTGAGGATAAAAACAAAAAACAGGCATAAAAGAAATCAAGAGCTATCAAAAAACCAGCAGTTGCCAATGGAAGCCATCACCATTAGCTGATATGGCCAGGAAATCCTTTGCCAAGACTAACAAGGGTCTCCAAGGGTGGGTGCCATCTAGTCCTGTATGCAGGAGGTAGAAAGGCTGCTCCAGGAAGGAAGAACAAAAAAAATGAAGGTGAAAGTGTGCACACAGCACCTCAGGGACTGTGAAACAAAGTGTGGGGCTGTAGCAGCAGGGCTTCCTGGGGGACAGTGGCTCTCAACCCAGGCTGCATGACAGGGCTCCGAGGGGGCTGTCAGTCCTCACTCCCAGGGATTATGGTTAAATGGCTCTGGCATGAGGCCAGAACGCCTGTGTTTTCCAAAAGCACCTCAGATGATTCTGACGCACAGCCAGGATTGAAAACCACAGAATCAGGGAAATGGTAGAGAGCCAACACTAGAACGTTAAGTTGGGGTGAGGTTATCAAGAGTGCTGGCTGTTGGTTAAGAAGTCTGGACCACTTCTCAATAATGAATTGCTGAAGGTGGGAACCAGAGCTCAAAGGCTACACGTGCTCTCCTTATGGGCAGTGTTTACAGGACATAGCTTAGTACCATCCCCAGCCATACCCTGACTTCCTTCCTAATCTACCCTATCTCTGCATCCCCCTCTTAATTCACTCCTGCTACACTGGGCTCCAGGACTCTCACACTAGCAGCTGAGGATAAGGAAGGCTTAAAGAAAACAATGCTCTGAATCTACAGTGCTTTCCAGTGCCTTTAAGTATGGTAAGTTGGGTAAAAAGCCACATCTGCTCAAAACTGCAGGATGGGGAAGTGAAGGGGATTTTAAGACCAAAACGGAAAATGCAAAGAAGGCCAGCTTTGATTTATAATAGCGACCCTTCCCCAAAGAATGCTTCTTGTTTGTTGTCTTCATGTTCTCATCATTCTGGTGTCCCCCCTTTGGTAAGAGTCTCTCAGACGGAGACTGCTAGGGCTTACATGAGGATATAGATTCTGGAAGGATGCGGATTCTTCTGTTTTGTTTGCTGCAGTAACCCCAGCACCCAGAACAATAACAGGCACCTGGGGGGCCCAGGGGTTAATGTGGGACTGAATGACCCTGGGCCAAGTGTCTGTATGCCTTCCTCAAAGGTCTTGGCTAGACATGCCTATATCATGTTAGATGTTTAATGACTCTGGCATGTTGCCGTATTTTGTCTTCACTGAGCGACCTGCTCCTAGCAAGGCGGGCCAGTGGCTAAGGGGACCACTGCCCAAGCCGGACTCCATCCAAGCCAGGCTTGAATCCTGGCTCATCCACTTCCTAGCTGTGCAACTTTGGGTAAGTCACTTAACTCCTCTGTGCCTCTGTTTCCTGATCTGTACAGATGGGGCTAACTCGGGACTCTGCTTTTCAAAAGGCTCAGCTCCAGCTGTGAAAATGAGGGGGCACTGACCTTTGCCTTGTATTGCACAAGGTGTTCCAAGAGCACCTACCAGCATGTCAGAGTCTTGAAACGTGGCACGAGGAAGGAGCCCCAAGGAGGTGACACGAACAGCCAACCTGTGGGCTGACTCAGGGTCCAGCAGCCCCTGCAGAGTCGGCATCAAGTGTTCAGCATAGAAACGCTCATCCCCGGTGGCCGTCAGGTAGGAGGCAAAGAGAAGTCCTCCGCCCCCCAGGATGACCAGGGCATCCTGGGCTCGCTTCTGGAAAAAAAGAGCCCATTGGCCCTCAAAGCCAGGCTGCAGCACCTTCTCTAAGCCCTTTAAACCCACACACGCAGAGAACATAATGACATGCCACACAAAGCAATGGCCCTAGTCTTGTGCTAACACTGGTCTCCTTCATTTCCAGTCTTGCTCACGCATTGGCATCTGTAGTCAGAAGCTGTATATACACTTCTGCTGACACACTCCTCTGGCCCTGAAGGAGAGCAGGCCAGGGGTTTCAAAAGGGGCATTACTGCCCCTACAAGACATGTGGTAGGCATTTGGGGGAATGCTAGTAGATTTAGTGGGCAGGAATCAGTGGAGTTAGATGTCCTGCATTGTTTTAGGCTAACAGATGAATTATCCCAGGCCTGTAGAACTGTTGAATGTCCTACTGACATTCAGTAGGTAAAAAATACCTACTCATTATCTGAGCCTTGAACCAAACTCTATTTCACCAAATAAACACAAACTATCTCCCACACAGTTTTCATGTGCATTGAATTTTCCAGGAATAAAATTACCTTGTAACTTAAGGGACTGTACTATTTTGCACAGAACATTACCAAAAATTGTTCCCTATTTCAGAAAATCCCATCAGGAATGGTATGATGCTTTGCTTGGGGTGTTTGATGAACATACCTGTGGCACTAGAATTTCTAAGTAGATGCTTATGAACACTTCACTATCTCACTATCTAGGTAAGTCATGCATGCCCTAACAGTTACATATTGAAATACATCTTATTTTTTTAAGTTACTTTCATTTCTCCTTTATAGTCCAATTAGGATATTATATTAACTTTTAAAAATAACAGACATAAAGACTATTATATATAAATTCCATTTCAGGATATTAAAGGGAGTTGCAAAATGTTTTTTGTTTTTGTGTTTTTTTTAAAGAGCATCAGGTCTTATTGAGTCAAGAACCAGTCTTCTAATTCAAACATGGTACTTTTCTCTCATTATCATTGCCCACTGCTGAGTCATTCATTCATTCAATCATTCATCAAATAGTGACTGACCTCTCATAGATGGGCTAATCAGTCCGAGTCCCTGCCTTCACAGGGAGTACAATTTCATGATGAGACAGAAATCAGTGATCATGCAACTATATTAACTATGCAATGGCTATGAAGAAAAAAAGGTATAGGGTGATGAAAGAACCTAACCTAATCTCAGAGGCACAGAAAGGCTTCCTTGAGGAAGTGACGCTAATATTAAAAGGATAAATAGGAGTTAACTAGGAGGCAGTGGGGAAAGGAAGAAAGTGGAAAGGCTCTCCCCGTGGCAGAGAATGACATGCGCCAAAAGAATGGAGGAAGGGAAAAGGTATGTTAGGAATCGAGGAGTAAAAGTATGGCTTAAAAAGAAGTTGGGAAGACACGAACAGATCTTGATCAGAATAAATATTTTGGTTTTGTTCCCTAAACAAGAAATGATCATATTTGCCTATAAGGATCACTCCTAGCTGTTAATGTAGATCAAGTATTCGTTATCTTACTTCTAATCTCCAGATTGTAGGAACGCCCCTTGATGTCAATCAACAATTAACTGCATAGAGCTCCCACCGTAAAATTTTACGTAGGATTGGGAACATGCCTTCCTGCAATTTCCTTACACGCTGGATGCGGCACACAATGGTAAGCGGTCTCGTATTCACTGAGCGTCCCCGTGCCAAGGTCAGTAAGTTTGGCCCACGTGGGCTGACAGTTTGTCATCTACCCAGGCACACACGTGCCTTTCACACACTGACGAAATGCAAGTGTACAAATGTGCATGCACGAGCCTTTGCAGAGACACACAAACGCGCCAGACACTCTTTGAGCGGCCTCTCGTCCACACCTCGCCCCGGCTACCTATGCATTCTCCCCGCTCTCTGCTCTCTCTCTGACTCTTCCTCGCGGACGCTACAGCCCCAGTTTCCAAACTCACTTTCAGCTGTCTCCACGCCATGGTCCTTCCGCCACTGGGCCCGCCTCTGTTTCATTTCCATTGGAGGAGATGGCGAGACCACCTCTAACACCCGCCCCCGGAGCGGCCAACTCACCAATAGCCGGGAAGAAGGGTGGGGCCGGCGCATCTGGGCGGGGAAGACCGCGCTCCGCCCTGAGGGTCTGGTTGGAGGCTGGGAAGCGCGCGCGAGCGCAGTAGCGGTAGCCACGCCTTTTCCGGCCGCTCGCACCGCTTCCGGCGGCCGCCTTGCGCGTCACCAAGGTGAGGGTGCACTAAGGTTGACAGGTGTGGTGGGTTTGTCCGTGGTCTTCCAACCTGGCCAAAAGACTACTTGTTGGTTTTTCGGTTCTAAGCAACACAGTCAGCAATTTTTTAATCATTTTATGGATATGCTGTAGATAAAGCATGTATTGAGAAAGTATTAGGCACTATAAAAAGGGTTGAAATGAAGCAGTGGGTAGACTTCAAGAAGATTCCATCAACTTCAGGTTTCACTTAAAAATGCCTAAAACGTATGTATGTTTGTATGTATGTACGTTTGGGAAAGTAAAAGTTTGTAACTGAAAGTATCCTGCACCCGAACTATTTCATTGCAGCACAGACTTGATGGACTCAGAAACCTAAGAAAATGGCAGTCTTTTTTTCCTAGAATTTGAAACACTACAGTGTTGTAGTTTCAGCTCTCACTGCCTTCCAACTACACTCCCTCACCACACACACACGCAGAGAATTATTTCTCTTTATAAATACCTGCCACTTTCTTCTATGTGATTACTCACGTTGACGGCTCTGCCAGGATGCCCATTTCATCTGTCTAAATACGGCCCTCCTGATGTGTTCAAGTGCTGGAAATAATTAACTCAATCGAACCTTCATAGATTTAAACTGTACCTCTCTTGCAGCACTTTATTAACTACACTTACTGTGTCTTTATTAAATATAATTATGTCTTTCCTTCCCTGATTAGATTGTAAACTTTTGAATGTAGGGACCATACTATGTTAATCTTTCATTTAATTACTGCGGTATTTTTAAAAACGGATGTATTGGGATCTGTATTTCAGATTATTTTTAATTTCGGTGCCCGTGTCTAATGATTTTAAAGAGTGCAAGCATCACTAGGGAAACCAGCTGAACCCTGAAACCTGTCAAGTAATTCACTGGCCACCTTTATTTGTATTTATGGTCCATTTTGGCACCAAGAAAGAAAGCTGGCTAAAAACATAAATGATAGGTATACTACAGGTGAAAATCAAATGACATGTATGAACAGAGGTTTTTCAGCAAGGTAAAGAAAAGTGATGAGAGAATTGATTCTTCCCTGCTGCATGACATATTCAAAAGAACCTCTGTGGTTGTAGGCCAGAACCATGCGTTATCTGACAAGTGGCTATTTCGTTCAGCAAATTTGAATTTCGCTGATTTTCAGTCTTGTTTGTATTTAATCTGTATTTATGCTTTCATTAAATATTTATTCTTTGGCTTTTATGGTTATATAAGATTTAGGATAGAATAAATGTATTTAAGAAACAATACAGCGATTTAAATTCATCGTTTTCTTTTTTTAAAAAAACACAATACATTGTTCAATGTTTAGCAACGCTGACTTAGATATTCATTCATTGTCCTCTATTCCCTTACAGCTTAGACTTAGCAAATAAAGATGTATTATAAAGCTGAAGGCATACCCAGTTGTGTCGACACAGATGGTGCCCAGCTATAAAGGCCCATTGCTCTATTGATCTTTGTTTGTTTTTGGCTTATAGGAACTCCACCTGGGTCCTTAAAAGAAAACCTTTTGTCTCCTTGACGGCTATTTCCAATTCCTAAAAGCATAATAATAATAAATAAATAAGACAAATCCACCAAGAATGTATTTAAAGAGCCAGGCAGCTTCTGAGCCTCCACAATTTTTTGTGCTCACAGTTCACAGAGGAAATGTTCTTCAAAAGACTAACCTGGCTTTGGTTATACATCAGAACAAGTATCATTCTAGGAAGTGAGTTAAATAGTCCAGAGCATCATGGTAAAAATAGCTGTTATCAGCTTAATAAGTTTCACTGCAGCTTTGAGGAAGCAAAAAATTACTGTCATGCCCAGGGAGGACACCTTGCTTACACTTGGAACCAGGAGATTCAGGATCTCATCTGGGACTTTCTGGAAGAAGGGAAGAAGTGGTGGATTGGACAAAATTTAATGCTGCTGGGAAAATATCAAGAAAAAAACCATCCAAGTAAGGCCCTGAGGTTTGGTGTTTATGAAGGAAACTTCCTTACTTTTATCCTAGAACAGGAGAAAGAAAAAATTTAAATCTTTCCACCTTTGTATACAGAAAAATTAGTCACTTTGCTCCATTACCATTATTCCTCTAAAATATTTCCATGTTTGTGCTGCAGCCTTTGATTTGTCTGTGTAGCAAAGATGATGTGATTTTTCTCAGAGGCTATCAGAGGTTAACTAATATTCCACTGAAAGTATTCTGCAGGATTCTGAAGTGGAAAACCTTTTCTGATCACTTTTCCTGGTAAATATATCTTCATCATCCTTGGCTCCAAGCTTTCTAATGCAGAAACTAGAAAAGAAATTGTTTGCCTCTTGTCTTTCATAGATATTTTCAAGATTATGCACCATACTCTTGTGGTTCTAGAGAAACCTCCAAGGCATTTATGTCATAATTACTGTCATTGAAGTCAAAGTAAATTAATGCTAAGCCTTGTGATTAAAAAAAAACACATAATATGAAAATATTATACTATGTTGGAGGCACCTAAGTTTTCATCTATTGAAAGCTAGCAAATTTGGTTTTCATATTTTTTTAAATGTTTGACTTCTTATTAACCAACATCAACCCAATAAAGTCAGTAAAAAAATTTTTTAAATGTTTGGCTTTTGAGTGTGAAGCTCATCTGGACCTGGTCTTTCTTCTGCAGATATCGCAGCTCACAGCACCACAAAGCCCTCCAGATGCACTTACATGTCCAGAAAGTCCAAACGGGTCTCATCAAAAGTAGACTTGTGCTCACGAGGGCATTATTTCATTTGCCAGACTGGTAAGTGACAAAGCTACATGCTACCAAAGACCTAACTTTAGAAACTGATTCTAAATAAGGAGAGTTTGTGAGAGCATTAGTTAGCAAGTCCATGAGTGATAGACCACAGAGGGATACAAGGATCTTGATTTTCATGATACTGATTAGTGTCAGAAACTGTTCATTTGGAGTGACTTCCTTATATTTCCTATTAACTCTGGTAGTTGGAAAGAGCTGTGTGTTGATATTCCCTTCATTGCCAGACTGGGGTGGAGCGTGGGAGAAAGTGTATTACTGGCAAGCCCCATTTTCCACATGTGAACCCCTAATCCATTCAGTGTTGGGCTTTAGAGGGAGGACTAAGAAGCGAAGGAGGAAAAGAGAATAGGATGAAGGAAAATCAAGAAGATGAAGGGTGAGGAGATTTTCATCAATTAGAGGTTTGTTTCTTCAGAATTAGATCAGAATTAAGGTGGGTGGGAGGGGTTGGATGGTTTTTGTTTTTGCAATTAAGCAGTGTTTTTCCTGATGGTTGTTACATTAAAGCATTTAACCCTTAGCTCAGTGAATTCTCAAAGACTGATGTCTTGGATTTTCTAGGTAAAAATTTTGTTTCACTTTTTAAGGTTACAAAATGAAAATATAAAGCATGTGTGGGTGCTTCTTAAACAACACATTGCAATATTTATTACAAGAAATATTTCTCTATTATAGTATTCCTCAAATACTGGGTATTGAGAGGACCCAGTATTTCAATATAATTAATTTCTAGTTTCCAATCTCTCATCCTTGTCTTTTCAAGCTCTTTGTGATATTTTTGTCCTGTTTTGCCTTTACAGCATGCTGTTGTTATTGAGGCCAAGGTTGTGAGCCTAATCTCTGCATGAGTCTAATGGTCATGTGTTTTATTCTCACAAATTGCATCCCTTGAATTGGCCATCTTATAATTGTGAACTCTTTTTAGTCATCTCCAGGATTGGAAAAGCCACCCCTAAATAGCCTGAATGATGATGCCTGTTGTATCCATCTTTCACTCTAAGAGTTGAGTTTTTAGACATTCTCAGCTAAATGGTTTTGGAGTGAAAGTGTGTTTTCTGATACTGTCATTCATGTACTTGCAAGAGATTACTGCTATAGAATATAGAGTGTATGTGCAGAAGATAATCTTGGACAAAAAGAATTCTATTAAATTAATCTAAGCCAGTGCTGCAAATTCTGAACCTGCATTCCCATAATGAGAGGAAGTATGTGACTGCAGCTGAGAGCTCAGGCTCAGGAGTCATGAGTTCCTGAGTCAGAGTCCCGAGCTCATATCTTGTTTCTATGACTTTCCAGTTGTGACGCCCTGGGCAAGCAGCTTAACCTCTGTGCAGCCCAGTTGCCTTCAAAGGTTTACCAGAATTAAGATAATACAGTGAAATATTAGAACAATGTCTAGCATAATAGTTTAGTTATTACTGTTAATATTATATTCTCGTGCAGTGTCTGTTTTTTGTTCAAAGTTTATTTCCTGCTTCTAGAGAGCTTCACATGCATGTCAAGGATGAAAGCAGTTTTGGAGAGCCAACATTACTAGTTACCTTTAAAAACGAAAGTATCTGCACAATGTAATTGCTTAGAAGTATTTTCAAATAACTGGCCTTGTCATAGTGTTTATACGTATTTATTATGAATCTAAGAAATGCCTCTTCCAAAATAACATGTTGTAGAAGAAATATTTTAATTTTGTTCTTTAAAATTCAAAAGAGAAATCTAATGCTTTGTATTATCGTATAATATTACTGAGGTTACAGGTTGATTTTTGCACACTGGAATCATTGAACTCAGGATTTTTCTATATTTATTTTTAAAAAGCACTTAAAGATTAAGATCACGTATAAAATCATTCATTCCTAAGAGATTTTTATTTTCAGAGTGTCAGAATAAGAAGTAATAGTTTGTATTAAAAGTGGCATTGTAGCCCTGGCCAGGTGGCTCAGTTCGTTGGAGCATCATCCCATCCACAAAAATGTTGCAGGTTTGATTCCCTGTCAGGGCACACACCTAGGCTGTGGGTTAAATCTCCAGTCAGGGTGCTTGTGGGAGACAACTGACTGATGTTTGCCTCTCACATCGATATCTGTGTGAGTCTCTCTCAAATCAATGAATGTATCCTCGGGTGACATTTTTTTTAAAAAACATGCTATTTTAGTAGAGTTGATATTCAGCTGTATGTACAAGACAGTCATACTGGTCATGAAAACTGTAAAATACTTATATGCCATTGGTAAAGTAAAATAACAGTATAAACTCATTACTTTAAATTAATTAGCATAGGATGACATGACAACCATTAATAAATGTAGTTCTGTCCTGTCAACATCTGAACAATATTTGTAGCACTGTCTGCCATTTTGGATAAGGTCACATTGTTGCACATCCTTTGAAAAGCTCTGTGCTTTAGGAAAGTCATCATTTATCTTTATCCTCCAATTATACACATATGTTTGCTACTACTTTCTAAATAACGTAGCTTTGACTTTGTTCTTGTTTCAGTAGCAAATATGTGATGTTTTAATATTTATAAATTCAGTAGTTTGTAATAAAATATTAAACACAAGTTTCCACAACCCCCAGTGGAAAAAATGGATCTAGGGAATAATCACGAATGACACTAACATCGTGAACAGAGAGAGAGACATTATGGGACTCCTGAGGGAAGATTTGACACCACCTACTAAGTATTTTTTTAAATTTTGTATTGTTGTTCCATTGCAGTTGTCCCATTTTTCCCCATTTTTCTCCCCTACCAAAGTATTTTTACAAAAAAGTAGAACTTGAATCTCAGCAAGCCTCTAGAGCCAACCATGCACATGAATGCTAATAACAGCTTTATTTGTAATAGCCCCAAACTGGAAACAGCCCAGACGTCCTTCAACAGGTGAATGGTTAAACAACTGTGGTACATCCATTCTATGAAATATTATTCAGCAATAAAGAGAAACAAACTGTTGCTCCATAGAACAACTTGAGTGAATCACCAGAGAATTATGCTGAGTGAAAAAAGCCAATCCCAAAAGGTTACATACTGTATCGTTCCATTTATTTAATATTCTTGAAATGAAATGAAAAATTATAGGAATGGAGAACAAATTAATGTTGTCAGGGCCTAAGACAGGAGAGAGGGCAGGAGGGAGGTAGGCGTGGCTACTAAAGGGCCACATGAGGGATTTTTATGATGATAGAAAATTTTTTTATCTTGACAGTATTAATGTCAGTTTCCTGACATTGGTTACACTGTAGTTTGCAAGATGTTACCCTTGGAGAAAACAAAATAAAGGGGATGTAGCATCTCTCCATTATTTCTTACAATTATGTACAATTATCTCAAAATAATAAGGTTAATTTTTTAAAAAAGAAACAAAAAAATGCCCTGATGTAAGTATGTACATCACTTATGAAGTATTCTTGCCAAAAAATAGAGAAATGAAAATTAAATATAAACTGGAATACTATTTCCCACTTATGAGATTGGCATAAATTTACAAACTTAACATATTCTTTTGGTAAGATTATAGGGAAATAGGCACTCTCATAAATTGTTAGTGGGAATGCAATAAGATGCAGTCTTTGTGGAGGAGAATTGGGCAATTTCTCGCAAAATTACATTCATATTTAGCTTTTGACCCAGCAATCCTGCTGCTAGGAATCTACCCCAGAAATACATTGACAAAAATACAAAAAGACACATGCAGGCTATTTATTGTAGCTCTATTTGTCATAGCAAGGAGTAGAAACAATCCACATACCCATCAAGAGGGGACTGGTTGTAAAAGAAATAAGAAACATCTCTATGTACTGCAATGGGGTTATCTTTATGTTTTTTATTTTTATTTTAGTGGAGAAAAGCAAACTGCCGAATACTCAGACAGTATGCTACTTTGATCTAAGAAAAGGAGTACTATGACTAGATATGAATATATATACACACATACATGTAAACATAAGAGGGGAAAAAACTAATGGCAGTGATTACCAATGGGGGAGGGAGGGAATAGGATAGAAAGGACAAAGATGGAAGTTAGACCTCTCTGAATGTACCTTGTTTCATGGTTTTGACATTGGAACTCTACATGTTTGACATAGTTAGAAAACAAATTTAAAGTGAAAACAAAGCAATACCTAAAAATAAAGAGAGAGCAGGAGAGGAATTAGGTGCATAGTTTAGATACTTTTTAAGGGAATTTTGCTCAAGAGCAGGAATGAAACTATATGTATATAATTCCTGAGGAAATGTAAATTGGTGAGGGTTTCTAAGACAGGAAAAAGAGTGTACTAGGACAGTGTTCTTGATCCAGACTGCAGGGGCTCACTTCGTGCAGGAGCATGGAGACTTTGTGGTCGCAGGAGGGAAGACTGTCTGTGGGTACAGATGCTGGCAGCTGAACAGATTTGGTGGTAGGTGTCAGTGAAATAAGTCAGTCACTTCCATTTTCCCTTGAGACAGAAAGCAAGGTTATCTACCACTTGACCTGAGAATGAGCGTCAGGGAAGCTCCTAGATGTTGGAGATTTGAGTAGAGGACGAAGTGGGAAAGGGTTGTCTGGGAGAGGGGAAGCAGGAATAGACTAGGGGAATGCAGTATGATTGCCAGGCAGTGCAGAGGCAGCCCCCGGGGGTTTGTGATCTTGAGTTTAAGCTGAGATAGAATCCATGAGGCTGTTTGGTTTTCTCTAGCCATGCTCAGCAGCACGAGGAGAAAAAAAACAGAGGCACGCAAGGCACATTCAAGAATGTTATCGCCAACCTTCTGAACTCTTATCTCTACCAATACGAATTATAGATTACAAAGGAGAGTATTATGCTTAGAATGTAGTTTCTTAAAATGAACTTAATTGTCTTCTCAGTGTTGACCCAGTCAGTGGACCTGATTTTGAGATGTCGGATCAAACAAGGTGGTGCCTGTGCCCCAGAGCAAAAGAGCTACTTCAGAATTCCTACGTTATTGTTCTTTTTAAAAATGGATATTAATCTTCAATTTGTGTTTTCTTACCATATATGTGCTTGTAATGCTTATTTTATAGCCTTACAGTTAGAGTTTATGCTATAAATTAACTCCAAACAGATGCCTTTTCAGACCAAGATGCAAGTTATGAAGGAAATGGAAATAATTCTCACCAGCGTCCCAGGAAGACAAAAAGAGAAATCACAATACCAAGAAATAAAATGACCTCAGGTAATGTATAACAAAATCAATTCTGCCTTATAGGATGCACAAGACAATGCTGAAATGTGTCATCATAACAGGTACCCAATAAATATTTATTGCATTCTATTTTGTCTGATCTTAATGTTGCAGTCTTTGCTTTCATTTTATAAAGTCTTATTTTCTTCATGTTCCTTTGGCCATCCTCTTTTCACATATGCTCAAATAAAAGACAAAGGTTTTCTCACAAAATGTTCTATCAAAAACTAGAGGCGTCTTGATGTCCTTGCAAAGTCTGTCAAGTTGTGGTGTTCTCTCTCAATTTTTTTTTTTAATTTGAAAAACAAAATCTATTTGGGGAAGATGCATTAGCCTGAAATTACCTCAATCAATATCAGTGTTGGATAATTATAGAAATCACCTTGATAGAATGGGTGGGAAAAAGAGGTAAATTTAAAGAGGATGTAGTGATTATTCTTATTACTTCACAACTTCAGTTAGATGTCCTTGTCAACAGTCCCTGTAAGTATCCCTTAAGAGAGCAATTTAGAAAGTGTCATTTTGAATAAATATCTAAAGAACAAACTAAGAAGTACAAGTCAGTTGTTACAGAATAGTCATGGGAATGTACAGCACAGGGAATATAGACCATAATGGTCTCATAACTGTGAGGTGTCAGACAGGTGTGAGATTTATCCGGATGATCATTTATTTAGTGATCTAACCACTGTGGTGTACACCTGAAACTAATATCATAATGTATGTCAACTATAATTGAAAATAAAAAATGATTTTTAGAAAAGGAACAAAGGTAAAAATCAACTTTTCTGAATGTTTTGTAAACAGGTACTTGTGAGTTGGGGGAAAGTGTTTAGTGATACAGCAGTAGATGGAATTAAAGATGATATTTTTGGAAAATTGTTAAATAACTCCATAAGTTCTTCTAATTATAATTAAAGCGATGATGATGAAGATGCATATGAAAAGTCTGAATAAATCTTATGTCATGAAATGTGAGTTTCATTAGAGTAATTTTTATAAATTAGTATACATATATTTATATAATGTGATTTTAAATGTGCCTTTAAACAACAAAATAAGTAGACATGTGATGTTCTCCTTACATCCTTCAAGCTTATATAGTCAAGTTTGCCCAAAAATAATCTTCAAAAAGTCTCCTCATTGAGAAAAGAGGAGATTGCCCTATTTGGGGAGTTGCCTTACATTTACTCATGTATATGTTAGGTCCTTTAAAAAGTTTTGTGTCACTTTGCTTTAAACTGTGTCCCTTTTAAATTTTCTATAAATTCATCTACTATTTTACTTATCCTGAGAATATTTTTACAATAGTTTATCACATTTAAATTTATCTTAATGACAGATATCCTTTCTTGCCTTGTTCTGTGCTTTCTGGTTCTAATGCTTCCTTGCTACTTCTGCCTTTTGTTGAAATTTTGTTCTTCAATATTTTTGTTTCAATTGTTTAGCTTTAAAAAGTTGTTCTTTTTAAAAACACATTCTTATACCTATGTTTTTCTAATTGTCAAGCTCAGGAATGAAAGTCTCTCTTGAAACCGTGTCATCTGGCTAAAGGAATACAGCTTATAGTAGTTATTCCTCTCCCCACCTCACTTCCTAGATCTTGTTAGTATGTTCTGTGGGTTTTTTTATTCATGTTATCATTATAGCGAATTACTGTTTTTACATTATACAACTTCTCTTAACAATGTATTTTTCAAACTTTTACCAAAGCAGATTTCCAACAATAATTTAGAACTTATTTCTATTTAACTTTTTATATTTCTCAGCAATCATATCATAACTTTACTTTTCTCTTGAGTTCTTAATTTTGTCTCATTTCTACAATTTTTTTTTCAAGAAAGATTGGTGGAAATATTTTGGGAACTTGTGAATAATCAAAAGGGGTCTTTCTTATCCCTTCCCAATATTAAAGAAAATTCTCCCCAGACAATTTACTGATTTAGTAGGCTTTTGTATTCAGTGACTTATGAATTGGGCAGCATTCAATCTAGCAAATAGAAAGGAGCTCAGAAGAACTGAACAAGGTGAGAGATTTTTTATAGACAGCTGAGCAAGGTTACTTTCCTTATTTGGAACAAAGGGAAGCCAGGTTATGTAACTTGTGCTGAGCAGGCAACCGCTGATTGGCTGGCCTAGGCCTGCCTTTTCTGGGAGAACCAAGCACAGAAACTTAGTTAAGTTTTGGTTTGCTGATATGGGGCTTAGCATGAGTAACTCCATCTCGGGCCTAACCTGGTTAGTTCAACACCAATAAGCCATATGTTAGCAGAATGTACAAGTTAAAACATAGGATCAATTGCTGTGTTCTCCATATCTTTCCTGCTATTCTTTTAAATGAAAAGATTCATTTCCTACTTATCACCTTTTCTGTTGCATTCCAGGAAAATCCCTCACATTTATCCTTCATATGATTGATTTAGTTTTTCCATATCAGTTCTGTGGGTCTTCAATGTGGATTTTGAATTTCTATAGCAATTTTAGCTTTCTTGAAATCCTCTAATATGATTTATTTCACTTTTAATCTATCTCATTCTTGTGTATTTTAGCTTTAGTTGATTTATCTTTAAGACTTTCTGTTTCTATTAAGGATGTTAATTAGCTTTCTGATTTTTTTTTTTCTGTTGATATTTTCAGAGATATAATTTCCTTCAAGCCCTCTGGGTTCAATTCCCAGGTTCTGTAATATTCGTTGGCTCTCTTTTGGTTTTAGTTTTTCCTCATCTTTGAAGGCAAGATCTGTCCAAACACCATGATTGTCAGGAGACCAAGAAATTAGGTCACCCTTAGTTCAGCAACCTGTTGGTTTATCTAATGAGCATAACCCCCTTTCAAATCTGCAGCTGAAGTGCAAGGTCAGTTCCCTGTTCCCAGCAAGCTGATAACCCTGATCTGAGGTGACATTTCTCTCAACTTTACCTCCATTGATTTAATTTTCATACAGTAGATAGTATTACACCCATTCTCCTGATGAAAAAAATGAAGAAGTTAAGTCATTTGTGTGAGGCTCTATAGTAACAGTAAAAGTCAAATCAACTCTGGATCCCAAGTCTTTTGAATCCAATTTCTTTGTTCTATCCTCCATCCCTTTGCCTTGATAGAAAGACATGGCATCTGATCAGGAGAACATCTCAGAACTCTGTCCTCCCCTAGCAGAGGTAGCTGCAATGATTCTGCTGCTAAAAATACATGTCAGTCCTATGAACAACAGGAGGAATGTTACAAGAAAACGTAGAGGGCAAAGTAGGCTTGCTATAGCCAAGTATATTTTAATGGTCTTTCTAGACACTCACGCTTTGAAAGAAGTCACCCTAAGTTAAGAGCAAATAGGCATATTAACACACCAATATTGGCTTCAGCGCATAGTTATCTTGCTGGAAAATGCGTGAAGAGTATGAAAGCAATAATGCTAATCTGACACAATGTTTTAAATGATCGTTTTCTAAAAGTCTATGAGACATATGCCCTGATTTATTGACAATGAGATCCTTTTTGTAAAATTATGAGACAAACATTTCTGCACTAATATTTATATACTGGCAGCTTTATGATTGATTTTATTTAATATTTCTTTTTATACCAAGGGTTTTGAAGAATAAACAAAAGGATGAGACATTAGTGATTTGTAATGCTTCGGCTTCATAATTCTAGCTTGTCCTATAGATTTATCAACAGTGGGAGATGATCATTTTGGTTTTCTATATGATCTGCATTTTTAACCAAGAATAACAAATGAGATAGGAAGAACTATTTCTGTCCTAGGCTTTTACTTGAACTTAATCTACTTTTTCTTTTTCTACAGGAGCCACTCATTTTTCAACCAAATGTCACCAACCTGCTCATGCTAATCCTGTAAGTACTTACCTTCACAATACACATCTTGGAATATTATTATCTTTTTCTTTTCCTGTTGGGTCCTGCCAGAACTCTACTCTGTGTCATAGGGTACTCTGAACTATAGTTTTCTTATAAGCAAAGGAAAGTACTTAACTGTAGGAAGGAATCAGGTTTAATGGATTATTTATTAAAGACTATTTTAAAGCCTGTCTTTGGCTTTCATGTGGGTATTTTTATCTTGGTTGGTTGGTTGTTCCCTTCTTCATTCCAAAAAGCATTTGTGGCATCTTATAAAAATATACACAATTCAATAAAGTTGTTAATTTTTTTAAAAGAGAAAGAAAACCGTGAAAGAAAAAGAAATGTGGAAAAAACTGCATAATCTATAAAATTTCACCTTCAAGAAATTTCTCAGCTTTCATGCCTTGTATCCTCCATAGAAACCTTTCAATGGGTGTCTAAATATAGATTCACATTTATTTGGTCCACTGCAAAAAAATAAGTGTTCTTAGCAGTATAAAAGAGAAAGGGGATGAAATAAAAATCCCTTAAGTCAGTATATCTCAAGCAATTTTCTGCAGAGTAACAACCAACATTGCTTAAAACATTGCCAGAAGGGAAGAAAACAAAGGTTTTTGACTGTAGGACTTCTCAGAGCCTTTTATATCCCCAAACCTAAGCAGTCCCCAACCACCTTCACCTCTGCCACCCTGACCTCCCCAGTCCAAGCACCATCGCTCCCACCTGAGCCTTGCACCTTTCTCCTGCTGGAGTCCCTGCTTCTGCCCTCGGCCCCTCTCTGTCATTTCCAGCACAGCAGTCAGAGGAGCCTTCACAACCCAGGTCAAGTCAGGCTGCTGCTCCCCAAAGTCCCCCACCCCCAGCTCTTCCCATCTTATTCAAGGTAAAATCACACTCTTCTCAATTCCCTGCTGCAGGGCTTGCTTTCCAACACCCTTCCCTCATTGCCACTCCACTCCCAGGATCCTTTTTTATCTCCTTTCCTCCCACTTTTGTTCATCTAGCTTTTTCGTTCTTCCTCAAACAAAACCCGCAGTCCGTGGACTCGGGGCTTTTGCAGTTCTCAAATACCCTTCTCCAGGATACTGACAGAGCTTCCTCTCTTGCTTGATATAATGCTCAGCAAAAATGTCCTCTCACCCGAGCCCCCTGTCTGAAATGCGCCCTTTCTCTTCATCTGCTTATTACTGTTACTTTTTTTCCTTCACGGCACTAATCGAATACATGCAGTAATTTACCTCTGTCTCCACCACTGAAATGGACTCAGTGAGGACAAGAAGTGGGCTCATTGCCGTATCCCCACTTCCCCAGAACACTGCTCAGCACGTGGCAGGTGTTTAATGATAATTTATTGAATGGTTGACAATAAATATACGAAGGGACACTGTGAATCTTAAAGAGGGTAATATTATATTCCACTTTCTCAAATCTGTTTGGGCACGAGATCTTTTTGAGAGAAATGCCTATTGATATCTCATGGGACCTGGGAATTGCAGAGCAATGTTGAAAACACTGCCTTAATTTTCATTATTTGGTCAAAATCAGATTTAGCTTCTTCCTTTACATATCTTTATCTTTTAGTCCAAGACCCTGTGCCATTCTGTCAGCCTGTTTCCTTCCGTCCTCCCCGAAGTCACACACCAGGGAATGTCAGCCGGGTCTGTACCCACCGGCCAGCCTCCCCCTGTGACGGCAGAGCCCACCAGACCTGCCTGTGCAACACACGCGGGAAAAGCTCTGCCGGGAATCACTTCCAGCCCCAAAGAGGACTCACGTCCAGGTGTCTCCACCACTCGTCTACGAGCATTATTTCAAAGTGCATCTGACCAGGAAAATGTGGAGCATGGCAGTCCGAACTGGGTACATTTGTGACACTGAATAGGCACTTTTTTTTCTTATTTATTTATTTACTTATTTATTGTTCAAGTACAGTTGTCTCCATTTTCCTGCCACCACTCTCCCTTGCCCCACCAACCCTTACCTCCCACCCTCAGTCCTTGCCTGCTTTGGCTTTCTCCGTGGGTCCTTTATACATGTTCCTTGATGACCCATCCCCTTTTTTTCCCCTTCCCCCTCCCCTCACTTACTGGCAGTTTGTTCTTTATTTCAGTGTTGATGGTTATATTTTGCTTGCTCATTTGTTTTGTTGATTAGGTTCCACTTATAGATGAGATCACATGGTATTTGTCTTTCACGGCCTGTTTTACTTTGCTTAGCACAATGCTCTCCAGTTTCATCCATGCTGTCACGAAGGGTAGTAGCTCTTTCTTTCTTTCTGCTGCGTAGTATTCCATTGTGTAAATGTACCATAGCTTTTTGATCTACTCATTTACTGTTGGACACTTAGGCTGCTTCCAGCACTTGGCTATTGTAAATTGTGCTGCTATGAACATTGGAGTTGCACAGGTTCTTTTGTACTGGTGTTTCAGGATTCTTAGGGTATAGTCCCAGCAGGGGAATTGCTGGATCAAAAGGCAATTCCATTTTTAGCTTTTTGAGGAAATTCCAAACTGTTTTCCACAGTGGCTGCACCAGCCTGCATTCCCACCAAGAGTGTATTAGGGTTCCCTTTTGTCCACAGCCTTGCCAGCACCTGTTGTTTGTTGATTTGTTTATGATGGCCATTCTGACCGGTATGAAGTGATATCTCATTGTGGTTTTAATTTGCATTTCTCTGATGGCTAGTGATGCTGAGCATCCTTTCATGTGTCTCTGGGCCCTGTGTATGTCCTCCTTGGAGAAGTGTCTTTTCAGGTCCTTTGCCCATCTTTTAATTGAATTGTTTGTCTTCCTGGAGTGGAGTCTTGTGTTCTTTATATATTTTGAAGATCAAACCCCTGTCCAAGGTATCATTGGCAAATACATTTTCCCATATGGTTGCTTCCATTTTCATTTTGCCGATGTTCTCTTTAGCCGTGTAGAAGCTTCTTATTTTGATAAAGCCCCACTTGTTTGTTCTTTCCTTTATCGGGGGATATAACGGTGAAAATATTGCTGCATGGAATATCTGAGATTGAAAAAGCACTTCCATTCTTTCCTTCTATTTTGGTGATGTTTCAGGAGCAGAACTGTACCGAGAGTGCCTGGCAGACAAGCATATATTCCTCTTAAAAGCAAAACCAAGACAAGTCCATGAAAATATTCCACAGTGGATTTTGTACCCAGTTCTGTGTTTAAGGTCTTATCATTAGTTAATGCTACTGTATTAGTGCTTCAGATGGGGAGGAGCCTTTGTTTACCTGCCCCACTTTTTGAGCGGCAGCAACCCCCTTGGACACCTCCTCCAACTCCCCATCTCAACTCTCCTTTCACCTTTGTTCCCTTTTAAACACAAACTGGAAAAAAAAGGCAAAGCTACTTTAACAGTGTTGACTAAAGATAAGCATCCTGCTTCTCTCTATGTTATTTTTAAAACACAAGCCCTACTTCTATACAGGCTAACATTCCCCTGTTAGAAAAGGATCCTATTTACTCTGCATCTGCTTTCAGTGTCAGTGGAAGCTGGATGTTCACTGTTATTGCCCCCATTAGCATTGTGTTCCTCTGCGGGGAAGCCGACCCACAGTAGCCTAAACAAAGGGTGTTTGTTGGCCTTAAACAGGGAGAAAGCTGAAGTATATAGAATACCCAGAAAGTCTACAAATAAGTTATTCGAAATATTAAAAGAATTTAGAGATGCTACTGAATACCAGATTAGTATACTAAAGTTAATTGTAGTATTACATATCAGCAATGACTGGTTAGAAAATTATATTTTTTAAAAAAGATACAATAGGAGTAAGTCTAATCAAAGATGTACAAAACTTCTATGGAAACAGCAATAAGGCTTGATTAAAATATTAAAGAAAGGCCGAGTGGATGGTGAGCTCTACAATGATTCCACCCAGGTTATACATTCTGCTCTAAAATATCAAGTGCAGACTCCTCAGTGACCTGCCTGGCTGCAGCGCGAGTGGCGCTGAGTAAGGTCTGACCTGCACTGGCAAACATGCAGTTGGTTGGCAACCGTGTCTCACTTTATCTTCATTTCTTCTTATTTACATCTCAGTCCCAAAATATGAAACCAAACTTGGGTGGTTCTCAGCCCTAAGATCTCTCTATAACTGATTCAACCTCCTACACACCCCATGAATCAGGAATAACCCTATTCAATTGCATGGTCTGCCAGGGCGGGTCCATAACTGACCTTCACTGCTCCAACTCCTGAGCCTGGCAATAGACAGTAGGCATTTAATAAGGACTTACTGAATGCACAATTGAAGTAAGCTGTTAGTGGGTTGTTCTCTAGACATCGGACCACGTAGTTGGTATAAACAGACTGTCTCAGGGTTGGGCTTCCAGTTCAAAAGAAGTAGCCTCTTAAGCTTTGGGACCGTATCCGGTGTTCTGGATTTGTTTTCTCAGAGAGGAGCTCGGCCTCCTACCTCCTGCCATGTGGTATTTCAAGGACTTCCCTCTTGAACAGGAACTCTTGAATTGAGGGAAATACAGTGGGAAACCTCAGGGGATAAACATACTTCTGAATAGAAAAGTTTTTGTTGTTTTCAATTTTATGTTTCCCACACTTTTCATCATGGCCATAGACTTAAACTTACTCTTAAAAATCTTATTTCCAGACTCATTTGTCCTTGGATCAATCATTGTATAACCTTATTATCCATTTTTCTCTACTGTATGGAAGAGGTGAAAGTAAATTCTATCTATTTGCCGAAAAACTTCTGAAAGTAATAAATGTTATGGAGAGCCTGTGATTCATTGAACTTGTAATGTCATCAAAGGTCAACTCTCATCAAAACATCTCAAACTACTAAAGTCCAATAATTACATATAAATAATTTTGACAAAATCCTTTGTTTTCAATAGGTCATAAATGAGATAGCATGGAACTTTAGCCAAGCAGTTCATGGTTTTCAAGCTCACAACAAACTACAGAAAGCTTGTGAAGTACTCCAGAAACTGACAGCCTTTATCCCAGGATTTTCTCAGGCAGTTCAGGTAAGCAGAGGTTGATTGGAAAGGAAGAAGATGTGAGAAAGGGGAAAATGAAAAGCAGAAAGAGAGAAAGAAAGTGTAAAAAATAGAAAACACATAATCTGAACATTGTGCTCTGTGCAGAATTCAGCATTATAAAACTATTTTGTGGAGGCTCAATGGAAATATTAGCAAGTATATTTGTACCTTTAAATCTGAAGAGTGTGAAAATATGTGGTCAGTAATGACATCCTCATGTGTCACATTACTGCCTTTCTGATACTTGTGTTAGGAGACATCATGGGAGACAAAAACAGATCCTCGCCTTGCCATACAATAGAGCAGCCTTGAAAGAAGCTTCGAGAATCAGTACCCCTGTGATGTTTGCATTTGTTGCAACCACATTTGACAGTGTTACCTCCTCGTAATTCGTGCCTATCCTACTCCCTACACATAGGTAAACTAAGGTGGTAGGATTAGTGAGGATTTAATTTTCTGTTCTCCATTCCCTGTATTTTCAAATGTTCTGCAATAAGTATATAAATGAAATCTGTATTGGTTTATTTGGGCTTTTTAATTACAGAAGTAATATGTGCCTGTTATTTAAAAAATTAGAACAAAAGCACATTTAGTCTTGATTTGTTGTGCATAACCTTCCAAACATTTTTGATGCATACACAAGTCCGTTGGTTTGTTTTATTTTAATAAAAATGGGATTAAAGTTTACAAATTTTTTGCCCCTTGATGTTTTTTTACTTAATACTGTTTCATGGATGTCTTTTCATGTTAGTACACATAAAATGAACACCTTGTTCTTAATGTTTGCTTGTATATTTGTCATTTGTTTACCCTTGCAAATAGCATATCCATGGACATCCCTTTACCTACCTCATTGAGTACTTCTGCCAATATTTCTGTGGGGCAAGGCGCTAGAAATAGAATTGATGGACTTCCAAATTTTCAGTAATGACTAACTAGCCCTTCCCTCATAAAAGGAATTATTTTACATTCCGACCAACCTGTTCCCCACACTTTTCATATTTTACAATTTTAAAAGGGAGAAAAGAAAAAAAAGCATTTATTGATTACTAAAGAGGTTGAACATCATTTGTTACATTTATTGGCCATTTTTATTTCTCCTCTGAATTACTTCTTCATTCCCTCATCCATTTTCCCCGTTGGGTTGTTTGACTCTTTAGTTATTTGTAAGAGAGCTTTATTTATTATTGATATTAACCTTTTGTTATATATGTTGCAAATATTTTGTGCCCATGTCATATTTTGTTATTTTATATTTTATTTTATTTTTTATTTTTATTTATTGATTTAAAGAGAGAAACATCGATTCATTGTTACACTTATGGATGCATTCATTGGTTTATTCCTGTATCTGCCCTGACCAGACACCTTGGAGTACTGGGACGATGCTCTCACCAACTGAGCTACCCAGCCAGGGCTATGTTATTTTATATTTTATTTTGTAAATATTTTACTTTGTAGTTTTTAATAAATGAAGCTTTGAAAATAACATTTTAAAACAAAAATAGTAATACAGTGACCAGTAAATATCTGTCATTTGGCTTATCTAACTCATTTTGCATGAGAACAACCTACAGAAAGGAGAATTGGTATTTTCTGTTTCATTCAGAACTTCTCCTTGATCTCTATTTTAAGTCTATTTTGAATAGACTTAAATAGGCTTTTGAGGTCCTCAATACAAAGGGATAGTCTACTCAGTATTTCAGTCAGGACTGTTCTTTTCTTCAGCATTTCTTTTTTAAGCTTAGTTTTGTTAATTGGGTATTTGACCCACTTACCACTCAAAAAGGGCATATCAGTTGCTTAGAATAACCTGAAATGCAAATCCTCCCTATAGGTGATATGTAATAGTATGTTTTTCTTCCTCAGCACATTGTAGTATTGCCTCTTATAAAAATGTATTTGAAATATGTAAAGAAGAACACATAAATTTACATCATTCAGGAGAGTACATTTGCTTTTTAAAATTCCCAGGTTGATGTTGTCGACTCCCTAATCTACCTGAGTAAGCAATTACTGAAAAGCCCATTTGAGAATAACAGCACTCTGGGCTTCAGAATTCCTGTGACTGTCTGCCTCTTTCATTCCCTCAACAATGTAGTGAAAGCCAGTAAAGCAAGTGGGCCCAGATCCAAGCATGACATTGAGCAGGTAGGTGTATTACATGCCAGTGGACAACTCTCCTTAGAAACTTTTTAATCTTGACAGGTCCATGTATCACACACAGCCTCTCCCTAGACTCTAAGATAGCGCCAGCTAAGTCTGCATCACTGAAGAGACTGCTCTGTTAAGCCTGGTCTGGGTCCTCCTCTCTGCCCTACCAGTGAGCCAAGACTACCCACTGCTGTAAATCTAGTGAAAAGAACTTAGTAAGGTGCTTGGCACACAGTGAACATTCAGTAAATCATATTTGTTATACACATGCAATGTTCAACATTATTAATCTTTGGGAAAATGCTGATCAAGGCACACTGAGATACCACTTCACATCTAATAACAAGTGTTGGCAAGGAGGCAGAGAAATTGGAACCTTCAAACATTGTTAGATTTTAAGATGATACAGCTACTTTGCAAAGCAGTGTGACAATTCCTCAAAATGTTAAAAATAGAATTACCATGTGACCTAGCAGTTCCACTCCTTGGAATAGACCCACATATGTCCACACTGAAATGTGTACAATCATGTTCATAGCAGTATTATTCAAATAGCCAAAAAGTTGAGACAACCTAGATGTCTATGATCTGATGAATGGATAAGTAAAATGTGGTATGTCCTAAGATGGAATATTACTTAGCAACAGAAAAGAATGAAGTAGATACATGCTACAACACAATGAAGTTTGAAAATATTATGCTAAGTGAAAGAAACCAATCACAAAAGACCGTGTACTATCACACCATTTATGTGAAATGTCCAGGAGAAGCAAATCTATAGACGTAGAATGTAGATGACTGGCCACTTAGGGTTAGAGGAGATGAGGACAGGAGAATGGGCAGTGACTGCTGCTAAATGCTGGGATTATTTTAAGAGAAAGAAAAATACCTAAAATTAGATCATGGTGCTAGTTACACAACCCCATGAATATGCCAAAAAATGTTGAACTGTATACTGTAAATGGGTGAATTGTATGTGTGAATTTCATTGCAATAAAGCTTTTATAAAATAAAATATTAAAACCTTTCAAAAGTAGATCTAGGGCAGCTTCTATCATGGGGCAAATAAATACATATTTCCTTGGGTGTCCCTCTGAGTGTTACAAAGGATGAGTCTTTAGCCAAACTACAAGTGTTTTCTATGGATTCTCTTCAATGAATGTCATCTTTTGTTACAACATTGTCAAGATCCCTGTTCCCCTTGCAACCCCATCAGAATCATCATTTCACTAATGCAGTTCACTGAGGTTACACAAGTCACATGGTATTTCCCTCTAAATGCAGGTGGAAAATATTCTGAAAATGTCCTTGCTGGCCCTTGGGGAGATCCAGGAAACAATTCTACAGCAGAATCAGCATGCTGAGCCCTCGGTGACTTTGACCTCTTCAGTCGCTTCCCTGATGTTGAGCAGGTAACATGGGAGGAAGGAAGAGGGAGAGTTTCAGTTTAGGTTTTTGACCTTTAGAAAACATACATAAATTGATTTCCATTTAATTCTTTCTCACTAGGCAAAACGTATCAACTTTGCCTCTGAGTTCTTACACTCTCGGACACCCAGCACCTGTGACATTAACCTTCCCGTCAGCTTCGGCTTTGGAGGAACTCTTGAATAAACACCCAGGAGTTAATGTTCAAGTGAGTGTGAAATTGATTCTGATCAGGATGAAAATGGGATTTGATAGCTGTAGACATTTGGGTGACAAGAATGCACCATGAAATGTAAGCTAATCAGACCAAATGAGAGCAGGTTGTGTGCCATAATTTCTATTTTACACTGGCAGTAGTGAAGGCCTCTTAAAAAATGATCCAGTATGAAAGTTAGGAGTATTAAACAGACTTCTGGATTTAACTAAGCTTCTGTGTTATGATGAGAATTCATCTCTACTCTTCACTATTTATACAAAGCTGGGACTATTTGAATAACAATTGATTCAATATACTGACCTAGTCATATCAGTATATTGTATTTTTTTCAGCAATTACCTAACAGAAGTAGGATTGTTGCTTTATCCTGAAGAACAGAATACTTACTTCCTAGTAAAATGAATCCTCTAGTTATAAAGATGTGAAAAAAGAATAATTCTTGGGTCACAAGTAAATGACTCATCTTTAATTAATTAATTCTTTCTCGTATGATCTTATAATGAGAAATATTTCATATGAGATCCTAGCAAGGGGAAAATCCCAACATTTATTTTAATTTATGGTATCAGACTACTTTATTACCTATTGGGGCATTATTTATAAATATTTTAGTAATCGATGAAACTGGAGTTTTCTTGTCTCTAGGTAACAGGACTAGCTTTCAATCCCTTCAAGGATTTTGATGACAAGAACATTGTTGGAAGCATTGGAAGTGTGTTACTAAGCTCTAATCGTAACTTGCTCAAAGTCCGTGATTTAATGGAAGATATTGAGGTATGACTTGATTATTAGGGAATCAAATATTATAGAAGGGAATAGGAATTCCTGGAGAATAGCATAGGATTCAGCACCTTGAAGGAAATCATTTGAGATTTACGGCAGTGTCATTGTTTTGTTATTAACATCTTTACTTATGAACTTCTACAAACTTCTCCTAAGAAGTTGTTTTAGGTATTAGACTGTATGCTGGGGAAACCCCCAAAAACCCAGAATTTATTTGTAAAAAATTGTGTATTTATTCTTACATGATTAAACTTCCATCACCTTCAAAGTACTCTCCATTTGATGCAATGCACCTTTTGAGACATTTTTTTCCATTGCTCAAAACAGTTTCTGAATTCGTTGATTGTGATGCCCTATAGTGCTTCTGCTGGTTTTTGTTTCACCTCTTCCTTGTTGGCAAAATATATCCCTTTGAGGACATTTTGTATCCAGGGAAACAAAAAATAAAAAGTTGCTCAGGGTGAGATGGGTGAATAGGAAGGTCGGAGCAAGGGGATCATGCCATTTTTGGTCAAGAACTGCTGAACACTCACTCAGCATGGTGTGTACAGTTGTGCTCATAAATGACCTATCATGAAACGGGCAAATGCTTTGAAAGAGTCTTCAAAAAAAAAAAAAATTCACTGAAGCCAAACACAGCCTCTCACAATGACGCCAGCTGATACAGATGGGTTCCTAGAATGCTCACCTAGCAGGGGAAGCCTGTATTACAAGGGGCCTGCCCTTCAGAAGATAACTGGTGTTTTTTGGGTCCCCCTTCATATACTCTTCCTTAACCCCTGACACTGTGTTACCCAGTAAAGTTCAAAGAGGAAGATATAGGAAGTTTCATCCCATTTTCATTATAAAGGAGACTGAAAGTTAGCAATGGATGGGCCATCCTAAATTTCAAGATTAACTGTCCCTTATTCTAGATCATTCTCTGGAGAAATGCAAGCATTGAAACCCATCCAACCGTTGTCAACCTGAGCACAGACCATTTTACTATCACAGTGAATATCACTTCCCTGGAGAAATCCCTGATCGTGTACTTAGAGCCCGAAAGTCCCGTTTCGATGACCATCTACCTGGGGTTCCAGTATCAGCCTAACCATACTTCCTTCCACCTGAACATCACCCTTCCAAAGTCTCAGGTGCAGCAGAAAGGTAAAACTCCTCTCAGATATCAGTAGTTTACTACTTTGCAATGCATTTTTTTCCTTTTTTAAATTAACTTTTTGAGATAATTATATATTTACATGCAATTGTAAGAAATAAAACAGAGATCTCATATATATTTATTTTTAGATTTAATTATTTTTTAAGTCTCGACCGAGGACAGTTTTTCATTGCTTTTAGAGAGAAACATCAAAGCAAGGGAGAAGTATTGATTGGTTGCCTCTCTTACACTCCCAGACTGGAGGTCACACCCGCCACCCAGCCATGTCCCCTGACCGGGAAGGGAACACGCAGACTTTTGGTGTACAGGACGATGCTCCAACCAAATGAGCCACACCAGCCAGGGCTCATGTACTTTTCACCGAGTTTGTCCCAATGATAACATCTTGCCTAACTATAGGACAATATCACAACCCTAAGTAGCATTGATAGAATGCATTATTCAGATTCCACTACTTTCCAAGCACTCCTGTGTGTGTGTATGTGTGTGTGTATTTAGTTCTATGTAATTTTATCACACATGTAGGTACACATGAGCATGAAATGCATTTTTAAAATGATAGATTGTGGGATAAATAGAAGGATATGTATGTTATAAAGCAAATTTAGTAAAATGTTAATTGTAGAATCTGGTTAGTGATTATATGGGTGTTCACTATAAAGTTCTCTCAACTTTTCTATATGGTTGAAAATTTTCATAATAAAATGTTGAGACCCTTGCAGAAGTTCCAGCCTAATGGGTCATAAATATTTCAGACTTTATTTATTATAGATGAATATAAATGTAATATATCATTTATAATTCAACTATTTATTTCTAATAATGCCTGGGTATATCTCAATAAATTTGGTAATATAAGATCAGAATGACTACATTGTAGTTTAGAAAAGTTAAGAATTTCTGAGATATATAAATAGTGCCTGGAAAATACTTGACCAAAAAACTTTAAATGTAGCACTGAAAAATCTTTAGAGCTACCCTTTTGCCTTAAAAATATTGGGAAAAATCAGAATGGATAAAGCATGTTATAGTCTCCTTTCATGACAGTCTTCCCATATTGGGCCATAAAGGCCATCTTCTTCTTTTTTTTTTTTAACTTATAAATCATGTTTATTCTGTTACAGTTGTCTCAATTTTTTCCCCTTTTCCCCCCCTCCTCCCATCTCACCCCCACACTCTGCTCCCAGTCAGTTCCCGCTCTATAGTCCATGTCCATGGTTCATTCATACATGTTCTTTGTCTAGTCCCTTCCCCTTCTTTCCACCATTGTCCTCTTTCCCCATCCCCTCTGTTCACTTTCAGTCTGCTCCATGTTTCCATGCCTGCGGTTTATTTTGTTCATTAGTGCATTTTGTTGAATGGAGTCCACGAATAGGTGAGATCCTATGGTATTTGTCTTTCATCAACTGGCTTATTTCACTTAGCTTAGTATTCTCCAGTTCCATGCATGTTGTTGCAAAAGGTAGGAGATCCATCTCTCTCTTTCTCTCTCTCTCTCTCTCTTTCTTCTTTTCTTAAATGCAGATTGATTTTATTTATTTTTTAAATGTCAAAGTTAATTATAAAGTATTAAAAATTTAAAACCATTATAAAGTCTCAGCAATTAAACCATGACACCAGCACAGAAATAATCAAGTAGATTATTACCTAACATCTGTCTAACAATGTAATATATGATTAAGTTGATATTTCAGATCAATGGGTAAAATAAGGCTTATTCAACAAATAAGGTGCATGGACCACTATTACTTGAAATAAAACAAATATAGAGCCCTATTTCACACATTATACAATAAATATTCAGGTGAGTTAAAAATCAATATGTAGAATCTAAGGAGTTTTAGGAGAAAATACAAAATAATATTTTTCTTACCCTGAAGTAAAATATTCAAACCCAGAAGCTATAAAGTAAAATATTGACAATGTGACTATATTAAACATTTAAGACTGTACAGTAATATACATATAAAAAATTTAAAGGACAAGTAATAGAATAGGAAAGTATTTGCAACACATCTAAAAAAGGGTTAATGGTTTGTTTTGTTTTGTTTTGTTTAGGGAAAAAATATACAAACATTTAATCAAAAAAAGGATAAAGAATACCAAAAAGTCATTTAAAGCTCTTAAAGAATAATAGAAATAGGCAAAAAAAATACAAAAACAGGTTTAGTTTCAACAAATAATAAAGGAACAATTAGAATATCACATCATTGTCATAATCAGATTAATATGTATTAAAAAATATTGGTAATATCAAGTATTGGCAACTGTGAAAGAACTGGGTATTCATAGACTCTTCTTCTTCATCTTAAAGCAGTTCCTTTAGCATATTTTGCAGTGCTGGTTTGGTGGAGGAGTATTCTTTTAGCCTTCTTTTGCCTGGGAAACTCCTTATTTCCATTTTAACTGAGAGCCTTGCTGGGTAGAGCAGTCTTGGTTGCAGGCCTTTGCTTTTCATGACTTGGAATATTTCTTGCCATTCCCTTCTCGCTTGCAGTGTATCTGTTGAGAAGTCAGCTGCTAGCCATATTGGGGCTCCCTTATATGTTACTACCTATTTCTCCCTTGCTGCTTTTAGGATTCTCTGTTTGTCTTTGGTATTTGCCATTTTAGTGATGATGTGTCTTGGAGTGGGCCTCATTGGGTTCCTCTTCAGTGGGACCCTCTGTGCTTCCTGGACTTGTGTGACTTTTTCTCTCTGCCAATTAGGGAAGTTTTCCCTCATGACTTTTTCAAACAGGTTCTCTATCCCTTCCTCATCCTCTTCTCCTTCTGGTATCCATATTATACGGATATTATTACGTTTCAAGTTGTCCTGCATTTCCCTAAATGCCTCTTTATTCTTTTTGAGTCTTTTTTCATTTTCTTGCTCTTCCTGGGAGCTTTTTTTCTACCTTGTCCTCCAGTTCGCTGATTCAGTCCTCAGCTTCATCTAGCCTGCTTTGGATTCCTTCTACTGTGTTCTTTAATTCAGAAATTGTATTCTTCATTTCCTCTTGTCTCTTATTGATAGTTTCTATGTCCTTTTTCATGCTGATATAGTTTGCCGTAGGTTCCTCATAGTTTCCCTGTAGATTTTTTGGAATTCTCTCTGAGCTCACTGAGCTCATTGAGCTTCCTTAGAACCGTTGTTTGGAACTCAATATCTGATAGTTTACTTGCCTCTATTTCATTTAGTTGTCTTTGTAATGATTCCTCCTTTCCCTTCAACTGGGGGGTGTTTCTTTGCCTTCCCATTATTTGTGAGACTCTTCTCTTTTGCTTCTGCTTCTTAAGTTGATTGGTCTTGATTCCCTGACTTTGTGGTGTGAACTTCTATGCTTGGAGACCACTGGTTTTACTTTCTGGATCTGCCTCTGATGATGTCAGATGTTGACCCTGTCTGACCTTAGGCAGTCTGTTCAAGACTTCTAGGAATCTCCTGTCTGTGGCTGTCTCCTTCAGCTGTTAATCTAGTCACTCTACACTCAGCAGGCCGCCTTAGACAACTCAGGGCAGAGCGGAGTCCCTCCTGGGGGCGGAGTTACTGGGTCCTCTCATGCTGCTGCCATATGGGGGAGGAATCAGCACTGGGATCCCACTACTCTCTCCATTCTCTCCCCAAAGCCTCTGTCCCCAGTCTCTCCTCAAGTGTCTCCAGACCTCTCTGTGCCCACTTTGGCCAGGGATCTACTATCCATGGCTACCACTCTGCACTCAGCAGGATACCACAGCACAGGGCAGGGTGGAATCCCACTTGGAGGTGGGGCTGTTGGGTCCTCTGACGTTGGTGCCGCTCACAGGGAGTGGTCTCTGCCTGAGCAAGATGGCTGCTGCTGCATGGGCAATAAGTCAGCACTGAGATCCTGCCAGCTACTCTCTCAGTTTCGTCCCAAAGCCTCCTTCCCCAGTCTCTCCTCAGGTGTCTCTAGCCCACTTTGCCCCCACCTTTGCCGGAGACCAGGGGTAAGTGGCTGCAAATAAAAATTTATGCTTAGGCCCTCATAAAGGCCATCCTTATGGCCCTCACACAGGCCTTGCTAACACAGAAACAGTCACTTTATAGGTGACTCTCGTTTTAGACAAAGCACCTAGGGTAGTAACTCACTACTGGTTACAAAGTTCTGGCATCGCCAACAGGCTCTTCACTGAGTCGGAAAATCACGCTGTTCTTCTTGCTGATTTTGGCAATCACATGTCATTTGGGGCTGGAGGAGATCTTAGAGATCCTTACAAACTCCTCATTTGGAAGATAAAAAAAACTAGAGAGATTGGGTGACTTTCCCTTAACAGGCACCTAGTGACAGAGCTGGGCCTGAAATCAGGCCTCTGGCATGCAGTCCAGGGCTCCATCCTGGAACCACTCTGTTCCTAACCTTGCTTTGTCTTGGGGTTTCTTTTGTCACCTAGTCCTTCTCTCTACTAATTTTCATGTGTGATGATTTCATTTTTCTAAAACTCATAATACATTCTAAGTCATTAGACCTAAATTTTCATTTATCAAATGAGTATGATTTTTTACTGCAACAGGAATAATCCAAAGTCCTGAATTCTATCACTGATCATTATTTTTAAAAATCATTTGTGACTCTAGGGTTATTACTTTATAAAGTAAAATAATTATTTTACTAAATAATTTATTAAATAACTGTTTATTAAAGTAAAAACAGGCTCTTCAGAAGAAAGGGTCTAATGGTATTTTTCTCCCATGTGCAATGCAAGTAAGCAATCTGCTTTGTTCTCAGATGAGGAATATACATGGGTGCTGACTCCAGAGAGTTTGCAGTATGGGGTCGGCATCTACCACATAACAGCTGCGTTGAATAAAAGCAAGGATGGTGCTCAGCAGGCGCCCATCCTGTTCTCCGTCATAACTGCTGTCACTCAGTGCTATTTTTGGGACAGCCACAACAGCACATGGAAGAGCAGCGGATGTCAGGTAAGAAGCTGAGCCACTCCTTTCCCTCTCTTCTACCTTAGCCAGCATGAAACGTGGTGCAGTCTGTGATCTTGAGTCCCTTCGACATTGTAGAAGGGAAGTAAATCAGCCTGGGGAAGAAGAGGGCTTGTGGAGTGGGCTGGGCCAGAGTGAATCTTTGCAGCAAGCTTGTGCTTTATGTATTAATTTCTTTCTCAAACATTAGTTCAGGGTGAATGTGACAAAATAAGATAAGAAAAGCAACATATGGAAGCTGTTAAATTCTTCAAGTATTAAATATGTTGTGGGTAAAATGAAATAAATGTCCTGCTAAATAAAAGAATTTTTTGTACTTGGCTGGTGTAGCTCAGTGGATTGAGCACCAGCCTGTGAATCAAAAGGCAGATGGTTGTTGGATCCCCAGTCAGGGCACATGCCTGGGTTGCAGGTCAGATCCCCACTTGGAGGCATGTGAGAGGCCACCAAACAATGTTTCTCTCCCACGTCTATGTTTATCTCCCTTTCTTTCTCCCTCCCTTCTCCTCTCTTTAAAAATAAATAAAATCTTAAAAAAAAAAAAAAAAAGGCTAGTGATGTTTGTACATCCCAGGCCAGGTTGGGACAGATTGTCACTTTTGTAATTATTGCCTACTTCCAGGTGCCTGCCCACTTTAAAATGGCACTGTAAATTTTCACATTAGTGATTTGAGATCCTGTCTGATTTAAATCCTTGTTCAGTTGCATAAATAATGTGGCTCAAGGTTCTAGAAATCATGAGGCTGTTCTTAAACCTCCTGAGAAAGTGTCACCCAGATTGGAATAGAAGGAAAGAGGATTCTCTGGAAGGCACCTGCACCATTCAAGGACTCAGACAGTGATTTTTGGATGATCTGGGGCCATGCTTCTCAAGCAAATCCTCAAACAGGAAACTTTTTAAAATCAGGGCTGAGATTTGGCCTTTCTAACATGCTCCAGGTGATGTCAGTGCATCTGGTCAGGAAACCATACTTTGAATAGCAAGACTTGAGAGCTTTTCTCCGGGCACAGCAATGACCCACTGATTGCAAAAGGCCTCAGCATATTTCCTGCCTCCGTGAAGCCCTGGGCAGTGTTTGACTCTGAAAGGAAGAGAGCTGCAGGGAACGGGATGCAAGTCCCTCCAAGGGCAGAATAGAATACAGATTGGGCAACCAGAACTTAACCTTGTGCCCAGCAAAGAAGTCATAGTGCCACTATTTTAGACTTTTCATGTGCAAAATCAAACATGGAATTGGTACCTTCCATTTGTTTGCCTAGTGACATTTAAAAAAAATTTTTATGAAGAAATGTTACAAGATACAGAAAGTTATAGGGAATAATATAATAAAACCATAAACACACCACAGCTTTATCACAAATTAGTATTTTTATCTAATTTAGCTTTTTAAAAATAATAAAACACTCAAGACTAATCTAAGTTCTCTGTGTATCCTTCGCCAATTTCATTTCCTTCTTCCCACAAAGGGTAATAACCACTGTCTGAATTTGAATTTGTTGCATGTATTTATTCTTCCAGCAAACGTTTATTGAGCATCTTCTGCAGGCTGGGCCCAAGGCTAGGAACTACAGATACAGTGGTGGACAAGATAGTGTCCTCGTAAGCTGACAGTCCAGTGAGGAGACCAAAAAAAGTAGATAATTAAGTGTGATTTTGGTCTTTGTGTAAATAGCACAAACTATACATATTGTTCTTTAACTTGGTTCTTTTTCACTCAACATTTATCCATGTTTATATCCATTTTAATGGCTGTATAGCATTCAGTCATTTTGCCCCTACTTACACATTTGTTTATATATTCTGCTGTTACTAGACATATAGGTTGTTTCTGGTTTTTTGTAGTTGTAAGCGGTGCTGACAGAAGCACTCTTTTTCACGTCTCCCTGTGCACTGTGCGGCTTTATCCCCTGGGATACACCTGCAGAGCTGGGCTTGCAGGATTCCAAGGGTTTGTGCTTCTTCAGCTTTGCTAGATGTTGCCAAGCTGCTCTGCACATGGGTTGCGCCAGTTCACACTATCACCAGCAGTGAACAAGTGACCCAGGCGTTCTTTTCCCTCTCTAAATTGCCTGCGTCTGTGTTTTATGTCTGTCCCTTCCTTAGCACTCTGTTCCATTGGCATCACTGTCTTGATTCTAATTACAGGTTGGGCCACGGAGCACAGTTTTGAGGACACAGTGTCTCTGTAACCACCTGACCTACTTTGGCAGCGACTTCTTCATTGTGCCCCGGACAGTGAATGTTGAAGACACGGTTAAGCTATTCCTGCGTGTGACCAACAACCCTGTTGGGGTGTCACTGCTGGCCAGCCTTCTGGGATTCTATACGCTCCTGTTTGTGTGGGCTTGGAGAAAGGATCGGGCAGATATGCAGAAGGTGATGAGTCTTTGATTCCAAAAGTTTTGCCAGTGTCTTGAGTGTGTAGAACAAGATGGAAAAAAATACCTTGTTCAGAAGAGGCAGGTCACACCATTCTAGACAGTGTAGAAATTCAGGTGCAACTTTTCTATAATTTCTCTTTTTATGTACTCTCTCAAAGCCTAGGAACTTAACTCTCTATCTCCTTTTTTTCTTTTAGCCAAAGTTGAATTTTCATACGATTCATTTACGAATAGGCCATAAGAACACACCTAGAGAATTTAACTGTAACCAAATGCAAGTTTATCTCACTGTATACATTGGACATGAAATTTATTTGTAAGTCAAATATTTAATGTAATTGCAATATATTAAAAACCTGTAAGAAATCTATTTTTGAAACAAAAAAATATTTTGGTGACTACCTGTCCTTAATTTCTTTTCTATTTCTTTCTAGTTCTTGTGTTTTCTTATACTTGAAATGTAGACTACACAACACATTCAGTTTCTTTGCTGTCATGGGTATAGGATTGCCAGTTTTAGGAAATAAGAAACAAGATGCTTGGCGGGTAGTGGAGGTGGAAGAGGATACGGGGGGATAAATGGTGGTCAGAAAAAACAAATAATACAGGACATCCAATTAAATTTTAGTTTCAAATAAATAGTGAATGCATTTTTATTATAACTGTGCCACCAAATTATTCAATGTTTTTCTGAAATTCAAGTTTAACTGGATGTTTTATGTGTTAGCTACCTGGGCGAGAGGGAAGTAGGAAGAGTTGGAGGCCCAAGACCTGACTGATCCTGTGACTTTCATTTTAGAGGCATAAACCCTTGGCTTCTAGCCCTCCCTCATCTCCCACCTTATCACTTCTCTTAGGTCTGCCGCTCTGTTTACCGTCTGCCCACACCTCACCTTTGCTTCCCATGCAGCGGCCAAATCTGCAGCAATGCACCCTCCTGTTTCTAGGCTGGAGAAAGCCACTCAACTGAACTAAGAAAAGGTCGGCCAATTTTCTTGGTTCTGCTTTCCCTGCAGGTGAAGATCACTGTCCTGGCTGATAATGACCCCAGCTCTCAATTTCACTATCTTGTTCAGGTCTCCACTGGATATCGAAGAAGGGCCTCTACAACAGCTAAGGTAAAGAAATAAGAGTTCTTCATCCATTGCTCTGTGTCTTCCGCCACAGGGGATACACTCTGATTTGGTGATGTCCAGTGTCTTATCATTTACAAAGGGTCTCAGAGGGGCATTTTCTAGTTCTAAACTGTAAACGTGAAGAACCCTGGATACTTGTCTAGGATCCCAAAGACTCAATCTCAGTACAGTTTCTCTGTCTTCCTCTTTCTCCTTAGAGACAAACCCCAAAGAACCACATAATCATGTTAGAACTTCCTGGATTTTATCTTTCTGTGTCGCGTTTTAGGTGGTTATCACCCTTTATGGATCAGAGGGGCGGAGTGAGCCCCATCACCTTTGTGACACCCAGAAGGCAGTCTTTGAACGAGGGGCACTGGATGTCTTCCTCCTGAGCACTCCGTCCTCTCTAGGGGAGCTGCACAGCCTTCGGCTCTGGCATGACAATTCGGGTGCCAGCCCTGGTTGGTAAGGACATGAGTCGTGCTGGCTTGTTTTTCTTCTCTGTGGAGTGAGCATTCGGGGCAAGCCCAGCATGTCATCGCAATAAATAACAATAATGCTTCGAGCCAAATAGTAACAAATGAAATAAATTTCAAAGCTATCTATAAAGAAAAAACCCTGGAAATCAATATGGAAAGTTAACAGTATGATTCTTTTTGTGGATGGTGGAATAGTAGATGTTTTATTTTTCTTCTATTTTCATTAAATGTTAATCATACTGTAAACAAGTAATAACAATGAAATATTGTCCCAAAGTACCACAAATTAAAAATATCTCTAAATTGAGAAAATATATTTAAAGGGTAAATTTAATAAACAACTCTATCCTGAATACTGTACCTTGGGTCAAAACTAAGAGCTTCAGGAGAGAGGAAAAGCGGAATGATGATGTAGAATGTGTCTAGGGAGTGAGAGAGAGAAATGTTTAGTGTCAAGTACGTAATTCTGACATGTGCTGGGTCCAGATGATTCTGCATCTTCCTTCAGCAGTGCTCTGAGAATTAGGAGAGGTAAGTGGAGAAAGTAGATGAGAAAATGAATTAAGGTTGGGGTTAGGGAAAAAGAAGGGAATGAAGTCAAAGATCCAAGGCTCAGGTACTCAGAGCAATCGGGTGCTGAAGATGGCCCCCTCTGAGGAGTACACAGCCTCCTGCCTAAAATGAGACTTTCCCTGCTGGGCTACATATACCAACCACGAGGCCAGGAGAGCCTTATAATGTGCTTGCTGACTCCATTCTGACCAAGTATCTACTGAACAGTTTGTACATTGTCATGCCAGTTTCATTTATAAAGGTGAATAATGTATAATAAGCACTTAAAAAGAGGCTCAACTTCATTAGTCATCAGGAAATGCAAATTAAAACCACAGTGATATAGCACTTAACAGCCACTAGCATGTCTGAAAAGTCTGGCTAAACCAAGTTTGGGTGCGGATGGGGAGCAGTGAGTGTGCTCACACACCGCTGCTGGGAGTGTGAGATGGTGCAGCCGCACTGGAGGGCAGTTTGCCAGTTTCTTACCAAGTTAAACATACATTTACCATATGACCCAGACATTTAGCTGCTAGGAATTCACTCAGATAAGTGAAAAACTCTGTCCACTCAAGACTTACACACACATTTTCATAGCAATTTTATTGTTAGCCAAAAACTGAAAACAATACAAATGTCCATCAGGTGAATAAATAAACAAATGTTAGTATATTCATTCAGTGGAATATTACTCACCGATAAAAGGAACAGTCTGCCAACACACACACACACACACACACACACACACCCCATGGGTGAATTCCCAAAAATGTGCCGGGTGAAAGCCATCCACAAGATGCATAATGTGTGAATCCACATATATGAAAGTCTTTTAAAAGGCAGACTCCTCTACAGAGACAGAGAGCAGATCAGCGGTCACCTGGGGCCAGGGGTGCGCCTCTTATTTTATAAGATAGAGGAAGATGGGATGCTTTTGGAGGTGGCAGAGCACTGTCACATATGGAACCAGGAAACTTAAAGAATATATGCACACACTAGACTGTTCATAGGTTATAGAAGTCTGCGTTCTGCTGTTTGGCACATGAACTCCCTTGGAGGCGGGGAAGGGAAAAATGGGATCCACTCTCATCGCTTTCTTTAGTTCCTGCCTTGCAATGAAACAGAAGCCATTTGTTTGGACATTCACTGACACTACAAATTTATGTTTTTTTAAATAATGTAATTTATTTTTATTTAGATATAATTGACATACAACGTATTAGCTTCAGGTGTACAACATAATGATTCGGTATTTGTATATTTTGCAAAATGATCACCACAATAAGTCTAGTTAACATCTGTTACCACACAGTTACAGAATTTTTTCCTTGTGCTGAGAAATTTTAAATCTCCTCTCTCAACAGCTTTCGAATATGCAGCACAATGTTAATAACTATAGTTGCCATGCTGTACACTATCTCCCCATGACTTACTTGTTTTATAACAGGAAGTTTCTGTCTTTTGACGCCCTTCACGTATTTCCCCAGCCCACCCCCACTCCCTGCCACCCCTGCCTCAGACAACCACCAGTGTATTCTCTGTATCTATGAGCTTGGGTTTTTGTTTGTTTGGTTGACTGATTGTTTTTTTAGGGTCCACATGTAAGTGAAATCATACGGTATTTGTCTTTCTCTTTCTGACTCATTTCATTTATCATAATTCCCTCAAGGTCCATCCCTGTTGTTACAAAGGGAAAGTTTCATTCTTTTTTATGCCTGAATAATTACTCTGTGCGTGTGTATGTGTGTGTGCATGTGTGCGTACACACCATATTTTTTAACATATTTATTCATCAGTGGACATTTAGGTTGTTTCCATAAGATTACCTCTTATTGCAACATTATCTTCATTTTATTATAGGTATGTAAATCAGGTGACTGTCAGCGATATGGCGAGTAACAGGAAATGGCATTTTCTATGCAATTGTTGGTTGGCCGTGGACCTTGGAGACTGTGAGCGTGACCGGGTCTTCATACCAGCCTCGAAGAAGGAGCTTTCTTCCTTTAGGTATTGTTGGGAAATGATGGCGTTTTACGAGTCTCTGAGGCTCTTTCGTTATTCTTTCCTTCAGACTGTATAATTTATTTTTATTGTTTAATAAGATATTTTTTAAAAGATTTTATTTTTAGAGAGAGGGGAAGGTAGGAAGAAGGGGAGAAAAACATCAATGTGAGAAAGAAATAACAATCAGTTTCCCATACATGCCCTGACTAGGGACTGAACCCACAACCCTGGCAGGTGCCCTGACTGGGAATCGAACCGGTGACCTTTTAATTCACAGGCTGGCACTCAAATCCACTGAGCCACACCAGCCAGGGCTCAGATTTTACCATAATTCTTTTTACTATAGATTTATTTTTTTATCTTGTTTGGTGCTCAGAAGGTACTTTTTAAAAAATGTTTTTATTGTGGTAAAGTACACATAACATACAATGTACTTATAATATACCAAACAATGTCTTCAATTCTGAAAAATTCTCAGATGTCACTTCTGAAAATATTGCTCATCTGACATTCTCTTACTGTATTTAGAGCCTCAAACTATCCTTTGTGTTTTTAAACTACTCTTGAGTATTTATTTTCTTTTGTCTCTCTGCTGTATTCTGGCTCAATTCTTTATTACTACATTTCAGTTCACCAATTTTGCCTTCAATAATATTCATATATCATAAATTTTTTGTTCTAATGGCCATATTTTAAAGTTTCAAGATTTCTAATTTATTTTAGTTCTGTTTTTTCATAATTTTGTATTCTCCTTAAGTGAATATTATTTTTTTACTTGTATCTTTGGGCAACCTGAAATAACTTATTTTAAAGTCTGTCAGACTATCCCATAAAATTCATTTCTTCTGGACTGAATTATTGATTGTGTCAAATGCCTTTTTTGGCATTAGATTTTTTTTATGTGACAAGGAATTTTAAGTGGTATATTCATTTTCAGTGGTTTTATTGTGTAATCTTTTATTTATTTATGGACAGAGAGGGATGGAGGGAGAAAGCGAGGGAACCATCACTGTGTGGTTGCCTCTCGTGCATCCCCTGCTGGGGACCTGGCCTGCAATCCAGGCATGTGCCCTGACTGGGAATTGAACCAGTGACCCTTTGGTTCACAGGCCAGCGCTCAATCCACTGAGCCACACCAGACAGGGCTTATTGTTAAATCTTAATCTCTATCTCCACACTCATTTATGACTAGTATTTTTTTTTAAGATTGTATTTATTTATCATGTAATGTGAAAACATCTTCACAGAGGTGTTGGGTAGGGACAGAGTTGTTGCTATGCTGCTTGTTGCCAGGCAAGCCACACCCTAGTCCAGGACACTTTCAGAATGAAATCTCATGTCTATCCTCTTCTAACTTATCTTTTTAGACACCTGTTTTCTTCCATGATTGTAGAAAAGTTCACCCAGGATTATCTGTGGCTCTCAATCGCAACTCGACATCCCTGGAACCAGTTTACGAGGGTCCAGCGGCTCACTTGCTGCATGGCCCTTCTGCTGTGCAACATGGTCATCAATGTGATGTTCTGGAAGATAAACAGCCCCACTGCCCAGAGAGATGAGCAAGGTATGGGCCCTGCTGCGTCGCTTGTGGCATGCAATTCTTTTACTGTATCCCACTCTCCTTACTTTTAGGTTAGAAACAGTATCATGATGTGCCTTCGTTTTTTTTTTTTCCTCTGCTGACCTAACATTAGAATACTCTTAACAAACTTTTTCACTGTCCTCATTCATTAACAAATGAAGCAGCCTTAGAAGCACATCAGGAACTTTACTGCTGTGATAACTCTCTGTCTTTAGGTAATCGTAGTTGAATTGCTAAATAAATACTTAAACCTGGAAGAGGAATGACGTTCAGCTGTTGAGGAAGAGGTTGATGTAATGCTTTTCTTTCAGTGGGTCTGTTTGCTGTGACCTGGTCCGAACTGCTTATCAGCGTCCAAACTGCTGTCATCCTTTTCCCAATCAACCTTGCAATTGGGCGGCTCTTCCCATCGATTCAACCACAGGAACCTCGGCCCCTCTTTCCCCCCATCCAGGCTTCCTGCCTCTCCGATGCTTCTTTCAAGCCTCTCTCTGTCTCAGAGGTAGTTGAGGTAAGTCTCGTATGAAATTTTACAGGTAAACCGCCTGCTTCCTTTCCCCATGTCGTAGAAAAGACCAGTGAAGTTGGATCTGCTGGAAGGCTGTCCAGTTTTACTCACCTTGCCAGCTTTTCCCTGCCTCCTGTCCCCTGATCTGTGACCCATCGTGCATCTAATCTTCCTCCTGATTATGAAGTACTCTAAGGATTAATGTCAGTGCAGAATGCACTTCTCTAGAGTAGTTTTAGCTATGGATGTTTGATCAAACCTTCCCTTCTTTCATTCTATATTCTCTTATAACATTAGTTTCGAAACTACTGGGAGGTGACTTCTTTTTTAAAAAATAGAAACAAAATGAAAAATTGAGGTTCTTCACACTAAGAAAATGCTCCTCTGAGTAAAGATACAGCCTATTGCCATCAATAGCAATATTATTGCTAACATTCCTGGGTTAGTTTAAAACTGGCTGACTTCTCATCTTGGTTTTACATGCAGGAATTGAAGGAAACTGTGGGATTTCTTCTTAGGAGAAATACGCACCTACTCGCAGGGTGTGAACAGTCTTCATGGAGCTCTTACAACGTGAACCAGCTGGTCACACTTTTATCCAGCCTCATGTATGCTCACCTAGGGGGTCGGGACTGCCACCAGCAGGCAGGACCCTACCGGGCAAACAGTAAGTTCAGCAGGAGTTAGTGACTAAGCTTTCCTCTGCCTCCCACTCCCTTGCACATCTCTTTAGTACTCATTCTTGTCTGTTGGGATAACCAAGAAACACGATACAACCTTCTCCTCATTGTAATTTCCTCGAGCTTTTAATAGAGAGCTGATACTTTGATACCTCTGATGGCCTCTGAGACAATATATCTGATGAAACAAAATAAAGGATTAATGAAAAATCCACAGCCCTGGCTGGTGTGGCTCAGGGGGTTGGCTGGCCTGCGAACTGAAAGGTCACACGTTCAGTTCCTGGTCAGGACACATGCCTGGGTTGTGGGCCAGGTCCCTAGTTGGGGGCGTGTGAGAGGCAACCGATGATGATGATGTTTCTCACATTGGTGTTTCTCTTTCTCTCTTCCCTTCCCCTCTCTCTACAAAATAAATAAATAAAATCTTTTTTTAAAAAATCCACAAAAATGACTCCCATATGTCATCTGCTTTGTTGAAGACAGTTGAAACTTGTCACTCTTTTTCTTCTGTGGAATGGTGAGATTATGCAATTTGTGGATTCTCAGATACAATTTGCGCTTCCTCAGCACTTACCTAGTGTAGGTCACATGTACTGCAGTTCTAGTGAAAATGCTCAATCAGGTTTTAAAAGTCTCTACATCAAAGCATAGAATTATGCAAGTTGTTAGAGATTGACCAGTGTACTCAAAGAAGACAATAATATTGTGCGTGTTGGGTCCAATCTCCATTGACTGAGAAATGTAACCTCATTAACAATTAATGAATTGCTTATCTCTACCTGTTATTACTAGTTATAGAAATCTTCCACTTTTTAATAAGTGTCAACCTGGAATACATTTGCAGTGGTTCCCGAAAACCACCATCATTTCTGCTGCTACCTGCTCCGAGTCCTGCAGAGACTGCAGTCTCACCTAAGCACGTTGGGTCCCACCCAGGCTGACCAGCCCTGTGACTTCCTAGATGCAGCCAGCCACCTGCACGCACTCCAGGAACTCTTGGAAACACATGTTCTTCCCACAGAGCAAGGGCCATGCAGGTAATGCACCACACCTGGCCTCCTTTCTCCCGTCTGCTACGCCTCTCTGTCAGCTGTTGGTTATGAGATTATTTGACTTCTGTTCTTCAGGGAGGCAACTAGTTTCCCCATCCTGCGCTCAGAAGAAGGGAGGCAGTTCACCTCTGATGGCCTCCCCAGATGGTTGACTTATGTCTGCTGGCTCCTTCTGGGGGTCACTAGCTTGGCTGCAGCCTTTTTTACAGCACTTTATAGCCTGGAACTGAACAAAGAGCAAGCCACCAGCTGGGTTATTTCAATGATCTTATCCATGCTTCAAAACGTCTTCATCATCCAGCCAATCAAGGTATGTGAGCAACGCATCCCGCCGGCGTGCGAGGAAGGCTTATAGTTGCAGGTAGCTTGGGACACTGAGGTCCGTGGGTATTGGTCTAAGGTGCCTAATGGTTCTGACAATTTGACCAAAAAAATAAAGCTCCCCCAAAGAGAAACAGGAAGGGTGAAATTTGTACAGAATACGTGTGAAGTAGTCCCAGAAAAACTAACAAGAACTGATAGACTAGTGGAAATACAGCAGAAAAAGATTGGGTAGTTAAGGGGGACAAGTAAAAAAAAAAATCAACTCAAAACAAACTACTTTGGAAAAAAAGCAACATAAAACTTACTTTTTAAAAACTTTTAATTAAAGAAAATGTCAAACTCACAGAAAAGTGTGTAGAGAATAGTATAGTAAATCCTGAAGTTGTATTACCTAGTTTCAACAATTACCAATTTATAGCCAATCTTGTTTTATCTATTTTGAGGGGGAAAAAAAACAGACTTAGCATTTTATTTGTAAGTATTTGTATATTTCTAAAAGATGACACTTTTTTGAAAACATGAATATAAAACCATTATCACATCTAAATAAATTAGCAATAATTTCTTAATATCCACACAACAATATGAATGTACTTACCACTGCTAAACTACATTTTTAAAAGGTTTAGATAGCAGGTTATTTGTTATGTGTATTTTACCAAGATTTTTTAAAAATCCAGTGTTCAGGTTTTTCCAGTTGTCTCATAAATGCTTATTTTACAGTTTTATTCAAATCAAAATCCAGATAAGGTCCATGTTGTTGCAGTTGGTTGCTCCATCCTTTAAGCATTTTTAATACTTAATCTACAGGTTCCACCCCCTTTTTCTCTTTCTCTGTCCTTGCCATTTTTCTCACGTTGTATTTGTCGAAGAAACCCAGCTGTCTGTCCTGTAGAGTTTCCAGTATTTTGGATTTTGGTGGCAGGATTACCTCTGCTTTAAGCACCTTAAAAAATGCTTACGTGAGGAGCTTTAAAACTCTTGGCACCCAGGCCTCAAACCCAGACCAATTAAATCGTAATTTCTGGAGCTGGCCGTCAGGGCCCGGCATGTTACGCTTCCCAGGTGACTCCAGTGTGCAGCTGCGCGTGAGACCCCGGGTCACGGGGAGGGGCCGGGACACAGAGTAGGTAGATCTTGATTTTTAAAAAACTAATGGTGGAGACAGACCAAAACCTAACAGGAGCTCTTAAAGAGATTCAGTTACAGCAGATTATTGAATAATGTTATGTCGTTCAGTGCCATTTTGTCATAATGTGGATGAGGGATGAAAATGGATTCATGTCTGGGCCTATTGTCTGTGGGAGTTTGCTCAGCCTCCCCACATCTGGGCGGGGTTTTCCTGGGGACTGCGGCTTCCCTCGCATCCAAAGGTGTGCACGCTGCGCCAGTCCAGGTGAGTGTGGTGCGGGAGCAAGCGCGCCCTGCAATGGGAGGGCGTCCTGTCCAGGGTGGGCCTCACCTTGCTCACTGAGCTGCCGGGGGAGCTTCAGCCCCCTACCCTGAACTGGAATAAGTGTGTTGGAAAATAATGATCTTGTTTTTATTAATCATTCTTGAATGTAGAGCTCACATTTATTTCAGCATTTAATTTTAGAAGTCTGGTGATGTTTTTGTCACCAGAAATGTTTGTGCCATAAGAAGGAGCTTAATTCCTGTTTCTATCAATTAGCCTGTGGTAAAATAAAATTTGGTTTTGTTAGGTAATCTCGCTTAAAGTCACAGTTTCTGAGAACCTAGGATGATGATGTTAAGTGAGAACGTACTGTATATATCAGACACAAAGGCTTTCAGGAAATGAAAATTGTGACTTAGAAATTCTAAAGTTCAGAGGTTGAATTGAAGGAGATGTCACTGTTGATGTCCAGGAAGGTCAAGTAAACCAAAATAATATAAAACATAAACCATATGTAAAAAATATTGAAATTATAAAGCAATAGAGACCTAGGCAGTAGATCCAGGGTAAGTAGCATGCAGTTAATATGAGTGGTAATAGTTAAACAATTGAAAATTTTCCACTGTTGCAAAGAAACATTGAATTTATCTGTTGAAAGGCTTCAACTAGTCCAGGCATAATTAATTTAAAAAGACACTGAAATGGAGGCTAGCAGGTCTGGGGTGGGGCCAAACACTCTGTTCCTGGCAGCTCCCAGGTGATGTTGATCCTGCTGGTCCACGGGTCACACTTTGAGTAGCATCATCCTGAATAACAAATCTAGTTCCTTTGAAAACTCAGTATCATAAAAAATATTAACGGGGAGGATAAAATGAGACATTTTTAATATGGACAGGCTATTATATTGGGAAATTATTGATCATTTCCTGAGGTGTGATAATGGTATAAGAGTGTCCTGATTTTTAGGTGATACGTGCTTGAATACAGCCAGTCCTGGCTTTGCAGTGTTTTCATGTGCATGAATTTCAGCTACCATGGTTTAGTGAAATAGCAAGTTTCCCAGCAACCCCGGTCAAACCTCAGTTACCACGGTACGTTAACTGTGAGTGTATGAAGTGCTAGCTCTTCAGTGGAGAATTCAGTTGGACCAGTGGCTTGGTGTACTTCCTACTACTTCCCACCCTAGCCTAGTCCACTGGAGGGCGACTTTAAGTCTGCAGAGCAGACAGGCCCAGAATTGCTGCCTCAGACCTGTGAAACTCCAAAAGCAGAAGCGGAAAGGATCCCAAGCCCTCCTCTGGACCTCAGGCCTGGCCCACTTTGCCCACCCCAGGGAAGCCCAGCCCGAGCAGAATGGACTCACCTGCAGGCAGGCCAGCCCAGGGAGGTTGGGAGGGAACCGCCCGCACAGGTTCTTCCCAGGGGCAGGAGGTGGGGGAAGGGGAGCAGATTATGGCCCTTGTCTTTTACTATCCTGAAGACTGGAGCACTTTACTCTTTAGCAAGACTGGGATTTCATCCTTAGAACTTTTAAAAGTGCGGCATCTCCAGTCTAACTCATTACTGGTCATCCAAAGACAGCTGTAACTGAACAACTTATGCAAACCATCACAAAACATTGAATAGCTGAAGCTTTCCTAGGCAGGCAGATTAAGGACTACAGGCAAAAATACAAATACTAGCTTTATTCAGCATTTGGGACACTTCCAGGTCCCCATGATTATGCAAAAATAATTATGAAATTATTTAATTCTCAGTTTTCCAAAGATGTGACCAAATAATTTAATTGAAATGTATTATTACCTTCACCTTTGCATAATGGTTTCAGCTTTCTTGGATCCTGTGATATCTGCTCATCAGTTTCTCCCGTGATGTCCCCATCTAGGTGATCCTCCTCTCAGTGTTTTTGTCACTGATTCTGAACAGGATGCCCTGCCTTAACAAGGAGAAGGAGCAGCAAACAAAGAGGATCTTGGCACTCTCAGGTAGCCTTGACTTCTAATAGCTTATTTGTCGAAAGCAGGTTATATCAGAACAGTGGGATTCTAGCCCCTGGCTCAAGCTCACTCAGACAAATTTATCCTTTGGAGGATCTTGTCTAATCAGCTGATTGCTCCTCCTCTGCCCAAGGCCTGCGGCTCCTCGGCAAGAATTCCTCCCTCGATGAGATCACCCTCTCACCCAATTCTAGACCTTCTCACCCACCACTTCCTCCCTCCTGAGCCCTTCCTGCCATTTCCCACTGCTCGCCACCTGCATCTGAACACGTTTCAAATTAAAAATGCCCCAAACAGAAGTATTTGCCTGTCCCGCAAACCCACTTCTTTACTGTATTTTCTCATTTCAATTAAGAGCATTGCCATTCTCTAAAAATGCCAGAGTAATCCTGGATTCCTCACACTCAGTCACCAAGCCTAAGGGAGTCTACCCTGCGCCTGACTAGAGCTACTCATACCACACAGATAAACCTCACAAGCGCAGTGGTGGGCAGGAAAACAACTTGCAGGAACATTAACACATTGTGGTCATGCAAAACAATGCATGCCTTCTTTAGAGGACTTTTTGTAATGAGGAAATGCATGGAAATGATAAACTCCAGAATTCAGGAGAGGACTTAGCTCTCAGAAGGAAAAAAGTGGTGCTGTCACAGGCATGCATAACAGACTTTTATGTTAACAGTCACTGGTTTCTTAGGGTGGAGGAGGCACCCTGTTCCTTCGGAAATTAAAAATAAGCTAACTAGAAACTTCCTTTATAGTCCTCATTTCATTCCTCCATGCTCTTGAATCGCTGGTCTCTCTGCCTAAAATAACATTTTTTCTTGTCCTCATCCTTGTCCATCTAAAGAGTTCTAGCTAATACTTAAAAACAAATAACAAATGTCACTTCCTCTGAGCTACTTTCTCCAACTCCCTCAGGGAGATCTGTTCTCTCTTCAGTGATTCCCTCAGCACTTGGCACAAACATACTGCCAAGTTTTATGTCATATTCTAACGCATTCCCTCTCTCCCCAACCTCGCCCACTCTCCTCCATTTCCCCCATCGCCCTGTCTCCCCTCTTCCCCCTCCTCTTTTTCTCCCTGGATCCTAGCATACCCCAAATTTTTAAAACCATCAAAGGCAAGACACCACAGTTATGTGTCGGCATGGGCTGATTAGTCACTAACCCATCAAGATGTCTTATTTAAGGGGAAAGAGTGGGCTACTTTCGGTAGGATGGTCCTGAAGCAAAATTCGGATGTCATTTGCAGCTCATATATAGAAGCCCCATGACTGATGGGCCTGGGGTGAGAAGAGGGGTAGGTCTGTGGAAGGGCTGCTGGTTTCTCAGGGCTTTGTAGTTAACTGGTTCTAAGCTGCAATACGCATGTTGACTAAAAGTAGTTTGACTTTATTGATCATACATATCACAGTATGATATGGTATGATATGATTATGATATGGTATGCATTGTCAACTATATTATTGTGTTATGGATATTTATGTGATAAATGTATATCTGAACACCAGTTATATATTACACAATATAGATTAATGTACATGCTTATATACATTGGGTAAATAATGTATAATTATACTACATAATGTACTATATATCATTCATGTGTTATATATGCAGCATATAGTTTAATGTACAAAGTACATACTGATGGATGAATTTGTAAAATATGTCAATATTGGCATAATACATAGATTGATTTCATATAGGGTGTTTCAAGGAGTAGTTTAAGTACAGCTTCAGCTTTGGGTGCTAGCATTGGAACTTGGGCTTCTTCCTTGAGTCTTTGGGGGATTTGTTACTCCCCTTCTCTGGTCTACAAGACCAGGGTCATAAATATACTACAAAAACTCTTCATTTTAAGAGGTCATTTCTATAATACCTGTGAGGGGCATTAGTACAAGAATAAGACGAAAGTACAGAATAGGTGCTGGTTGACCAATGATGATAAATGGGTGTTCAACTGGTTGTCCCCCAATTCATGTTAGTGTTAATAAGCCTGCTACTAGTAATCAGAACAGGCATTGGCTGAGAGGTAGGAATGCTGTGCACAGTTGTTTTTGATGTAAATAGGAAATATCATATTGGCTTGATGTGTGGGGAAATGTTTAGGGGGTTGGCTGGGTTGTAGTTAACTGGGTCTCCTAAGAGGTGAAAAGGGGACTAATGATAATGATGTTAAAATTAGGAGTAAAAGTCCTAGGATACCTTTGACTGTGTAGTGTGGGTAGAATGGAATTTATTTTGTCTGTGTCAGATGGGATTCCTGTTGGATTACTGGATCCTGTTTCATGAAGCAATAGATGAACAATTACTAGAGCTGAGAGAATAAAAGGATGAAGCTGACAGCAAAGAATTGGGTGAGGGTGACTTTATCAACTGAGAATCTTCCTCAGATTCTCTCGGCAAGGCTAGTTTGAATGTAAGAGATTGCTGAAGGAGGATTTGTTGTCCCTCAAAAAGATATTTGACCTCATGGTAGTACATAACCTATAAATGCCGTCACTATTACAGTAGATAGTAACATGATTCTGATGTTTCAGGTCTCTGTAAAGGTGGAAGGTTTGTAATACACACTTCATCCCACGTGTAGAAATAGACATGAAGAATATGAATGCTCCGTTGGCATGTAGATATCGGATAATTCCGTAGTAGTTTATGTCCCAGGAGATACAGATTATGGAAGAGAAAGCAGTGACAGCGTATTGTGTGTATGTGGAGCTTGGAAAAGTCTGTTAGGATTTGCAGGGCTAGGAAGATTCCTAGAAGGGATTTGAAGTTTCATTACTTAGAATGAGTTGTTGATAATTTTAATTAGTGGGTAAGATTTTTGGATTTGGTCATTACTGTTTTTGTAGTTGAAATATATAGCAATGAGCCCTGGCTGGGTAGCTCAGTTGATTAGAGCATCATCTTGATGTACCAAGGTTGCAGGTTTGACCTCCAGTCAGAGCACATACAAGAATCAACCAATGAATGCATAAAGAAGTGGAACAACAGATCTATCTTGTCCTCTCTCCCTCTCCCTAAAAATCAATAAATAACTTTTTAAAAATTAAGGAATACAGTGATGCCTTAGCTGGTACAGCTCAGTGGAGTGAGCGCCAGCCTGCAAACCAAAGGTTGCTGGTTAGAGTCCCAGTTAGAGCACATGCCTGGATTGCAGTCCAGGTCCCCCAGTTGGGAGCATGAGAGCAGCAACTGGTTGATGTATCTCTTGCACATCAATGTTTCGCTCCTTCTCTTTCCCCCTCCCTTCCCCTCTCCCTAAAAATAAATACATAAAATCTTTTTAAAAACCTTTAAAAAAAAAAGAAATACAATGATGACTTTTCATTTCATTGGTCATGGATAGATTGCATGTAAGAATAATGATGATGTTACTTCTTTTAAGTACTACTTTTGTGGTTAGTTTTGTAGGGTTTTCTTCAAAACCCTTACCAGCCTATGGGACACTTGAGTTGATTGGACTTGGAGGGGTTGTTTGTGGGATTGTGATGAATTTTGATGGGTCTTTTTTAGGCTTGATAATATGTTTAATATATTTGGGGAATGTTGGTAATCTTTGATTATACAACAGCTATGGCTACTGAGCAATATCCTGAGGTGTGAGTTTCTAATAAAACAGTCCTGGGAGCATTTCTCTCTGGTTTAAATACAGAAATTATATTCATTTTATGTGTACTAAAAAGTGAGGTGGTGGAGGTGGTGTTTTAAGTTTAATGGGCGAGAGAATTGGACTATTTATGATACTGGAGATTCTGGATTTTTTAGTAAGGAAGCTATGTGGGTATTGCTGCTTTATATAGATATACTACCTGATTGGTGGTAATAACAAGTTGGTACTTGCTTATTGGAGTCATTGTTATTATAGAAATTACTCATGGACACTAAATATAGTCAAGCTTATGGTCAATGTAATCAGAAAACAGAAGTACAATTTGACCAGGCCTTTTTGGTTGGATGCTAGTGTAGAAGCTTCTATTTGGAATTGGGAGATTAATTTTGGTAAAGCATTTTCTAGTCAAATTAGGTTGAGCAATAGTGATGCTGATTTTTGGCTTGCTGCTAAGTTCAGTAAAGGTGAGAGATGGTAAACGATAATTGGAAAATATCCAAGAAGATTGGAGAATTTGAATAGGTTTGAAAGACAATTAATTTTAGATTTTATGTATAAGGTTGAGTTCAAATGCCAGAACAAAACCTAGTACAGTTATGGCTGGGTCTGTTAGTTTCAGAGGGTAAGGCATAGTTGTCTGTGGAGTAGTTGTTGGGGTATTAATGTTGGAAATAAAGACACCAGCAAAGATGCTTTCAATTAAGAGACATTTAATAGAATTTGTTAGGGAAGGGTTATTCTACGATGAGGGTAGGAAAGCATGGTTGTCCTAGGAGTACAAAGATGATTCGAGTACTGTAGACAGCTGTCATGGGTGTGGCAACGAGAGTAATTAGCAGGGCGGCGCCAGCATTGGTACCTGACATAGTAACGGCCTGGAAACGTCTTTGGAGTGGAATCCTGTGAGGAAATCGTTCCTGTGAGCACTAGACTTCCGATGATGAGTGCAGTCATGGCGAAGGGTAATGTTTGAATAAACCACCTATTTTTCTGATACCTCGTTCATCGTTTAGGTTATGAATAATAGACCCAGAACATAAGAGTAGCATTGCTCTAAAGAATGCATGTGTGCAGATATGGAGAAATGCTCGTGGTCACTATTCTTAGGCCTAATTGGCTTGAGTTAGACAAGGCAATGATTTTTTAAATTCCTTTTGAGTAAGAGCTCAGATTGCAGTGAATAATGTGGCAATGGCTCCTAGGCATCCTGCTGTTTGGATAAGCTTGTTTTCTGTTAATGAATAAAGTCAGATTAGTAGGAAAATTCCTGCTATGACTCTCATACTTGAGTGGATGGAGTAGGGCTGGGGCAGGAGGGTGTAGGCTCTGCTGTAGTGGAAAATGGTTATGGGTGAAGTCTGAGTCAGGTGCATTTTCTGGTTGCAGCTTAGGAGGAGCCCAGCCAGTGGGAAATTAGTATTGTTAAGTTTGAGTAAAAAGATCTGTTGCAGACTTACCTGGCAGGGGCAATACCATGATCACGAAGGTGGTTTTTCCAGGCGAGGCTTGTCCATTGCGCTCAGGATGTGCTGACCCCTGCGATGTCCCCAAATGTGGGAAACGTGACTGCATAACTTGCGGTGGTGGGGGACTGCGTTCACGCTCTCCCCTGCGGGGAGGGAAATAAAAGAGCTGCTGCAGATCTCATGAGCCAAAATTAAACCAGAATCTTGCCACTGACACAGGGAATCTGACGTCCCTGATGAAACGATGTGCAGTTGCTTGGAGAGCAGCAGTGTGTGTGTCTGCTCGGCCATGCCATCGTCCAGTTAGTAGGGATGGCGTAATTCCCGGCCCTTCGCGTCCAATGACCAGTGAAAAAGATTGTTACTGGTGACTAAGATTAGTATTATAACTATAAGGACGTATTTTAAAAAAATGATTAATAATGGGATCTGAGTGTATATACCATGTTGAGGATTTTATGATTGATGATGTGATGAATAGCACCACTGATATAAATATTATTGAAAAGTAGTCTAGCTTGAAGCTGAGTGTGATTTTTAGAGTTTGAGTAGTTATTCAGCATCAATTTGTGATAATTATTTCTTGGTCCAGATGGATAATCTTCATTGGAATTAGGCTAGTAAAATTGTAGTTTTTACATAATGAGGATACATCTTGCTTTTGTAGATACTAGAAATGGTTGCTATGATTGGTAGGATTAGTACAAGTAGAAAAATTAGTATTGCAGCAAATAGAAACTATTTCTTGTATTTGGAGTTGCACCAATTTTTAGTTCCCAAGACCAATGGATAATTTCTGTCCTTCAAAAGATTGAAAAGGCCATACTGGGGGGTGGGGAGGTGAAGGAGTGGAAGGGAGGGGTGAGAAGGAGGGGTGTGTATGTGTGCACGCACGTGCGTGCGCACGTGTACATGCACGGAATTAGCAGTTCTTACATACTTTTTCAGCAAATACGAATTTTTAGTTTCTTTGATTCAGTTTAAAATCTAATGTCTTCATTAAGCTATATTTATAGTATTTATAGTACAAAGTTCCCCAAATGACTTTAGGGTTGGTGGGCAGGAACAGAAGAGGCAGCAAGTGTGCAGTTGTGAGGGTATTTTCTTGTGGGGAGGGTGGTTTACTGTTGTCACTATGATGCATGCCACTCGTTGTGTCTTAATTAGTATTTAGAGGGAGTGTAGAGCGGTAATAACAATGTTGGCTCCTTTGAGAGTGATAGACATATTAGACCATGAGAATGTTGATAGAACTTTGAAGAACTCCCCAAATAAAGTGTTGCTGGGGGTAAAGCTTGGTTAGTAAGACTTGCTAGGAGTCATCATGCTGCTCTCAGTAGAAGGACGTTATAGTCTGGCTATGGATTCGTTCATCATTTCAGTTTGCCAGGGCGAGTGGTACTGAGTGAGGATGTAAGGCTGTGTGTGACTAGCAGGGCAGTGGCCCCATGCTAAAGCTTCCTGGAGTTTGAATAAGGATGGCTGCAATTACTAGAGCTGTGTGGCTGATGGAGTACGCGATGAGTGACTTGAAGCCTGTCTGACGTAGAAGAACTGGTCATAACTGTCTCAGGAGGATGGTATCAGGAAGGGGTATGCTATAAAGTCTGTTAGGAGGGTTAGCGTTATTGTGACTCATAGCAAACCACAGCTTTCTAGTGTAAGTAATACAGCTGCCAGAGTATAGAGCCAGCAATGGGGGCTTCTCTGTGTACTGTTGGGAGTCATAAATGCTGGCCATAGAGAGGCATTGTCACTGTAAATGCTATTATTCATACTAGTCATAGAAAAATGTTAGATCAAAAAGGAGGCTGAGGTAGAATTCAGTATTGGAGTAATAGGAATTTAAAGAGCCCGTAAGGTTTTAAATATAGATTAGTGTGATAAGGGGCAGAAGTCGTCCCACTAGTGTGTGAAACAGGAAGTGAAGTCCCGCATTTAGTCGCTCTGTTTGTCTCAGCCAGTGATGATAATTAGGGTTGTCACTAGCGTTGCTTCAAATAGAATGTAAAATAGGATTAGTTCTGTGGTGGTGAATGTTATGACTAATAACATCAACATGTCCTGGAAATTGTCAGAAATACAGAATCTTAGCTTCAACCTACAGTCTGCACTTAACAAAATTGCCAATTGATTCCTATATATAGTAAAATTTGAGAAACACCTCAGATTATGCTTCCAACATGTGCTCACTGACTGGAACTGTTTCTAGTCCAAGATAAGTACAGAAATGGAAAGTAGGCAATTTTGAAACTTTTATAGCAATTGAACAGACTTAACTTTAGGCCTGGCTCTAATTTTGTAGGCCCATTGTTTTATAGGCTGCTGTTCTACTTCATTTTTCTACTAATTCATTTTTATTATACTTTATAAAAGTATCAGTTCCTGATGGATTGGAATGTTTTTAAAGAAGTCCTTCATGATAATTGGAAAATCTCTGCTTAGTTAGCTTTTTTTTTCCTTGTATCTTCAACATTTAATAGGAGGTACTCGGGTACTCATAATAGATACTCAGCAAACATTGATGGATAAAGAAATATAACATTTTTTGGCCTATATTTGAATTTTTTATAGCAAAATGTTCTTCATCATTATCTGGTTCAAGAGACAAGAGGAACCCCATCTACATAGCCCCAGCTATGAACAATCCAGTTAAGCGCCCAGAAAGAACCTTGAAAGAGAAGAAACTCTTCAAGCTGACAGGAGATATTTTGGGTATGGAGAGGAAATGGCAGCATGTTGTTACTGCAGCACAGTGCCCAACAAGGATGGCAGGGAGTGGGAATAAAATGGGAAATGTGGCAGGGGAAAGGCATAGTATGTTCATATTGAAAAATTCTGGATTCCAGTAAATAAGGTGTTATGGTAAATGGAAAGACTCCTGGGGTCTTGAGATCTGTGTGCTTGAATAAGTCACTTTCTGTACCTGCAGAATGCAATAGCAAAACTTGATCTACATACTTCACAGAGTGGAGGAAAAATAAATATGCTTTGAAAAATGACTCTCCTGTAAGTGCACGGTAGCTGTTCAACACAGCAAGTGTTGGCATTATTGGGTTCCATGACCCAAAGAAGACAGATCATTTTTGCTTTGCCTTCCTTTCCTGTGAACACAGACTTGAGAGGGGGGAGGTCTGACAGGGGGCATTTAGTTCTAAGAACTAAAATACAAAAGTTTTGTGTGGGATTTTATGTATCTTAACTAAAATTTCTAATTAGTGTCAGAATAATTCTGAGAAGAAATATATAGATATATATATATTGATTATCACTAACAGTCAAATGTTTTGGCCTGTTTTTTTTTTTTTCCTGTTCTACAATAGTACAAATCCTCTTCCTTGTCCTGTTGATGATCGCAGTCAACTCCACACAGAACTCCAGTAGGTTTCACCTCCATCAAGCTCTCCAGAAGAGCTTTTCTCACCGTTTCTCAGAGATCAAACTTCTGAAGCATTTCTACCCCTGGGCCACTCACACGCTCCTTCCTAACCTGTATGGGGATTACAGAGGTAAGAATACTGTCCTGGGCCCAGCCATGCAAATGTGGGGAGCAGTTAGTTTTCCAAACGCCCTACCATGACATGTTAGAACACCAGCAGAAGGTCAGCTGGCGTTTTCCACATGGCTGCACCCCGGTGGGCACCCCAAGGCTTCCACTCCCTGGACCTCAGCGAAGCAGGCTCAGGTTCCCACCTCTAGTCAAGGGCGATCAGGCCCATGGGGCCGATTCCCACTGCTGTGTTCACCTGCAGCATGACAAGGGGTGGGAGTGATCCCTGCGACTGGTCGCCTCTTTGTGAAGGAGGGAACCACATGTAGCTGATGAGGTTGTTCAGTGAGCACAGAACCAGAAGAGCTGTGTAACCAGAAAGATCTCTGCACCAGAGGACATTTGATATATTGCTTCATGTGCAATCTTTTCCAACTCTTCGATGTGTTTGTATAACTTTTCTTGTGTGGGGTTATCCAGTTCAGTTGCACAAATATGTTTTGAACACCTGATATGCTGGCAACTGTCCTAGGAGTGAATGATAAAAAGATGGATATAATATGGACTGTATCTTCAAAGAACCTCACCATCACGAGGATTTGGCATGCTTTCAGCTCACAGGCCTGCGTGCAATCCACTGAGCCACACCAGCCGGGGCTGGGCACCAAGCTTCTAATCAGCCACCGCTGCAGAGAAACTTTCTTTAATCACTCTTCCTGAGTGAATAGCACGGCCCCGTCCTCACAGAACACTCTCTGTCCTTCCGTCCTACTTAATTTTTCTTCATTACCTGGATATTGCTTGGTTATTGTCTGTCTCTCTCCCTCCCCCAATGTAAACTCTCTGTGGACTGGCACACTCTTCCATCCAGTGTTGTGTTCCCGGCACCTGGAACAAGACCTGCTATTTGTGTTCACTTGATGCATGTTGGCTGAAAGAAAAAATGAATGACTCTCATTCCATAATCTTTGCCCATCTTTCACTGGGCTGCTCAGTTTTGTTTGCGTGTTTTGGTAAATAGGAACCTTTATGTATTAAGAGCTTCTTTAGTTGTAGATACAGATTTAAATACTCACATGGATACGAACTATGAACTTAAAAATTTAATTTAGAGAATCAATATCTTTATAATGTTCTCTTCCTATCTGGGAATATGGTATGTTTTTCTATTCTCATCTCATCTTCAGTAATATTCAAAATTGCTTTTCATATAATTCTTGCACATCTGTTGTTAGGTTCATTTTATCTTTTGTAAATGAGATCTTGTATTTTTCTATAACTCCTAAGTAAATACTATTTGGACATGTGAAGGATATTGATTTCTCTATATTTAGTACCCAGCCACCTTGCTTGTCTTTTGTAATAGTTTTTAGGTTATCTTTTCCCTCCCCAGATTTACTGAAGTATAAGGGACAAAAATTGCATGTGTTTAAGGTACAATATGGTATTTTTATATACAACTACATTGTATGATTACCACCATTAAGTTAATTAACATTTTCATCTCACAAAATTAAGCTTTGCTTTTGGTGTGGTAAGTTACAGGGCTGTTTCGGGGTCTTCAGGCAGCCTGTTGGGTGAGCTGGCCCTCTCCCAACAGAAGAAGTCCTCTTCGGGACTTCTGGCCATGGCTGGGACCGGGGCTGGGACTCAGTCCCAGCTGCTGTCAGTCCACCGTCCAGGACTCATGTCTGCAGGCCTGTTCTCTGAGGCACAGGCAGGAGTGACCCCTCCTCGGTCCCTCGGACTGTGGTGCTGGTGGCAGGACTGAGGTCACATGGCACTGTAGCTAAGTCCACAGGAGGACAAAGCCATTTCTAGATCTGGCGCCAGGCCCACAATTGGTAATCAGCCACGTGGGGACCTGCCTTCTCACAATGGACCTTGCTGGTCTTGGACTCCACCAGAGTTTCACATTCACCTGCCTAAATCCCCAGACTCCCACGAAGGCACTTTTGTATGTGAATGGCTGCAGAATTACAGTCAAGGACAGATGCAAGGAAGGGACCTCCTATTCCACCATCTTGCTGACATCAAGCAGTTGATTTCAGTTGATTATAATGCTCTACCTAGACTGTTACCTACACAGCATATGTAGATCATTATCTAAAAGTTATAATTTCACTTCCTCCTTTTTTATACCTCTCATTTTTTCTTAAATCTTGCTGCATTAGCTAGAAACTCCAAAATTTTTTAAATTTTTTAAAAAGATTTCATTTATTTACTTTTTTTTAGAATGGAGGAAGGGAGGGAAAAAGAAAAGAAACATGATGTGCAAAAGATACATTGATCAGTTGCCTCTCTCACACCCCAAACTGGGGACCTGGCCTGCAACCCAGGCATGTGCCCTGACTGGAATCAAACTGGTGACTTTCCAGTTCACAGGCCGGCGCTCAATCCACCGAGCCACACCCATCAGAGCCAAAAATGTTTTTTAAAATAGTGGTGAAACTGCATTCTTTTTATCATTAACTTAATGAGGCAATTTTTACAGTGGATTCCTGCACTCTCTCATTAGGATTTGTTACTGATGGGAACTCCTTTCTTGTGGGCAATGTTCTGCTTCGTCAGACTCGAACTCCTGGTGCTACAGTCCTTCCAACAAAAGTGTCTCCCCAAGAGCAAGTGAAGCCATCTCACCCAGATCTGGAGGATACGGAGAACTATGGGGTGAACTGGAGGCCCCTGGAGACAAACAACACAGACTCAGACAGCATTTGGCATTATCAGAATCAGGAGACACCGGGCGGCTCTCCCATCCGAGGGGAATTTGCCACTTACCCAGGAGGAGGATACGTTGTCAGACTTGGAAGAAACTCCAGTACTGCAGCTGGGTGAGTGACCCTGAGGCCCGAACAAGGGCACCAAGATGTTTGCTCCTGTCCATTCTTAGGACAAAGTAGGAATGAAGGACCCACTTGAATAGTTTTGGCAGCTACTATAATACTTGTGGACACTTTTATTTTAGACTTTTAAGGAAATTTAAGTATTAGTTTAAAAATGTGTTCAACCTCAAACTACAGGTATATTTTAGTTTGGCAGTTTGCCAAATCCCATGTCTTCTGTCATCTGGAAAAATGTATCTGTTTCAATCCTAGCTGCTGGTGAACTCAGGGAGCTCAAGCTTGGGCAGCCTGCGCTCTCCATTCATGAGAGAAAACACTGCCCTGCACTGAGAACCATGATCAATTCAAAATAATTCAAATGCCGAAGATAAATTGCCATGCTTACAGAGTGGTTTTGTATATAAGTCCTGAGTCTTTGTCATTATGTATGAAAAACTCTAAATTAAAATAACTATCTCTTCATTTAAGTTTATAGCAAGAAACTAATACGACATAATGCCAATCAAATGACATTTCACCCCTTACAACTCTCAAAACTGAGTAACTATTAGTAAAGCATAGCCTTTAACACTTCAGAGAGTTGACATAGCCGCATATAAAATTCTGCCTCAGGCCTTAAATGCCAAATATATGTTCTTGAACATTTAACTACTTAGTGTGACTACTATGGTGAAAACTTTCATTTTTATAGCCTTCTAAATTGATATTCATGGTATCACTAATGACAACTTTGGGCATTAGTAATTATAAATATTGCACAGGAAAACTAGCCTGGGAAACAGAGCTTCCCAGTTGGAATGCGTAACATTGGCAATGCCAGGGCGTTTTCCTACTTTGCAGGGTCGAGTGGAGAGAGCAGCAGCCCTGCCCCCCTCTGTCTTTCCAGAGTCCTGCAGCACCTTGAGCAGAGCCACTGGCTAGACCGTCGCACCAAAAGCCTCTTCGTGGAATTTGTGGTCTTCAATGCTAATGTGAACCTGTTCTGTGCAGTGACCCTGATTTTGGAATCCAACAGTGTGGGTACGAAGACCTCTCCTCTCCTCCCTCTGACCTGGGTATCTCAGAAGTCCCAATTTCTTATACCATTAGAAAACTATTTTAATTAAAGTTATTACAGAATATAATTTTAAAAGTCACATAATTCAAGACAAAAGCTAGCAGTCCTTATTCTCCACTTCATTCCTATACCCCAGAAACTGCTACTTTCAAGATTCTGGAATTTAAAATCAATGTGCTTATTAGCTATTTCATGAATCTTCCAATTTAGAAAGTATGTATTTTTTATAACAATGAGGATTTAACTTATACCCATACACATCCCTAAAATAAACACACACATGCACACACACACACACGCCCCCCACCCTCCCATTTCTTTTCCCTCATTTTCCCAATATAGCGATATAGTTTGATTATTTCCATTATTGTGATATTTTCCAAAGATGAGCCATATATTACAATTCAGTTTCCTATCTTTCACAACCGTTTGTTTCCCCTAGTTTATTATTATTTCTTTTTGTTTGTTTGCTTGGTTTTGCATGCATTCTATCATCGGAGATGAATCAAACTCATCCTAGAAATAAAAATCTCATTCTTTTCAAAAGTATCGCTATCATTCTGTCCTTCAGAGTCGCCCTCTCTGGGCCCCCCACCCTTTTAGCACAGCCCGGGCCGGTTGCTCTCTGGGCCTGTCCTGGAGCCCTTACCCCGACCCTCCCCTCACCGTCTGTCCCACCGGGGATTAATTTGCCTCTCCTCTGCTGGGTTCCCTTTCTCCTAGATCCCACATCTTCCTCTCTCGGTTTATACTTTCTCATTTTGCTGAAGCACATCCTATAATAACTTCCTGGCAGGGTACAAGGGAATTACTTGAGTCTTGCATGTCCACAAAAATTTTTGTATCACATGTGATTGCTAGTTTGACTGGATACAATTGTTTTTCACAGAATTTTGAAAAATATAGTCCATTCCCTTGAACTTTTCACACTATTGTTAATCAGTATGATGATGTTCCCACTCACAAGTTTTTAGAACTGTCTCTTGGTCCTTATGAAAGGACCTGATTGACCTCATAATGAGTCCTTTAAACTGGGACCGTGTCCTCAAGTTTTGAGACATTTTCTTTTCTCCTGTTCTTTCTTTTTCTGATATCCCTAGGATTTTGAGGTAGGAACACCTGGACTGATCCTCTGTTTTTCTTTTTTAAAGGTTTTATTTATTTATTTTTAGAGAGAGGGGAAGGGAGGAAGAGAGGGAAACATCGATGTGCAAGAGAAACATCAATTGGTTGCCTCTTGAGCGCCCCCAGCTGGGGAACTGGCCTCCAACCCAGGCATATGCCCTGATTGGGGATCGAACTGGTGACCTCTTGGTTCGGAGACCATGGTTCAGTGCACTGAGCCCACAACATTCTGGGCTGATCCTCTGATTTTCTTTTGCTTTTCCATCTTTTCCTTCTAATTTCTTTGAGATCACTTCATTTTCTAAACCATTTGAATTTTCATTTTTATTTTAATTTCCAAAAATTGTAGGTGTTCTCATTTATTTTTCATAGTCTCCTGTTGTTCTATTATGGAATCAGTATCCTTTCAACACTCTGAGGATTCTATAGGTTCATTTGTTTTTATCAGCTCCTTCACTTTCTCTTAATTCCTCTGAGCTTTTCATTTATTTAATATACAGGGTCCTGCGCAAGTAATGCCCCTGTTTTTTTACAAAATCGTAAGCATGTAATCCTGTGACATAACAATATCACACCCATATGACATTTTAGGTGCAATGTTCATATTAAAACTATAAATTATTACCCCCATATTATCACTCTACCAGCCACATTCAAGCAGACATTACTTCTGCCAGACCTTGTATTTTGATCTCCAGTTTTCAGTGTTAGAGGTTTAAACATCTATTTAGAAAGAAAGAGGCTATTCTTTCATATTTAAGAGGCAGTAAAACAAAAACAAACAAAAAATGCTGATCAGCTCTGTATGCATAGACCTTGTCAACTGGTATGTATGGCTTCTCTCTTGGGCAGTTTTCAGAGAGGGACCCTTCAAACTCCTGCCTTGAGGCTAGTAAGCCTGTTAGACTTCTCAGAGCCAGTTGAGGGAAGGGCTCTGGGAAGGGTCTCACCAAGCAGTATGTAAACTTTCTCTTAATCCCCTTTTCCGGTAGCATTGCAGATGCACCTGGTGCCTCTTGAGTTCAGATTCTCTCTAGTTCCTCACTAGGGTAGTGGAAGGCAGGGCGGGTGGCAAATATCTGGTTGTGACAGGAAGAGAGGAAATCTGGGATCTAGTTGCTTATGTTCAGACTTGCAACCTGTTCTATTTTTGGTTCTACTTGACCCTCTACCTTCGGAGGTACCTGAGGCCTCTCAATTCTCAGCCTTTCCAGGGTTTGTGGTAAGAACTGGCTTGCCTCTGGGTTTCCTGCTTAGGTTTCTGCTTTCTTGAATCTGCTGAGTTGGTGTCATGCATCTATTTTCCAGCTTCCAACAGTTTGTCACTCTCATTTGCTCTCCTCTTCTTTGTCATTTTTAATTCCTTCATTGTCATTGTAGTGGCATTTTGAAAGGTGCTGGAGGCAACCTGGTATATTCAGTTTCCCCGCCTTTAACAGGAAGGCTGTACTAATCCTGTTCCCTTTCTCCTCCGTCCTCTTCCCCCACAAAATCTGCCCACCAGTGTCTTTCCATTTACCACCAGGTTTTCATTCCTGATCAGGAATCCTTTCTTCCCAGACCCACACAGAGTGGACCACTTCTCTTATACTTCTAAATGAAGCATGAAGACTACTGGAGAGTCTTCATAGGGTTTTTATTGTTAGTAACTACCAAAAAAATAGGCAGGAGTAAAATAAACAAAGGGAAAGTCCCAATCTTGAGAGCTGGCTATGTGAAGTAGGAATTTCTTTGTCTTAAAATGTGCTTTCTACTACAAGGGGTGCATCTTAATTCTAGTATTTAGGGGCTTTATGAAAAACTATATTCACAAGATCTTTCATGCTTTCATAAAACTTCAACAGTATTACTGCGTTTCTAGGTGGAGGCTGAAGCTTTAAAAGTCCATTGTCATACAAACACCTGAGTGTTCATGGGATACCGTTAGTATTCATGGGACAGTATTAATGCTTTACACACAGAAAATAAATTTGAAATGTTTCAAAGCATTTTAATCACGCTAATTTCTGAAGATGTATTTTAAATAGCTTTAAACAAAAGTGCCACACTTAACATTTAACGCCGTTGTCCCTGCTTTACATTGCAGTCACCAGTTCTTGCTCTAAAACATCGCACTGCAGCAGTGCATCTGTCTCTGCAGCTTTTCTAACTTGGCAAGGGTAACACCTGGGACAGCTGGCAGGTCACTGACACTGCCCTCCAGGTGGGATCACCAGTATCATCTCCCTCTACTGACTTTTAATTCAATCACCACATTTCTCCAATAGCTTTTCACACACAATCTCATTAAATATTCATGACACCTCTAGAGGAAATACTGAGCTTAGAAACTCAAGGACGTTTTAAATTAATGATATAGGTACAGTTGAGGTTATTTCAAAGACAGAGTTTGAAGGGAAAAGGCAAAAGTTGTAAAGACTCTTCATTCTGTTTTTTCACAGGTGCTTTCTTTGCCTCTGTAAGACTGGACACTTTATCTTTTCTTCACACATCAAAGAAGGACTTTGCATGGTCTGTCATCTCACAAGTCGTCTGTTATCTCCTAGTCGGTTACTATGGCTTCATACAGGTGAGCTGGAAATGTTAGATCTAAGAGAGTCTCAAGCTTGCACAATGAGCGGCACAACGAGCTATTGCTTGAATTACAGCTATGATTTTGGTCCTTTCCAGAAGTTTGACTTCAGTTAAAAACCAGCTGGTTTTGCACAAAGTTAGCTCTTCCACTTTGCAAGAGTCAAAAAATTAAGTCTGTAGAAAGAGTATTATTTTTTGTACAGTTGTATTACCCCCATATAAGGCAATAGCAGAGACTGGAAGTATGACAGAGCAAATACTTAAAAATACTCATTACTGTACCCAAAAGATAATATATCCTAAGCCAAACACAGTTTCATTTTCAGTTTTTAAAAATTTTCAGACTTGGTAATTTAGAAACTTTTTTATTAAGCTTAAGCAACAAGAATAAAGTTGTATTAGAGGCCAGCTTTTTAGTAAGTAGCAGCTCTGAGTGACTTCAGAGCAGAAACAAGACCATAACCCACTGTGTCCAGGGTAGAGCTGACAGGTCTCCAGCTGAGTGTGTTGCCAGTGTCCATACCACTTCACAGGGGAGACGCAGCTGGTCTTGCAGGCAGGCAGTAGTGACTGTGGTGTCTGTCTAGGGTTGCCGGCTGAAACAGCAGGGATGGAGGTTCCTCACAAGGAAGAAAAACATTCTGGACATGAGCATAATCCTTATTAGCTTTGCCATCTTGGTGCTTGACGTGAAGCTTATTTCTCTACATAAGAAAAACATGGCACAATACCGCCATGACCATGACAGGTAAGAGGGCGCCTGAGAGGAACAGGATATTCCTCCTCAATGTCCAGTTTCCTGACTACACACAAGAATTCTCTCAAACTTCCCCTCTTCTGCCACTGCTGTACCAAATCTGTATTTTTGTATAATGTCCACAGCAGAGAAAACAATTAACTAGAAGCTTATCACGTTGAAAAGCTCTTCAGCAGTTCACATAGCAAAGGCCTGGACTGGTCATTATTTTGCACCCTAGTCAAGGAATAAGAACTAAGGCATGAAAAATGATCATTCTTTAAATAAAACCACAACAGATAGTACATACATACTTTAAATCAAAAGCAGGCTGCATTCTGGGTACGGACATTCATCCATACTGAGACATTCTGGTGCCCCTTTGGGCTCCTTCTCTGGTCTTTCTCATGAAGAACAGCATCTATGCCCAAGATCAAATACGGTCATGAAGTGCTTCTCTAACCATTCAGTGGTCAACAGCCTGGACCACTGATCTGTTTAAGACCAAGGCAGTGTCCCAGGGAGGCCTATGAAAGTTGTTTATGCAGGAGCAGTGGGTCTGTGCAGTTTGAATGACGCTGGCAGCTGAGGTCCAGCCTGCTGTGTGCCATTCATTGCCTTGGTCTTAGACACTAAAAGAATCGTGACCGAGTGCCAAAATGTTCATCACAAAGGTCTTTCCCAGAAACCTAGTTGCTGTGACATGAAATTACGAATGCATTTCTCAAATAACAAAACCTTAATAAAAAAAACAACTCCTAATTGGTAACACCCCTTATCTCTAGTTTAATCATCTTTCTACTCTCAGCACTGTTAAACCTATTAGAGGATCAGTTATCTACTGCCAGAGAACACCACAGGATTAGTGTTACAGAAAACAGACTAATATAATGGCACATCTCATTACGTTAATTCATCTGCCTTCCAGAGCAGCAATTTAACTCAGACCAAAGTAGAGGCGGCTGGGTCTTGACTTCCAGGATGAAACTGGAGTAAAGAAATCTGCTAGAGATCAGATTTTGAGTTTTCTTCAATACAATCTCCCAATCAGATGTTTTGAGGTTTGTTTGTTTTTTTAAGATTGTATTTATTTTTAGAGAAGAGTGTAAGGGAAGGAGAAGGAGAGGGAGCGAAACGTAAGTCAGTTGCCTCTCGCACACCCCCAATTGGAGGCCTGGCCAAGTCCACAACCCAGGCGTGTGCCCTGACTGGGAATCGAACCAGTGACCTTTCAGTTTGGATGCTGGCGCTCAATCCACTGAGCCACACCAGCCCCAAATGTTTCTTTTGCTAGTGTTGTCATATCCACAAATAGGAGGCCACACTGGAAAGCAACAAGCATCTCGCCTAATAGGACTCACAGAACTGCTGCACTTTGGCAGCAGAACACTGGAGAAACTGACGTCACAGGAGTTGATGATGGCATACACTTCCTGCTGAATAACTGCCAGGCTTCTTTGGTACAGGTTCATCAACTTCTCTGAAGCAGTAAAAGTGAACTCAGCCGTCATTCACCTCATGGGCTTCCTGCTTCTGTTGGCAACTGTTCGGCTATGGAACCTGATGCATCATAACCCACGGTTGCAGGTCATCAGTAGAACACTCAACAAAGCCTGGGATGAGGTGGTGGGCTTCTTGCTGGTTATCCTGATCCTGCTGACTGGCTATGCCATTGCTGTAAGCCCCCACTGCAGTGTCTTTCTTTCCCCAAGTGCTGTGGTCTTGGAATCACGTTGCTTCCCTTAGAAAAGGCCACTATATGGGAAATCATCAGTTCAAGTTGGCAATGAGCTGGGTGGAAAAAATGTAGTGGAGTAAGAAAGCTAGTTTTAGTTGGAGTTCCATACTTAATTAGGAGTATGACTTAAAACTCATATTGGGTTGGCCAAAAAGTTCGTTTGGTTTTTTCCGTGAGATGGCTCTAGTAGCGCTTAGTTGTCAACTTCATTTGAAACAATTTTGTTAGATTGTATTGTGACAGTTGTCATATCAGCATACATTTTTTTTAAAAACTTATCAAAATTGGTGAATTTTTGTTAAGCCATTTTAATATTGAAGATGGAGGAAAATATGCAACATTTTGGCATATTATGCTTTATTATTTCAAGAAAGGTAAAAACGCAACTGAAACCCAAAATAAAGGATTTGTGCAGTATACGGAGAAGGTGCTGACTGACTGCATGTGTCAAAAGTGGTTTCCAAAGTTTCACGTTGGAGATTTCTTGCTGGACAATGCTCCACAATCAGGTAGGCAGCTGAAGTTGATAGTGATCAAATTGAGACATTAAGAACAATCAACATTATACCATACAGGAGATAGCCAACATACTCAAAATACCCAAATCAATAAAGTTATTGGTAAAAATGAAAAACGTGTTTTATTTTACAGGGGAAAAAAACAGACTTTTTGGCCAACTCATCACATTTGTTTCATCTCAAAAATGGCGATAAAATTTAGCTCACAGGAATGTGAAGGTCAAATTTACATGAAAACACTATGTGATTACAAAGGAATTTTTTGTATTTTTTTAGGCATAATTGATGGCCACTAAGGAATTTAATTTCCATTCCACTGGTTCTATGTTGACCTCATCATTACCAAGCACCTCAAGACAGAAAGAACTGCCATAGCCTCCACTGTGCTCCGTACCCTCTGACACTTCTTTCTTTTCAGTTTAACCTGCTGTTTGGATGGAACATTTCTGAATACCGAACGTTCTTCAGCTCAGCAGTGACTTTTGTTGGTCTCCTGATGGGACTCTCTCATTACACGGAGGTGAAAACCCTTTCCTGTTTTCCCTACTCTATTTGCTTTAATACACAGTGTAGGGTAAAGCAGGTTTACAATTTTGAGTACATGAAACAAAGTTTTGTTTTTTTTTTAACTGATTTTTTGAGAGGGAGTCATCAATTTGTTCCACTTATTTATACATTCATTAGATGATTCCCATCTGTGCCCCAAATGGGGATCAAATCCACAACTTTCGTGCATCAGGATGATGCTCTAACCAACTGAGATACCCAGCCTGAACCAGAGTTTATTCTTGTAGTAGTATTTTCCATAAGAATAACTGTAAACTTACTTTTACCCCACCCTGTATCTAACAAAGGGAGTACTGTTCACAAAAGCAACCCTACTATACCACTGCACATTGGAGACATGTAGATCCTTTGCCATTCTGGTTTATGGTATATACAGCTTTTGGGTGGGCTATTACTTTTAGAAATCTGTCGTTTTCCAAACACATGGTCCCACCTCTCTCACTTCTTACATACTTCATCTTATTGCCAAGGACACTGGGCCTGAAGTATTACATGGAAGTGATTTTTAAAAAGCTAGGGAGGTAAGTTCCAGAAGAGCTATGCTATTTCTGTTTATAGTTAACAAATATTCATTTCAGATAGCCTATTATTTTCCCCCAGGAACTACTAACACAAATCCCTTTCTATTGAACAGAAAGTAGGAAACTGAGATGAGGATTTGGGTCCAAAGCACAAGCATATATAGAGATTGGATCAGGGATGAAAAAACCTGCAGTTCAAATTAGCGAAACTGATGAGATTTTCATTAAGGCTAATCATTCTGATAATCTAGATTTCAAAGGTTACTAATGAAAATGGTTAATAGTTTCTAATGTGGAAAGTTGGCACCTTCCTGGGTGGACTGTTTTATTGTAGTTTTAGCCCCAATCACTATGGAATGAAGTCCTCAGCCCTGGAACACTTTACATACGAAAGAAGATTCATAATACACTTTTGCCAACACCTACTTTTGGGTGTTTTTTTAAGTTTTCTGTTCTAATCATAATTATACAATGTAAAGGGTTAGAGTTATAATAGTTACTGGGGAAAAAAATCTTATATCACAGAGAATGTCCAAACTGGGTATAATTAAGTACTTTTACTTAAGTGGATAATAGACTGACTAGGAAATGTTTTGACATGTAGATTTCCACCACAGTGAGATTTAGTGTAAGTATTCACTCTCTAAGTTGCTGGGTTTATTTAAAAGTGCCGACAGTGAAAGAGCCAATTGCAAGGGAAAATAACATCAGTATTGGAGAATCAACATCGTTTGTTAAAATAAACACCAAAGTTAAAATAAGACTGTTATGGAAACCATTCTAATTAAGTTCTAAATTTCAGAAAGATCTCTTGGTGCTGAAAAGTAAATAGCAAAACTCAGTATTTACACTTTTAAAGATAACAATGAAAAAAACATACTAATTTAAAACCTAGTTTTCTCTGGCTATTAAATTTTATTGGAATGGTCTGTATTTAGAATCTAAGTTTCTTGGAGTGGCAGAGATAGTTTTCATTGACATTTCTGGTATCTATTCTTTCAAAATGTTATTGCTGCTGCTTGAAGCTTCCATGTTTAGATATACCGGGTTGGCAAAAGTAGGTTTACAGTTGTCTGTAGGGAAAGGAATACAATAATAATACAAGAATAAACTTATTTCATGTAATACAATAATTAATAAATTTTGCCCATCCCTGTATTTTCTGAAATTGCCGAACCTCACATGGGCTTTGAATCATTTTCATTTTTCAGCTCACCTGTTTTCTTTTTGTGAAAAGCCCTGAAGAAGGCACCCTTCAAATCAGTAATTCATGCTCTTTTGTCCACTCAAAAGTATTCTTTTCCCTTTTAATAGTTCTGCTTTTCTCCCTAGCTTCTACCAGACATTGTTTTCTTATGTGACTATATCCCAAACATTAGCATATAACATATTTTTAAAGTAAGAATGAAACTGTCAGTGTTTAAACTCAAAGTATTTTATTGTCTTTCCAGATTATTGCTTTAGACCCAATCCTGGGCTCCTTCCTGATCCTCGCCAGTGTCCTCTTGATGATACTTGTGATCCTAAACCTTTTTGTTTCTGCCATTCTGATGTCCTTTAGCAAAGAAAGAAAGTCCCTTAAGGTAGGTAACTCTGTGGTTTGGTAATTTATATACAGGTTTCTCCCCCTACCCAAAAGTACGGTGCATCCCTATAAAAACTTTCAAAAGCTGAAAGGGCATAAAGAAGCCATCACTGTTAACTTACATGGGAAAAGTCTGTAAGCCTTCCCACACCCCCAAAATAACCTATCAAATAATACATCAAACCTAAAACATTGACATACAGTAAAAGCAGGAATGATGTAATATTCAGTTTATGTAAAGCAGAAATACTGTGCAGTGTAATTTCATGGTGTGCACTACCTCTGACAGCTTACTGCAGACACTGAATGCTGTTTCACTTTTCTGCCTTTTTCATAAAAGTGAAAAGCCTCTTCAGATCTCTTGGTTAGTGAAAACAGGTACTAACATAGGTCTTTCCTAAAAATGAAGTGGCGTAAAGTGGGGAATACCTGTATAAACTGTAATATTTTCTACCACTGGAAAAGCTCAGCTATAAGCTGCTCTTAAGATTGCAGATGCACAGGATCAGCATATTCCCTTTATTAGTCTCCACAGCTCTGTCAATTACTTTTCTAGGAAACCCAATTTACCAAGAAAGAATAGCCTTTGGCCTATAAATAACTGACCCACAGCTATTGGGCATTGGAGTGCTTCTGCTTAACAGCACATTATTAAAGGAAACAGTATTTTTACTATACTTCCTTTTATCTTTGCTACTTTTTTCCTTCAACATTAGCAACAAATTCAATTTACTTGCTTTTCTCCTCCTGACTTCCAACAGAGTTGGAAAGAAGCTGCACTAATAGATATGCTGCTACAGAAACTGTCCAGTTTGTTAGGAATTCAGTACACCAGAACGCAGGTGAGTAAACAGCAATGGGCACTGACGCTGGAGTGTTAAAAGGTGAGCTATCTTACCCTGTTACCACCTAGCTAATACTTATCTTTGCATGGTGTACCTTAGAGAATTATAGATGTTTACAATACACTTTGTTAATTTGGTCAGTGAGGAATCAAAAGTCCCCTTCCCTGGAAGTTCTTATGTTACGGATCTTGGCACTGTTGGGAAAGGGTTAACACGGCCAAAGTGACATATTAAGGTGGCTCTGCTGCCAAAGAGGGAGAAACCACCCTTACAACACATGTTCCAGGATGGCTGTGGGCAATATGAATGAATCAGATGTGAACTCACTGCAGCATATTAAAAATACACAAGCATGGAATCTGGCTGATGGGGAGCATTCCTAACACCATGCTCCCTGTTCTAATTTAGTTAGGTCCTGGACCCAAGCCAGAACTCTCTGCAGAGCCCCAGGAGTAACCAAGCAAACTCCCAGATGTGATCTGGGCTTACAGAGAATAGAACGGGCCCCTTATTGCTATGGGCGGCCACATTACCCAGGGAGCCAAAGGTGCCAAAGGCCAGGACTGACTTGTGCCCAGCATGGATCACCTGCTAAAAATACTCTCCACTAAAATCCACAGCTCATCACTTGATCAAACCAGTGGAGAAAGCAGGGCACAGAATTTTTAACTTTATTATCAGCTACTGAACTATGAGACACAAACCAATCAAAAACATTAAGGAAGAGTTACTTGAAACAGGTATATACAGATAACACTACACAGAAGCCAAAGTTGTATCTTCTGATCCCAAAACCATCCCTGTGGGAAAAGATGGCCTTAGTTAAGGAGGAAAGGAGCAGGTTAGTTACAACATAACAACAGTCTTGTCCATCAAGGAAAGCAGGAAACCACAGCCACATGGGCACCAAAATTTATGAGATCAGTTTTTAAAAGGTTCTCCTTAAATCAAAGTTTTCAAATGAAAACAGGAACCCATCCTCCTGTAGGCTTTCCAGCTCACTATTCAAAAGACTTGAATACTTCTATTAAGGCAACTGGAAGCCCACCTTCATCTTAAATGGTAACTTCTGTTCAATGCGTGGCCTGTCCTGCCTCAGTAACGCGGTCCAACAGAACATGCTATGGGGAAAACAGGAATTTACACAGTGCTGTCCTCTGTAAAAAGGGAAACACAGCACTCAAAGCAAAAGGCCACAAAGGGCTCCCTGTAAATCCAGCAGAACTGAGAGGCCTTCAACTTTACAACTGGATCAGGGTGGAACACTGCCCTGCAGCAAGTAGTGTATATGCCAATGACAGGACCCAGCTCCCAAGAACCATTACAGTAGCTTCCTGAGTCATTTTCTCTCTCACCACAAATGCCTCTGTAAAGCTGCGTTTGTTTCTAACTCAACTCTAGAACCTCAGCCTAGGACTGGGATACTTTCTTCCACAGCCCAGCCATCTTTGTAAGCTCTCCCCACAATGCTTTGTGGGACAGGTAAAGAGAGAACCTGGGGTCACACTGTCAGGAAACAGGCAGGGCTTACAGGACTCAGCTGGTCTGGTCTCATAGTGTCTCCAGTGGTTTGTCTGTTAGGAACAACAAAGAACTGGCAAGCAGCACAATTTGGTAGAACAGGAAGAGCCCATAGAAGAGTGTGCTCAGTGATGGTTAAGAGATGAAACAGAATTCCATGGAGATTCTTTGTTACAAGGAGAAAGTCTTCAGTCTCAACTCCCGTAACTGTTGTCTGGTTTAAGAGACCTATGTTTTCTTTTTCAACTCTTCAAATCTCCGGGAAAGATCGTCAAAGTCAATGTCCTCAGATGCTGAGGTGGTGGCACCAGCAGATGGTAGTGTATCTGGCACAGACGGCAACTCTGGTAGTACAAAGTTGTCATAGGTGTCCACAGGTCGGGAAGGGGGCTTTGCAGAGACTTCTGGCTTAGGTCCAGGACCTAATTAAATTGGGGCAAGGAACAGTTAGAAATGCCAGAGAAGTGGCTCAGACCCTGAGCCCACAGTCCCCTTTAGCAGAAACAACCAAAATACAGTAGAAAACACTAGTTTTCCAGTAGAAAACACTAGTTTTCCATTTAAATGGTTAATATTTAATTCTAAAGGTAAGTACATAAAACATTCATTTAAACAAACTGCCCCCTTTCACAAAGGCTTGTTCCCAAAACAACCAAGTCCAAAGTCTGAAGTGGTACCAGGATTCTGTTGGGACAAAGCTACTCTTTAAGGCTTAGGGGGAAAATTTTTTAACAAGATAATGTCAATCTTATTTGTAGGATCTATATTCTTAAGTTAAAAATCGCCCACCCACCTATCTACTGTAATGGTTCTGTTTATAATAAGTTCTAGAACAGGCATAAAAAATAAGAACCATGCTTGCCTCTGGGGTGGAGCTGACTTGAAAGGAATATAAGGGAACTTCTCTGGGGTGATAGAAATGTTCTATGTCTTTACTGAGGTAGTGGTTACATATCATGTGTATGTGTACAGACACGTGTAATAAATATCAAAATATATACTTCTATACTTTTGTACATAGATTATAGTTAATTTATATATATATAAATTGTATAAAAATAAAATTTTAAAAAATATACACCCTCTGGGTTTCTAGGGCGCTTGTTTTATTTTTTGAATGGGCAGCAACATGAGCATGCCTGCTTTGTGAAGTCATTGAGCTATTCACTTAAAATTTGTGCCTATTTATATCACCTTTTTTAAATTTCCAGGCACAATGGAAGCTAAAGCAGCAGGAACTTAAGGGTAAATGAAAACTAGACATTGAAAAAAATAAAAATGTGTGAAAAAGAATGACACCAGAAACAGGAAAATTCTTTGGAACCAGGGAAGATTTTTTTCTTTTGGGAAGAGGGAAATCCTGAGTTCTGTTTCTGCCATACTTCATTTGGACAGAGGACAGGGCACAGACAGGGAAATCATTTCTGAGGGAGAACCAATAATGAGAAACCAGCAACGGGCTGGGCATTGAGGCTGGAGGGCTTCTAACACACTTACCAACAATCTGTGCAGAAGAGACAGAAGAGACAGTCTTATCAGCATTACTGTCATCAACCTGAAACAAAAAAATTGTTACCAGAGAAGCAATGGCATCACTGGAGAAAGTACTGATACTATATATATATATATATATGTATATATATATAAAATGAACCCCTGAGCTTTCCAAAAGCTAAGCTGCTCAGCGAAAGCAACAGTACCTGCTCCAAAGAAACTGCCCCTCCACTCATTCCTGATCTTCCACACAGATACCACAATGAACTCTTAACCAGGAAGCAGGGAAAAAGAAATCTAACCACACCTTAACACCTCTTTAATCTGATACCTTCATCTTCAGGAACTAAATCCTCAAATACTGATGAAAACCATGTACCCCATTCCTAGAAACAGTTTTGGGCAATGCTTCAATTCATGCAAGACCAAAACATAAGACCCAAAGGAAAGAATATAAAGCAAGCTCGGGAACAGGAGACTCTCCCTAGATGAGTAATTTCCACAGCAAATGCCATACCAATTTGTTTTCTCAGTAATGCGTCAGATGGAAATGGCTCTCAAAGGGCACCTACTAGCTGAGCAAACAAGGCTGGCAGTTAAAAAGTCACCTATTCAAAACCAAAGCTGCTACAACCACCTACAGTTCAATGCAGCATTACCATAGTAGCCAATTACAACAAATTTTAACTGCAAGACTAATAAATAAAATAATGCTACAGGCCGAAATTTACTAACTGGACATTTCTGTGTAAGACAAAAATCTGATCACTATTTCCTTACACAGTATTGACTATTCTAAAAAACTGGGCGTTTAAATTATTACAATATTCTAGCACCAAGACTGTACCAGCTTCAAGTAATTCTCTACAGAGTCAACCGGTCCTTTTCTTCTTGTTTTTGGGTGCCCTGCTAGAACCGCCTAAGAGATGTGCGGCTCCCTCCGGACCCCTGGCTGAACTGCAGACAAAGCATCGCCACCAATGATGCTGCTGCCGCCACCACCGCACCCCACTCCCGGGCTGATGTTAAAGCGACACGAGAATCCAAAGCAAAAGCAATGCTGGTACTGAGTTGATCAAAACTTTGCCTTCCCTGTGGCCATTATTTTGCTCTCTTCAGGGGATTCACTCTTCTGCTGCTTATACAAGAGGCTCAGGCACTTACAGATTCATATGAGGGGGGAACGGCTGGTATCTGAGGTGGATGAATATTGGGAAAGGCCTGGAAAGTCCCCATTGGCAATCCATTGAAATCCGACTGCAAGAGTAGAAAGACAACATCAGAGACACTGCCCCTAATCAGCAATTTCCTCAGGTTTGTGTATGAGAAGGGAGAAATACATATATATACATACAGAACAGGTCCTCCAGTAGCATCGTTTCATTATAATGTTGAATGCCACAGGAGTGTAACTCTTGTTTCTATCATTTAGCCTATGGTAAAACTGAGTTTCTTAATACATCATTTCACTTAAGTCACAGAACTATCAATTACATTAAATGAGGACTTACTACACATATAGTCAATAAACATACTAAAGAGCCGCAAAAGAAAAAAAAGCCCAAAATACCACATGTCATCAGAAGGATTCCAGATTTCTAAAGATCTGTAACCAAATTACTAAATCACTTGTTTAGGGAAGATGAGACTTACTAGCAATTACCTTCACTATCTTGTCTACAAAAAGAGGTTCTTCTACTTGGTAATAAATGATTGTATTCATTTTTGGAAAAAGCTACTAGTACAGCTACAACAGGTCCCAAATATGTTCAGTGAAAAAAACTATATGAAAATGAGTTTTTCTAGCACTCTCTCTCTCTCCAGATTTATCCACTTCATTACCTACAGCTAAACCAAAAGACTTTCTCTAAATCTCAGTATTTTTTCCATAATATGATTATTAAGCTAACACCAAATGCTCTTACTGTTAAATCCTCTTGACAACTTATAATTCCTGAGTGCATTCACAGAGCCAACTTGTCATCTTGTGTTGCATTTTCTAGAGCTTACATCACACATGGTGGTATGTATACTTACCGGCCCCTTTGGGAGAGGGTATGAGAAAGGAGTACTTGGCGAGGGCATGGGCATGGGCATGGGCATGGGCACCGCTCCGTCAGGTCCACCGACCGGGGCAGTGAACCCGCCCCCACCACCTCCTCTTCCAGGGCCCCCTTTCTTCACATCATCTGTGAATCCAACATCAATAAGGTCGGTCTCTACTCCAGGGGGAGCTTCTGCCTGAGAAAAACAGAGAAATCCACGTCATCAGTCCACATCACAGGCTGGGTTCCCAGGAAGCAGACTTGGAGATGGAGACCGGCAGGAAGGAAGTGTACAGGGCGGTCTCTTAGAATAATGACCTGTGGCAAAGTGAAGGAAGCAGGGAGGGGTCAAGGAAGAAGCTGGGCTGTCATGCAGTCCGAGGCTTCCGCCAATCCCCCGGGGAGCTCTGGACAGCACTCTAGGTAGGATGGGCCTGCAGCAGAGGAACCCCTGGGTCAAAGGGGAAGTGTCTTTAAATTCCTGCACTGGCCAGTTACTGAATATAAGTCACCCTCAGGAAAGACTCTGGATAAGTAAGCTCGCTCTTCTGAGAGCTGTTGCTGGAGGGGCATTCAGTTTTGTATGAGACATAGGTCACCAATTCTCTCAAGAGATGGGAATGCTTCTGTTCTGAAGCCAATGTGTATACTTGGGGTGGTAGTTGCCTAGAAAGCAAACCAAAGCATCTACTATACCCATTGATCTTAACTGCTGAATAATTATTATTTGCCTATTTACCCTCCTTACACTGTAAGCCTCTTCATGACACGGACCTTGTTTTTATACATCTCTACTCTCAGCTTTCTGTGTATTGTGTGGCATTCACAGGTACCCAATGAACATTTCAGGATTTGTTCTGGGTCTTGGGGCATTTTGCAATACCCACAGATGACTGACAGTTCCTTGATCTTCATCAAAATGCAGCAATGCCCTGGGCCAGGTAGCTCAGTTGGTTAGAGCACTGTCCCGCTATGCCAAGGTCGCAGGTCCAATCCCTGCTCAGGGCACATGCAGTAATCAACCAATGAGTGCATAAATAAGTGGAACAACATGTCGATGTTCCCCTCTCTCCCCCTGCCCCACCACCTTCCTCTCAAATCAAAACATTTTTTAAAAATGTATTAAAAACAAAACAGCAATAGTACTATTTTGAGGATTGTACCTTTTCAAAGTGCTTTCAGGCATTCATTTTTATCTGATCCTAAGTACCCTAATTGAGATAGGGAGCCACAATTATTTTTGTCCAAAAGGCAAAGGTTTATTAAACTTTCACATACAAACTGTGATGCAAATGATACTGTTATAAAGAAAGCATTGTCCAGAGACTCATTTTTCTGTGTACTCTGAAAGACTCCACTTACCATGACCACAGAGTCAGGTTCATAGGGCACATTGTAGTTCTTGGCAATTTCAATCAGGTATCTCTCCACCAGGATTTTAGGTGGAGCTTCCACACTCAGTTTGTGCATTAGCTGTAATTTAAAGACCCAGGATTAAGATGCATCAATACCAACCAGCCTAAGCCTACCACATCTCACTTTTAAACTTTATTCCTCTCATTTTATAGGTAAACTGGGGCAAAAAAAGAAAAAAAGGTTCAGACCAATTAATGATTTCTTTTTCCCAGTTGCAAAGTACATTACAAGACCCACATCTCTCTGATTTTCTCTGGTTACATACAACTGAGGTGTTCGTAAAAGACTGGTAACTGCTGCCTTCTACATCTGAATTCATCCACCCTTCTCCCAGCCTCACTTCTACCTCCACAAATTATAAGGGACACAAAAAACAGCAGCAAATAAGAAATGACACAGGACAACAGCCTCACAAATCAGAGGTGTAGGGTCAGGTTAAGGAGCTGGCTGCACTGCCTACTAGAGGCTCATCTTCTCACCCTCACTATGAAATGTGCAACTATAGAGTAACCCGACCACACAGTGGTACCCACTAGAGCACTGCAGGCAATAAATTAACCTGGCCCCACCATGCCCACTGCTTCATGTTTAACAAGTATGTTTGTTACCCTGTCATTCACAGTTCCAATCTGGTTGGTTCTACATAACTTGCCATATTCCTTGCTATACTTGGCGCAAAGCTGATCAGCAACCTACAGGAAAAAAAGAGCAATAAATAAAAGTGGAAACCATTTCTATAGGCTGCTTCCAGCTTCCTCCTATCAACAGTAAACAGGCTTCTATTTACAGGATATCCAAAAAAACTGGGGTCTGTAAAACCTCAAGTGTACATACTAATTCATTTAGTTGTTTATGCATCCATCCACTGAGCTGCAACTAAGTGCACAACTCTACAATAAGCATTATGATATACACTATAAACATGATGAACAAAACCAGACAATGTTTCCACTCGTAGTCTTACAGACTGGTGAAAACATTCACTACTCAATCACACAGATAAAAGTACAAATGTATCCCTAATAAGTGCTACCAAGGGAAAGTACACCATACTATAAACAGCTTATAACAGTAGAATCAGATCCAATGATTAACAACAACAAAAAAATAGCCCTGACCAGTGTGGCTCAGTTGGTTGGAGCATCATCCTTTAAAATGAAAGGTCGCTAATTTAATTCTCAATCAGGGCACGTGCCTGGGTTGTGGGTTCAGTCCCCAGTCAGGGCACACGTGAGAGGCAACAAATCAATGTTTCCCTCTCACATCAGTGTTTCTCTCCCTCCCTTCCCCTCTCTCTAAAAATTGGGGGGTTTTTTTGTTTTTTTTTTCACATAAAGGTAACTGGGTGGTGGACATACAACCCAATATACAGAAGTTTGACTCATACACTTCAAACTCTTATGTTACTAACAATGTCACCCCAATAAAACTTAAAGTGTCAGGTAAGGCTTCCAGAAGAAAGCAATGCTTCACTAAGATACAAAGGATGATTAACTAAACAAGGGAAGGAAGGGCATCCCAGGACAAGAAAACAACTTGTACAAAGGCCTCAGGGGGAAAAACAGGGCCAATCCTAAAGCCAAAATAAGGACAGCGAGCCTCTAGTGCAGAGCCTGAGGGGGGATGTGGTAGGAAATGAAGAAAGTTAACTGGGGGCCAGACAATGCAGGGCCAGACAGGCCGTTTTAGAAGTTTTGTTTCTATCATAAGCACAATGGAAACCTACTTAAAAGGGCTTTAAAACAAAGCCTAGTGACAGGATCAGATCAGTGTTTTGAACAGAACCTCAGTTCTGATAGAATGGTGAACAGAACAACGAAAACGAAAGCAGGTCTAGGAAGAGCATCCAAGAAGTTACTGTAACAGTCCAGGCAGGAGATGGCAGTGGCACTGGGCCCGAGTGGCGCCTGCACCTGGGAGCTCAGTGAGGGAACACTCACTGGGCGAAGTGCAGACTTCCGGGGATACCTGGTACTTATCAGTTTGTCATTTGTCTTTCAATAATGATTTCTGTTTTTCTCATATTATGTAGGATTTTTAAATATTTTAATTTATCACTGCTTATGGCTTTGGGATTTTGTGGCATTTTTCAAAAATCTACATAGTTTTCTTCAAGTTTTTCTGGTTGTTTTAAAAAAACATGTAAATCTTTGTTTTCCTTGGAATTCATTTTGCTATAAGACAACAGCATAAGAGAGGCTAAAAATGAGACTGAGGTTAAAACTGTAAGTTGCCTTACTCTCCCCTTCCTCTACCCATAAAACTCTACTGACTATCTCCCTGCCCTATCAGAATACAGGTTTACTCTCTGGGGAGGTTAAACTACAGGGACTCTGGACTCCAAGCATAGCAGAGAGCAGAGATACTTACTGACAACAGAAGAATTAAGTGTAGGTCTTCTTCAAGAAAAGAATGAGACCTTTGGCTTCCTTCTCTCCTGGGCTCTCAGAAATGCTGACCCAGCTTATACCTTCCAGGTGTAGGATTCCTCTCTGAGGAAAATGACCAACCCAAGGAAAGAAAACTAGTTCTTGACAGTCTGGCGTTCCCTCAAAAAAGGGCTTAGTCAGATCATTCAATAATGAAGGCATCTGACAATAAGCCCCACCCAGGCACACAAAAGGTTCCAATCTGCTTTTTAGTATCTCACTCATAAATATAAACCAACAGCCAAGAGTCATGAAAACTTTGAGAAAAGCATCTACTGTAAGATAGTCCAAATCTGTCCTGGTCGGGTGGTTCAATTGGTTGGAGCATTGTCCTGTACATCAAAAGGATGCAGGTTCGAACCTTGGTTTTAGGGCACGTATGGGAGGCAACTGATTGACATTTCTCTCTCACATCGATGTTTCCCTCCCTCTCTCTCCCTCTCCCTTTCTCTCTCTCAATCTCCCTCCCCTTCTTCCTCTCTCTCTAAAATCAGTAAGTATGTCCTCAGGTGAGAATTAAAAAATAAATTTAAAAAATAAAATAGTCTAAATCTAAGAAATAGAAAAAAACAAACATTACAGAAACAAAAATTAAAAAGAAACTATAATATATTCTTGGTAAATTAGAAGACACTGTAGCCATGAAACAAAAACAACAGATTACCCTCTCTCTAGAAATAAATAAATAAAACATTTAAAAAAACCCAAAAGGCCAGAAGAGAAGGAAATCTCAAAAGATGGGCTGGGAGATAAAAAACAATCTCCAAAAAGATACACACACAAAGATACAGAAAGAAAATAAGGAGAAAGTAAACTCAACTGAACTGTTTTCAACCGAGTCAATACCATATCTATGTGTGGCAGGCAATTTTTTAGCTAATGTCTATCTCTGCTAGACTCTAAGCTACAAGTGTAGGGCTGGTACCCTACTTTGCTCACCACTGTATCCTCAGTGCCTACCTAGCTCTAACATCTGCTCGAAAAATATTTGTTTAATGAATGAAGTAAAACCATCGGAAATAAAATGAATGTTACTTCAATTTTACTGTAGGAACTTTTCTTTTTGTATACACTTTTAATAACATTTGTCAAAACACAAAATAAATGGTGCCACTTTAAAATGGAACAGGATCTCCCAATGCCTAGGGAACTGTTTTGCATGTCTTATGCCTCAAATCTTTGGAATGTTAAAATAGGGCAAAATAACCTTTGGGTTGGGCCTAGGGCAACAGCGTGTCCCAAAGAACTGTTTGCCAAGGCAACAAGAAACCACTAAAATGAAAATCAGAACACTTGTTAGCATTAACATTACCATTATCTGTCCCAATAGAAATGTCTTCCTTCTACTGATGCAACTGTTCCCCTTTCCCTTCCCATGGATACCCAGTACCTTTGTCTCCTAATGGAAACACTATTTGGGCTTCTTCCTAAAGCTGTGAGTCCCCAAGAGCTGTTCTAATTGATCTGATCTTATTGATCTGAAATAAACACCTCTCACTTTGAAAGGCCCTTTGCTCCTTAAAAGAATTATTCAGGTTTGCAAAAACACTTTTATTCTATGATATAAGAGGCCTGAAAAGGAGGGAGAAACAAATTCACAAAGGCTGTGTCAAAGGCAGCATGAGAAGGGGACAAAATACCTGGTCAAATAAGCAGAAATGACTTATGTTAACCAACATTTCTAACACTATGAAATACTACAGATATCACCGAAACTGGTCGTACTCACTATTTTCAACTCCGCCACTTCTGACTGGAGTCGAGGAGCAGCCCAGATAAGTGTAGACACAGATTCGGCCAGACCAGAATCTAGCTCCCTAATTAAGAAAAAAAATAATAAAACTTAAACATTCTTTACAATAAACAATCTAGCATTTTTATGATACACCACATAGCCTCTAAAGCTATTTCACAAATCTCATTAAATTTTCAATAACTCTAAACTTCTAGCCATTTTCATCATACTATTTTACTTCTGCCAAAACTCAAATTAAATAATGCACCCAAAGTCAAGAAAATGGTCCAGCCAAGACTAACTCACACTCAGGCCTCTCGAGTTCAGATTCTATATTTTCTTTTCAACAGCTGTCTACAATGGGATCAGGCCTTCAAGCAGATAGTAGGAAAGAGGTCCTTGGGTATGTGAAATAGTTCCTTGGTGCTAGCCCCCTACATGTAAGAAGACCAATATTATTCCTTTCTCAAATTCCAGAGGTGATTTTATTTAGGTCTTTGATAAAAATCTTACTTCATTAAGGTCATACAAGGTAAGTTCTAAAGATCTGCTGAACAACACTGTGTTAACTAACAATACCATATTGTACACTTTAAAATTTTAAGAGGGGACATTTCATTCTGTGTTCTTACTAAAAAAGGAAGGGGGGAAGAAGGGATACAAGGAAACTTTTGGAGGTGATGTTTATTGCCTTGATTGTGGTATTTGTATACAGATGTATCCATGTGCCCAAATTCATCAAACTCTATATATTAATTATGTATAGTTTTTCTATATTACACATCAATAAAAGAGACACGCACGCGCGCGCGCACACACCCCCACACACACACCCCCACACACATACCCCCCACCCCCGACAGACACACAATATCTTACTTCATAGACTGAATGAGGCCAAACCGGGCCAGCAGCAGGTCGCAGTACAGCTCCAGGATCTCCATGGCCTCCACGAGGTAGTCTTCGCGTATAATGTGCTCCACTCGGATCCGAGCTCGTTCATCCTTCCCAGCAGCCAGATAGTCAGCAATCTCTTTCCTTGCTTTCTGGGCCAGTTCCGCTAAGGCACAAATCCCACTCTAGTCACACAGTAGTAGTACACTGGGCCATGGCCTGCAGGCGACCTCTACCACAACAGAGACAAGTGGCTGTTTCTATTATGTCCTACCTAGCTCACTCTCCCTTAGCAAATCTAGTCTAGAATTTGCTACTTAGTCTAGGTGAGAATATTGTTTGTGTAGCCAGAAATTTCAGGAGTCATGCTACCTATTTCCTATTAACAGAGTAGATCCCTTTCCCCGCAACAAAGTGATTTAACCTAAACAGATGTATCCAACGTTTAAAGAAAAAAAGGATCCCTACCACTTCATTGTGCCAGCCTTACAGAGCCACTGTTGGAGGGCTAGGATCCAGCGATGTATTTTGGGAGAGAAAATATAAGGAACCAGCCCACTACTCACTTTTTTTCTTCTCCAGTAGTTTAAGACGGTTTATGACTAATCTCAAATTGACTCGTAAACGCTCAGCTTTAAATCCAGAGCCCAGCATGCTGTGCTGTTCCTCCTGGAAAAAAATAAGCAGCACAATTATTTTGACTATTTTCAAATTAAAATTAGTTCAGAAACTAACACCATTTAGAAAGTGGATTATTTGACACTATAAACCAGAGTGTTTTTTCTAATACAGACAAATGACATGATCTGATTCACATTTTTAAAAGATTGTTTTGGCCCTGGCCACTGTGGCCCAGTTGGGTGGTGTGTCATCCCATAAACTGGAAGATTAAGGGTTCAATTCCTGGTCAGGGCACATGCCTGGGCTGCAGGTCCAGTCCCCGGTCAGGGTGTACACGAGAGGCAACCAATCAATGTTTCTCTCCCTCCCCGTCCTCTCTCTAAAAGCAATGAGAAAAACATCCTCAGGTGAGGAAAAAAATGAAAAAATGAAAAAATATAAAAGACCTTTTTGGCTGTTGTGTGGAGAACTGACTGGGGGGACAATAACAATGGAAGCAAGAGGACAAGGGAAGCTATTACTATATTCCAGATAACAGATGGAAGCAGCTTCGACTGGAAAGTTAGCAGTGGCAGAAGTGCTCAGATTTGAGATCTATTTTGAAGCCAGACCTGAAAGAACTTGCTGACAGATGAAATGAGTATCCATGTACTGGTGCAGGAGTAGAGTGATAAAAAGACAGAGAAGCAAGAAGGCCTGCTTCTCCCAAAAATCTCACCTTAAAACAGAAAGTTTTTCTTCCAAGATCAGGAAGAAGAAAATACCAACCCTCACCACTGTTATTCAACACAGTGCTAGCCAGAGAAATCAGGCAAGAGAAAAAAATAAAAGGCATCCCAATTGGGGAAGAATAAGTAACGCTGTCACTTTTTGAGGATGATACGATTAGATATACAGAAAACCCTAAAGATCACACCAAAAGACTATCAGAAATTAACAAATAGAGCAAAGCTGCAGCATACAAAAATCAATGTACAAAAATCCCTTGTGTTCCTAGATACTAACAATGAAATATCAGAAAAAGATATGAAGAAAACAATTCCATCTGCAATTGCAACAAAAAGAATAAAATTACTAAGAATAAACCTAACAAAGGAAGTGAAGGATCTGTACACTGAGAACTACAAGACACTGTTGAAGGAAACTGATGAAGACACCAACAAATGGAAAGATACACCTTGCTCATGGATTGGAAGAATCAACATAATTAAAATGTTAAAACATAGTTAAAATGGCCATATTACCTAATGCAATATACAGAATGCCACCCCCTGTCAAAATCCAAAAGATTTTTCAATAAAAAAAGGAAATCATCATATTTGTATGGAACCATGAGAGTCCAAACAGCACAAAAGACAAAGCCAGAGTTATCACACTCCCTGACTTCAAGTTATACGATAAAGCTACAATGATCAAAACAGTATGGTACTGGTAGAAAAAGACACACAGAGCAACAGAAAACAACTGAGGGCCCAGAATAAACCCACACATATATGGGCAACTAATTTTCAACAAAGGAACCAAAACACACTGGAGAAAGGAAAGCCTCTTCAATAAATGGGATTGGCAAAACTGGAAAACTACATGCAAAAGAGTATTACCTAACAGAACTAAACTGTTACTTGACACCATACTCAAGATGTGAGGCAATAAAATCCCTAGAAGAAAATATAGGCACTAAACTCACAGAACTTGGTCTCAGAGAGGTTTTTGTGAACTTGACCCCACAGGCAAGGGAAATAAAAGCCAAAATAAATGAATGAGACTACAAAACTAAAAAGCCTCTGCAAAGCAAAAGAAACCATCAACAAAACAAAAAGGCAACCAACCAAATAGCGAAGATATTTGCAAACAATACCTCTGAAAAGAGATTAATATCCAAAATATATAAAGAACTCACACAACTCAACAAAAAAACAAACAATCCTATTAAAAAATGGGCAGAGGAACTGGATCAGACAGATCCCAAGAAGATATACCAATGGTCAACAAATGTAGGAAAAGATGTTCAACTTCACTAGCTCTAAGGGAAATGAAATTCAAAACCACAAGATATTTCAATACCATTGCACACGTTAGAATGGCTATTATCAATAAGAAAAGAACAAGTGTTGGAGAAGATGTGGGTAAACGAATCCTCATACATTGCTGGTGGGAATGTAAACTGGTACGGCCACTATGAAAAACAGTATGAAGGGCCCTCGAAAATAAAAATTAAGAATAAAGTTACCATATGACCCAGCAATCTGTCTTCTGTGTATCTACCCAAACCATCTGGAAACACTTATTCATAAATATATATACATATACCCCTATGTTCATTGCAGCATTATTCACAGTAGCCAAGACATGGAAACCTAAGTGTCCTTTGACAGATAATTGGATAAAGAAGATGTGGTACATATATACTGAGCTGGCCAATTTTCTCTGTAAGGTGGCTCTTGTAGTGCTTAGTTGTCTTCAACTTCATTCAAAACAATTTTGTTAGATTGTACTGTGACAGCTGTCATATCTATATGCATTAAAAAAAGTCAAAACTTGAACTTTTGTGTAGCCATTTTAATATTGAAGATGGAAGAAAATATGCAACACTTTTGGCATATTATGCTTTATTATTTCAAGAGTAAAATACAATTGAAACACAAAGATTTGTGCACTGTATAGAGAAGGTGCTGTGACTGATGAACGTGTCAAAAGTGGTCTGTGAAATTTCATGCTGGACATTTCTCACTGAACAATGTTCCATGGTCAGACCAGTTTAAGTTAATAATGATCAAATCAAGACATTGAGAACAATCAACGTTATACCACACAGGAAATAGCCGACATACTCAAAATATCCAAGACGATAAAGTTACTGATGAAAATGAAAAATGTGTGTTTTTACAGAAAAATACCATATGGATCCTTTGGCCAACCCAATACAAAGGGATATTACTCATCCATGTATACTGCCAGGATGAAACCTGCCATCAGCAACAACACAGATGGGCCTTGAAAGTATCATGCTAAGCAAAATAAGTCAGACGGAAAAGAACAAAAAACATGTTTTCACTCATACGTAGGGTATAAAATAGAATGCAACAAATGAACATACAAAACAAACTCACAGACAATAGTACGGTGGTTACCAGAGGAGAAATGCAAGTAGGGGAAGGTTGAAGAGGGTAAATTAGATGATAAAAGGTGACTAGACTTTGGGTGGTGAGTACACAACACAACATATAGATATTATTTAGAAATATTTAATAATTATTATTATTTAATAATGCTTTTAACCAGTTTTACCCCAGTAAGTTAAAATTTTAACTATTTCTCACCTTAATTACCCAAATCCTCCCTCTAAAAACTAGCTGGAAAAAAACTGGTGCTAAAGATCACGATAGTTCTTGGTACATAGAGTGTTATATGTACACAATAAGCACTGTATAAATATCTGTCAAATAAAATAAATTAGAAGATGGAAGTGTAGGTCAACAGGGCTCGTCTTCTCACACAAACACATCAAAATTACAACTATACTACAGAACAACCATCATTAACAACCATCAGAAATCCTGGAGGACAGCTTTCTCCCAGGCAGAAAAGTGAGCAGAGGCCATTGTTCCTTTTCTGAGCCAACAGGCAGGTACCATATTTGAGACTCCATCAACCCAGCCCACAGGGCTTGCTCTGCCCTGGTGAATCCCTGAGGATCTGCCCCGCCCAACTTATGGCCCACCCAAAGCTGTTAACAGTGGCCTTTTACATGAATGACTGGTCTCAGCTCAGGCTTCACATCTTTCTAAATCCTCTCCAACAAGCAACAGCCAGCCTCAGCAAGCCCGCAGCCCCTGTACTTGGCACTAGCAGCAGCCAGCCTAGATTCACAGCTTGGCTTCACCTGGGACTCTCCAAGCCCAGCACAAGTAGCAGCCATCTACAGCATGCTTTGTGGCTTATGCTGGGTGGCCCTGAGGCTACCTTGGCCTGAACCACCTGGAAAATCCCAGAAGCTGTGCACAAGTGGATAGCTACAGACCAGACCAAAGCACTACCATCCTGTCCCTCACAGCTAATACTCCACACACAGCAGAGATTGGTGGAAAATGGTCACAGCCAGTCCTTACAGCTGACAGGCCTTGGTAAATCCACCCACTGACCTGCCAATAGTTATTAAGGCTCAACTACAAGATGAAGATGTACTCAGCCCACACAGAGGGCACACCTCAAGTACACAGCCTGGGTGAAAGAAGCTGTGCCACTGGACCCTACAGGACACCTACTACGTTAGGCCACGCCACCAAGACAGGGAGTCATAGCTCTCTACCTAATATATAGAAACAAACACAGGGAGGCTGCCAAAATGAGGAGACAAAGAAACATGGCCCAAACGAAAGAACAGATCAAAACTCCAGAAAAAAAAAAACTAAACAAAATGAAAATAAGCAATCAGATGCAGAGTTCAAAACACTGGTTATAAGGATGCTCATGGAACTTAGTACCTCAACAGCATAAAAAAGATCAAGACAGAAATACTCATGGAAATAAAGAACAATTTACAGGGAATCACCAGGAGCAGATGAAGCTGAGAATTAAATCAATGATATGGAACATAATGAAGCAAAAAACAAACAATCAGAGCAACAACAAAAAAGAATCCAAAAAAAACAAAGAGAGTGTAAGGAGCCTCTCAGACACCTTCGAGCGTTCCAAAATTCACACCACAGGGGTACCAGAAGAAGAGAAAGAGCAAGAAATTGGAAATCTATTTGAAAAAATAATGACAGTAAAATTCCCTAATTTGGTGAAAGAAATGGACATGCAAGTCCAGGAAACAAAGAGTCCCAAACAAGATGGACAAAACAGGCCCACACCAGGCCTGGCACCCCTTGTCTTGGTGCCACATCACCCCTTATAGACACATCATAATTAAAATGCCAAAGATAAAACATAAAAAGAGAATCTTAAAAGCAGCAAGAGAAAAGCTGTTAATTACCTACAGGGGAATCCCCCATAAGACTATCAGCTAATTTCTCAAAAGAAACTTTACAGGCTAAAAGGTATTGACAATAAATATTCAAAGTCATGCAAGGCAGGGACCTACAGACAAGGCTGTTCTACCCAATAAAGACATCATTTAGAATTGGAGGACAGATGAAAAGCTTCCCAGACAGGAAAAAAACTAAAGGCGTTCATCATCACCAAACCATTATTATATGAAATGTTAAAGGGATTTATTTAATAAAAGATCAAAACTACGAACAATAAAATGGCAATAAACATACTCCTATCAACAACTTAATCTGAAAAACAAACTAAGCAAACAAGACCAGAAATAGAATTATGGATTTGGAGAGTATTTCAGTGGTTGCCAGATGGGGGGTTGGAGGAATGGGCAAAAGGTGAGGGGATTAAGAAGTCAAATAGGTAGTTACAGAATAGCCATGGGGACATAAAGTACAGTATAGGAAATGGAGTAGCCAAAGAACTTATACACATGACCTATAGACAAGAACAAAGGTGTGAGGACTGTCTCAGGGAGTGGGAGGTCCTGGGTGGAGGGGGGCAAAGAGGGAAAAATTGGGACAACTGTAACAGCACAATCAACAAAATAATTTTATAAAAATTCCAAAAATATAAAAAGTAAATTCAGTCACCAGACCCATACTCAAAAAGTCTTGCTCATCATCTAAAGATGAGCTGATAAATGTACTTTTATGTGCTTCAGATTAAAATAAAATGTTTAAGGTATGCTTTTCATCCATCTTTCCCTCTACTTTAGCTTTTTGATTATTAACCTGTTTCAATCACACTAAAGGATTTCAACTGTACACAATCAGTATAGCTCCTGAACAGCAACTGTATACAATCAATATAGGTTTCACTGTTATTCTCACACTGCCTACCATAGTGCTTTGGACAAAGCTGTCATTCATTGTTAATCAGCAGAAAATGTAACTAAAAATAACTTTAGCCCTGGCTGGTGTGGCTCAGTAGACTGAGTGCCAAAGGGTCACCGGTTTGATTCCCAGTCACAGTGCATGCATTGCTGCAGACCACGTTCCCAGATGGGGGCTTGCAAGAGGCAACCAAACATTGATGTTTCTCTCCCACTTTCTCCTTCCCTTCCTCTCCCTCTAAAAATAAATAAAATCTTTAAAAAAACTTTTTAAAAATTCCACTAACTTTGTTTTAAATTTAAAGGAAAATAATTTGCCAAAGTCTTTTGCTAACTTAAGTTTTGATGATTTTCAAGTTCAGAAAATAGATTCCTATTCTAAAAAACTAATTAAAGAAAATGACACTAAACCACAAAGGTAATCAAGAACATGTCCTAAATAATTATCAATATATCAACTAAATCAGTAGTCCCAAAATTACACTAATACAAAAAATCAACTTAATTACCATTTCAGGATTTGAATCTGTTGTTTCCAAAGCTAACATAAACTTTGTATCTTACATGATTAGAAATGTCAGTTTTAGGAATAACATAAAAGTTAATAAAATACTGTGGTCAACTGTTACTGCTTTATAGACAAACATCACTACAGGATAGGGCAAAAGTAGGCTTACAGTTATTCATATGAAAAATAATACAATAATACAAGAATAAACTGTGTTTTGCATACTCACAACTGTAAACCTACTTTTGCCCCACCCTGTATATATAAAACAAACATACACAAATGTATGCATATATGAATATATATACACATCTCACATACTAATATTGCACAATTACCTAATTTAAAATTCCTTTTTGATTCCGGGGTTATTCTAGGATCACTCTGTACCTTGATATCTTTAGTGTCATTCATTCACTCCACAGACACTTGAGTGCTCGTCTATCAACCACTGGGCAAAGTTGCCATAGAGGAGACTTTTAAATGACCCTAGAGCTTCAAGGAGCTCAAAACCTAATGGAGTGACATAAAAACAACTACAAGAGAAAAACACAACTTTAACATAAACAGGATTACGAACTAGTGACTGCAGAACTAGTTCTCAGTATTCTATCTTGTTTATATACTTTACTATTTTTATTAGTGAAACACCATTGTGTCTCACATTAGTCAACAGTCTTATGTTCCCTTCTTTGTTCTGATCCTTCACTTTACCCCAATTCTTAACATTGGAACAATCAACTCATCTAGTCCCTCTTTTAATCACTTAGTTCCAGGAGCCTTTTAAAACTGGATAATCCCTCCATTCTGAATAAGGGAAGGTGTAAAATACATGGATTAAGTTATTCCTCATAGTGGCAGCTCACTGCCCCAATAGGTGAAACTGCCCAGTTAGTGGAAGCTCTATTTAAAGTCATTAAAACTAGCAAAAACGACCCTGAAGTCCTAAGGGACCAGATTTCAAGTCTGTAGCTCCAAAGTACAAAGCGGGTAGGGGGCAACAGAGTCAACAGCGGCTAGAATGGTATTTGGTAGTATACAGGAAAATTTTTGTATTTGCAATATATTATTTTATTGATCCTGCAACTCTCTTTTTTTTTTTTTTTTACCTTCACCCCAAGAACATGCTTACTCATTTTAGAGAGAGAGGAAGTGGTGGGGAGAGGGAGAGAAATATCAATGTGAGAAAAACATCAGTTGGTTACCTTCTTGCAGGCTTCCTGGCTAAGGATAGAACCTACAAGCAAAGCATGTGCCCCAACCAGGAATCAAAGCTGAAACCTAAAGGGGTGTCCACCCTGCAGCCCGCAGGCCGCATGTGGCTCAGGATGGCTATGAATGCAGCCCAACACAAAATTGTAAATTTACTTAAAACATTATGAGATATTGTGTGTGTGTGTGTGTGTGTGTGTGTGTGTGAGAGAGAGAGAGAGAGAGAGAGAGAGAGAGAGAGATTACTGTCACAATGTATTTAATTTGTGGCCCAAGACAACTCTTCTTCTTCCATTCTGGCAGAGATGCCAAAAGGTTGGACACACCAAGATGATGTGTCCAACTGAGCCACACTGAGCCACACCAGCCAAGGCTTGAGCTCTTGTCTTATAAAATAAGTGGTATAAACAGTTTTAGGTATAACCACTGTATTGCAGCTATGAAGTAGCAACATAAGAGTAGGAACAAGTCCTCTGGTCAGTGTGCATGCAAAAGGCAACTAATTGATGTTTCTCTCTCATTGATGTTTCTCCCCCCACCAAAAAAATATGTTTTAAAAAAAGAGAGTAGAAACAAGCTACAAGGCATGTCCACAGTAATAGAGGTCAATCCTTAAAACCACTGTATGTACTATATTTTCACACTATAAACTGTCATCAAATCTCCATTAATCAAACTAATCATGATAGAAAATTTTAAAAAATTAAAAAACCACAAAACCAGAAGCATCGTGTGTAACTCACAAGCAAAGTACAAGATGGTTCTTCATAATTCAGAGACCATCATGATTTTATGGAAAGCTCTATTAAATCTGAAATGTGTAGGCATTATGAAAGTATTGTTTCTCAATGAAGTTATTATAAAAAAAAACACTTCAGAAAATTAATTAGGTGTAGTTTTTACCAAGGATTTTTAAGACATATTTTTATGAGGTTGAAATCATGGACTCTGAGGACTACTGAATCCTTCTACCACTTAATATCGGATAAAGACTGTTATAGTCTTTATAAACGATTTTAATGGCTACCTAATATTCCACTGTGTAATGATTTTTAAATTAATTCCCCAACCTTTTGACATTGGCTGTAAGTAATGTTGAAAATATTCATGTGCTTACTACTTTCCTGTATTTGAAATTATTTCATTCGACTAACTCTGTGTTCTAGTTTTGTTTTTACATCAGAATAGGCTACATGTAATTGGGACTGATTTTAAAAAAATGAGAGTTTAAATTAAGTATACTAGAGTTGGCAATTCTGGACCTCCTGGTCATTTAGAAGCCAGAGGCACAGGAAGAAAGGGAAAATGAAAAATAATACCGACAAGTCAGTAACACTACTTTAAAAATAAGAGGACTTAAACTGGGTGCCTTTAAAATGTAATACTAACATTAAGGTTTTCCCTCTTATTCTCTAATTAAAAGGATATATCAAGTCCTCCTATCACAGAAGACGGGTTTCTAAGTAAGCTGTAAAAGCAAAATTTCTCGTAGACTATTTGTAGGTACAGAAGTCAAAAGGCTACTGAGGGGAGGGCGCTGTACATACATCAAAAATTATTTTATTAAATAAATACATAACAGGGATATAAATGAAACAAGACTGGCCTTAAATTCATTGTTATTGAAGCTTGATGAGGGAATTCATTATACTTTAAATTTTTCGTAATACAAAGTTAAAAAATAATAAATACATAAGCATAACAGGAAAACTACAATCCTCAAGAAGAATTAAAACCAGCTCTTAACTTTAATTTTACTACTAAAAATAGTGAAAGTACCTCTCTTGTGCCTTTTCTATTGCCTATTAAACAGACGCTCTTGGGTCTTTCCCCGATCCCTGGGCAAGTTTATGCTGGTCGAGTTCGAGACCCTCACCTCCAGCACCCCGGAGGAGGAACGCTGAGAACACAAAGAGAGGCGCAAGGGCAAGGTCAGGGCCATGGGCTCCTCGCATAGTCCCTCATCAGACAGACAGGGGCCTGCGAAAGGGAGCTGAGACCGCTGTTTGCTTCAACTAAAGAAAAACGTAATTTCCTTCAGCCCAAGGGGCCCCACCCCAGGCCGCCCAGGAACCAGTCCAGGACGCCGCCGGACTCGGAGGCCAACAAACACTTGCAGACACTGGAAACACAACCTTCCCGAAATCTTTCTGGGCCAGAGGAAATGGGGTAGGGGTGTCGCTTTTCCGAGCTCAAAGTGCAGCCCGAGCCCTTTCACCAACGGACACCGAGGCGTTTCCGCCCCAGGGAAGACACCTGGGGACAGGGAAGACGCAAGGGAAGTTTGACGGCTTCACGTAACCAAGATCAGTGAATTCCAAGCTACTCGCAACACTGTCATGCCCCCGCCTTGGGCGGCCTCCAGCTCCTCAGCCCCGCCGGCCTGACCCTCTACAACCAGGATCCTTCCCTTTCTCTTCGCCTGCCACATCAGGATCGTTTGAACCCCGGGCTGGGGACTTTTATATCTGAGCCCCAGTGCGAGGAAGATAGAAAAGACCCTTGACGCTGAGAATGCTACACTCACCTGGCCGAATCCAGGCGCGAAAACGACAGAAACGGACTTCGGACTGCAGCTTAAGCATCCAAAATGGCGGCTCCCCGAGCCTTAGCACAGCAACCGCGGGCGGAGGGATTCGCGGGTCGAGCTAACCACGCTTTCCTTTCCAGGGATTGGCTGAGTTTTCGTCGCTCCCAAGACTAACGCTCCGAGAACCTTGGAGCTCCCTCTTCCTGCTCCCTTTGGAGCCTGCGCGGCCGGGGACTACTTTCCGCGGCTGAGACCGGGTGGTGACGCGTAAAGTCCTGCAACTCGAGCACACTCTTGTGAATCACCTGCTGGGGCGTGCCCAGGGCGTAGGGAGGCTGCGGACGGAATTCGCTGCCAGTACTTTTCACCGGATTGTCCCACTCCCTAGAAAAACCGGTTCCAGTATTGCATTTCAGACACCCTAAGTTGTTCCCTGAGACTTGCTCTCTTCTCTCGCTTGACTCCAGCTCTCCCTGGGGGCTTTGCCTTTGAGTTTCGGATTCTTTCTTCGGGTGGAAAGGCCGAGCAGGTTTCGACCCTTCTCTGATAAAGTCATCCTCCGCCTTTAGTCGCCCACCATCTCTCAGTCTGCACTCTCATACCCCTGCCCCGCTTTTAAACCAAGTCTGATTGCTCTTTCAACCAGAAACTCTACCAGAAATTAAATACTGTCGCCTTAGCACCACATTCTCTGGGAATTTATCTTAACTATATGCAGAAGAAAATTTTTCATTGAGTTATCTTTGTTTTTAACTTGAAAACCATTCTCTCGGTTTAGCTTTGGAGGGGGTTTCCTGGACTCTTGGCCTCTGTAAGGAGGGAATCCTGCCCCCTGCTGTAAAGGCTGCAGGTACCGAGACCAAAATTGTGGTTCGTTGAAGTGCTATGTGGTCATGTAACAGGGATGGACCTACGCGATACCATGGGAGGTTTACATGAATTTACAAATACTGTGCCTTTATAATGCTAAAAGTATTTCTAAATAAAATCAAGCTACAGAACCTGAAAATTCATGGTGTTTGGTTCCTTTTAAGTGTGTGTGTGTGTGTGTTGGTGGTGCGGGAGGAGTTTGCAGTAAATGTGTGCATATATAAATTAAGTTCTGCAGAAAGATAATGACATTTAAAAAATAGTAAAAGCTAGGGCAAGTTGCTAGAACTTAAAGAGATGTAGAGACACAGCAACCAAAAATAATGGATATGGATCTTGTTTAGATACGATTCAAACTAAAAGACGTTTTTGAGACAATTGGGGAAAATTAGATTATGAACCAGATATTACATGACAGCAACCAACCAAAGAATTGTTTTGTTAAGCATGAAAATAGCATTGAGATTTTTAAAGAAAATGTTCTTTAAAATTTTCATGCATATTGTACAGGGGTAAAGTTGTGGCAAAAATCTTGATAATTGTTGAATTGGATGACAGTTACTATTGTAATATTTTCTCTACTTTTAAGTATGTTTTCAAGTGTTCATAGTTAATCGAAGGGTGGAAACAACCCAACTGACCATCAAGAATGAACCGATAAGCAGCCCTGGCTGGTGTGGCTCAGGGGGTTGAGCGCCTGCCTGTGAACCAGAGGGTCGCTGGTGCGATTCCCTGTCAGGCCACACGCCTGGGTTGCGAGCCAGGTCTCCAGTAGCAGATGTGTGAGAAGCAACCACACATTGATGTTCTCTCCCTCTCTTTCTCCCTCCCTTCCCCTCTGTCTAAAAGTAAATAAATAAAAAACATTTTTAAAAAATGAATGGATAAACAAAATATGGTATCTATATATACAATGAAATATATTCCACCTTCAAAAGGAAATTCTGACATATGCTACCATATGGATGAACCTTGAAGATACTGTGGTAAGTGAAATAAATCAGTCACAAAAAGGCATACTGGCCTTGGCCAGGGAAGTCACTTGGTTAGATTATCATCCCCATATGCCAAGGTTGTAGGTTTCATCCCTAGTCAGGGCACACACAAGAGTCAACCAATGAATGCTTGAATGGGTGGAATAATAAAACTGATGTTTCTTTCTCTCTCTCCCTCTCTCCCTTTGTATCTCTCTCTAAAATCAATAAATAAAATCATACCACATGTCTGTCTCTGTCTCTTCTCTCTCTCCCCCTTCCTTTCTCTGGGAAATAAATTTTAAAATTTCAAAGACATATACTGTATGATTTCACCAATATGAGGTACCTAAAGAGGTCAAATTCAGATAGAAGGTAGAATGGTAATTGACAGGGGGTAGGAGTAGAGGAGAGTGGGAAGCTTTTGTTTAATGGGTACAGAATTTCAGTTTGGGAAGATGAAAAACTGCTGGAGATGGATGGTGGCTATGGTTGCACAACAATGGGAATGTACTTATATTTTATCACAATAAAAAATGTCCATAGTATAATTTTAAAAATTGTGTTATGGAGGATTAATGAAACAGTATACATACCAATCATTTCATTGTAAAATGTGGAATCTTCTATAAGAAAACTGACTCTAGATTGAAAGAAACTAAAGAGATAACCAAATGAAATACATGAAATTCAATTGGACTCTGGTTAGAAAAAAATAGGTATTTGGAGGAACAACTTGGGAAATTTGAATATGTACTCTATTAGATATTATGAAATCATTGTTAACTTTCCTAGGTGTACTAGCTGTAACGGAGTTGAGATGCATATTGAACTATGTGGAAGTGAAGAGTCATGGTGTCTGCGGCTTACTTCCGAGTACTTGAGAGCAACCTGGAGAAGATTATGCTAAGTGAATGAAACCAGTCAGTGAAAGAAAAATACCACAAAGTCTCATATGTGGAATCTAATGAACACAGTAAACTAATGAACGAAATAGTAACAGAAGCTTAAATACATAAAATAGACTGAGACCTACCAGAAAGGGGGATTGGGGGCAGGATGAAAGATGGCAAAGGGATTAACCAAAGAACATTTATGTACAACCCATGGGCCCAGACAACAATATGGGGGTTGAGTTGGGGAGGGGAGAGTGTGGGATTGGGGAAGTGGGGTGGAAACAACTATAACAGCATAAACAATAAAAACTTAAAAATACATTTTAAAAGCTAAAAGAGAAAAAAGAAAACAAAAAGTGTGTGTGTGTCTTAAGTTATTACATATCTACATGGGAAATGGTAGTTTTCTCTCAGAAACCACTGGACTAAGCCAATGTCCCAGAAATAAGTATATTCTGATTCTATTCTGCACTTAACTTAAAAGGAGAATAAAAGGGACTGAATTCAATGCTTTATTTTGTTTTTTAAGAGTACAGAATGTTTATCATCCTTACTAATTTGAGAATATATAGGAAGAGTATAATAAAATGAAAGACCTATGTAACACTTCCCATGCCATTATTAATTTTTTGAGTATATTATTCCAAATTTACATATTGCTCCACTGATGGGCACTTAGGTCATTTCCAGTAGTTTGCCCCTATAAATAATGCAGCAATGATTAGATATTTGCCTTCATGGATTGTACTTATAGGGTAAATTTCCAGAAGCAGAAGAACTAGGTCAAAGGATAGGTATATTTTTAATGTTAACAGATAGCGTGCCAAATCACCCTTCAAAGGGGAAGTATCAATTTACAACACCACCACCAATGTATGAGAGTTCCTATTTCCGCATGCCCTCATTAGCACAGTGTGTTTAGATTACTTTTGGAATCCTTGGCATTATTGCAACTTGGTTCAAACAATGAAAGTAAAGACAAGTGAAAACTGTTGTTGATGTCTTGCTAAAAATGACGATTCATTTAGACAAATTTCCTTCTGCTCAGCAATGGCTTGGATTCAGCAATCATCACCTGTATCCTGCCCTTTGCAATTATTTAGGTCCTATAATACACCAATGTGAATTGTACCACAACCAGCCACTTATCCAAAAAAGTATCTTTGTCCCGACCTGAAGAGACCAATTTTATTCAGATGCTGAACATAATCCAAAAAACCAAACTGACTCACATTGTTTTGCTTGAAAATCCTGTTCTGCTGTTAGGATAAAAAGTAACACATGACATTTCTTTGGTTAACTAACCATTAACACTTTTTTTGTGCAAATAATTATAACTAATGTCTAAAACTAAAATCTGCTTGAACCCAAAAGAATGAATCCATAACATGCCTGCAGGCCACAATCTGTTTTTGTACAGCCCCTCCTACTAAGAATGGTTTTTACATTATTAAAGTTTTGTAAAAGAGAAAGTGAGATATGTGCCAAAACCCTATGTTGCCCACAAATTCTGAAATATTTACTATCTGGCACTTTGCAGAAAAACTTTGTTGACTCCTGCAGTAGAAGAAAATACTACACACTGTTTGAGAGGGAAGGGAAAGATGATGGGCAGAGAGTAATTTGCCACAAGAACCGCTCTAAATATCTATCTTCCTAAGACATAAGAAAAATTCAAGAGTATTTTTAGAGTATCTATGGAATGACTCTTCAGAGAACTTATTATTAATTAGGGTTATATGCAAATATTAACTATCTCTAGCATTTTGCAGTTTACAGAGTACTTACAAGCACACTAATTTGAGGCCCACATATTCCTGT